AATAATCTTGGATTACTCTCCTGGGCTGACCAGAGCAGCACAGATAATCATAGAATGCCCGTAAAGTGCGGTATTTATTCTATTTTCAGGGCCAGTCTGCACGTTTCAAACCATTTCATACGTAAAAAATATCCCAAATACGGTTTAGACCATAATATACGTGCCGGTTTATAAGGCCTCAAAGCCTAGGCATAACGCAGACAGGTTATGTAAACGTGCATCCACAACCCCTTCTACAACAAGTCCAAGTCCAACGTTAATTATTAATTTCCACTCAATGACACTGTGTACATATATATATATATATAACAAAAATATAGCACATTCCCTTCTTTGTAAGTTCTGGACGATCATGTCCCTCGTTTCTTTTCACTCAGTTTTCCGGCGAGTGGCTTCAACAATACCCAAGTCGTTACTCTACGCCGTTACGTGGGCGGGGCTCTTAACTGTAACCGTGATTTTGGCATCACTGGCTCCTGGGGTGGCCTTTGTGTTGGCGACATCTTCATCGTTCTCGAAGCCTTGTCAAAATCACGGTGTTGGTGACTTCGTTAGAATTCCTTTGGATCTTCCCCGTGAGATGGTGTGCTTGCCCCAACATGCGGTGATGAGCAGGTCCCACTTGGATTTCTTTTTGCCAACGTTGTTTGCTGCTTTGGTTGTTGCTGCTTCAACTTGCTTACTTCGTTCAGTTGTCTGTGCTTGATGCACATTAATTGGTATAGTTTGATACTCTTCTTATTTCTAAATTCGCTCGCATAGTGTAAATATTCGACATGAATATTGTGATGCATATTCATTCACTCTTGTACCAAAAAGATAAAATTAGATGTATTTTGTCATGAAGATGAGTACTTAATCTTTGTGCCGTAACAATTTTGCAAAATTTCAAATATCACATAATTTGCCTTTCCAAGGGGCTTTAATGAATGAGTAGAAACTCATCTTTCCGTCAAACAATGTAAAAGCAACAATTGTCAGTGATGAACATTAAATTACTCGTCTGGATGCACGTTAAACACGGTCATGTGCGCGTTCAAAATCAATAAGCTACTGTTTCTAGCATTTAAATCAACGCGAATTTGGGAAGAGTCAGGCAAATCCAAAATCAATGAGTAGCTTAATGGGAGTTGATGACCGTCCCTCGCCCTCATGTTGCATCCTTCATTTAATTATATACCTTATATATCCATCCTTGTGTATTAAATTGTGTTAAATTATATAAATTTTTTGCTATATCTTTTAATAATATTTTTAATAATTATAAGCATTAAATAAAAACCTATACGTATTTGTTATCTTAATTATATATATATATATATATATATACATATATATTTAATGTTAAATATTTATAAGGATGAAAGGTTGAGGAATTTAAAATTATTTATTTTATAAATATTTGCAATTAATTCTTTTGTTCATTGATAAAAACTTGTAAATAGGTTTATGAAATTTGAAATTTTTGTTAGGCTCTTGAACTCTATACCCTCACACGTCCATAAAATAAGCGTTGGCATCTCACAAATTAAAATATATTATATTTTGCTCCAGTTTTTAGATATTTTTATTTATAGACATCGATTAAAACATACTATATTATATTTTCCTAAGTTCAAGATTAATATAATATTGAATTTTAGATAATTTTTATGAGTTTTTTCATAGTGTGTTTTTAATGAAATATAATACAAAATGTATAACTTTTGAACAATAATTAACACATATCTAAACTGCAGAATACAACATGTACAATTTTTGAACACAATCAACAAGTCTAACTAATGTAGGATTTTAGTGATAAAGAGATTTTTTAATGACAATCAACAAGTCTAACTAATGTAAAATTTTAGTGATAAAGAGATTTTGAGTACAAGTATTTTTTAATACCTAGATTTTGAGAATAAATATCTTTTAATACCTAAGTCATAACCTTTAAGTTATGAAATTAAATATTATTTATAGATATTACCTTTAGTAATTACTTAAAACAAGTTCGGTATCGCTTAAGTAAGATTTTAGTTCGAGTTTTTGTGTATACAAAAAAATTTTAATGGTAGACTAAAATAAGTTAATTTAAAATGCAGTGAATTCTTGTAACTTCTATCATCATTTTATTCATAATCCATACCATGTGTTTTTAAGTATTGGTACTTGGGTTTCTTCCTTTAGAAAGAACTTAGTCTAATTTTAACAAAATATTCTTTAACCAATTTTTAACTAAAATTAATAAGATAATATTTCTTAAAAGCATCTTGACACATCATTTTTTTTACTAAATTTTAACATATTTGTATGTTGTAACTTTATCTTTTAACCATTTATGAAATTGTTAAAAATTTGTGTCATTTTTTATTACAAAAATTATATTTTCTTAATTACAAGTTTTCGTAAAAAATATTCTTTCACTTTAACTAAAAAACTTTATAATTATCATCTTTTCATAAAAACTTATTGAAAAGCGTCACTTTTTTTTACTATAAATCTATATTTCGTTGGCCATCATACTTCCTACGGAAGATATTAAAAAGTAAAAATATTTTTAAATATCATATTATATAAATTTCAATTGAAAATTACACTTAAAGACTATAAAAAAAAGTCATATAAATTATATATAATTATTTATAATGAAAATTTGCAAGTTATAAACAAATAAATCTAAGAGCAATATAGAAATTAGATTTTATATCTTCTTAAATTCTTTTAAGTAAGTTGATAATGTAATAATTCAAGTTAACGCCATAAAACGTTAATTGAAGTAGGAATAACAGAACAATAATATAATGTAAAATAGTATTAAACTAAAAGTAAAAGAGTTTATAGAATTATACTAAACAAAAGTAAAACTACATCAACTGAAATGTGAAACAAAATGAAAATAAAATGTAAATATGCAAAGAAAATAACATATGATTCCTAACAACAACGAACACCAATGACCCTAAGTCTCTTAGTAGCTAGTGTCTAGTTCGGTGCAGAATTTCAGCTTATAGAGAGTTTAAGTGTAGTATCTGGATGCAAAAAAGTCGTCATTTAGAAAACAAAGTTTTGTAATAATCATAGGTAAATGGATCACCACTATTCTCCTCTTTTCCTGGGCACTTTTCAGTAACTGTCTTCTACACGTGCTTGTCTTCAATCGTTGCTGCTCATTATCCACGATTTGTTTTAATCATGCTAATAGTTGTTGCTTCTTTCTTAACTGTTATAGCGGTGGTAACTGCTAATGATCGCTTTGAGCTTTATAATTATTTTAGTATCACTTTTTTAGTCTTATCATATCTCTTGTGGACTTAAAATATTTTTCCTATGGTTTCCTATTTTTTGAGCAAAATTCAGGAGCTCATTCAATTTTGTGAACTTATAATAATTTTTCTCTCAGTTTTTTACTTTTCAACTAATTTTAGGAGAAATTTGAGAATTTTTTTAATCCAGTCAGTAGACTTAGAATAACTTCCTCATCAATTTCTGCTTTTCGAGTAATTATGAAAAAAATTTGGTATTTCACTTAATTGTGTAGACTTATAATATTTTTCTTGTGAATTTTTGTTTTTTAACCAATTCTGAGTGTCTGAAACTTGAAAATCCTCAAAAATTCATAAAAAAAAATTCAGTCTTGTAGACTTAGAATAATTTTTTTGTCAATTCTAATTTTTTTACTAAAAATAGGTATTTTCATATTTTATTAAAACTGCTTAAAATATAATCTTTTTGAAGAAGCTCTGCGATTTTCAAAATCTTCTTAAAAGAATATAGTCTATTTTTTATTACAAAAGTCTGGTAAGAGAATTTATAACTTAAAATTTTTTTCTTACCCCAAATAATAACATATATATTATTTTTGAAGACGTAGAATACATTCTTTTACCTTATATTTTTTTACCTCGAACATACTTCAATCAAATATTATTTAAACTAACTTATTCATAGCTTGAAAAAATTCCAATTCTCCTAAATACTCCCACTATATAATACAAACAATATTTCTAAAATCAACTTTGTGCATAGATTACTAAGAGCTTAAACCAAGAGTGATGTCGCTTGTCTATATGCACGGGTTCAAAGACGTGACAAGTATACTAAATAGGACTATATTTTTAGTCCAAAAATTCGAACGAGGCTTTGCCTTTAGTTCATATATTGCTCGTCTAAACATCTTTCAAGGGAAAGTGTGAAGTTCCTCTCTCCCTCGGACTGAATCAAAGTTTCAATGTTTCTTTTTTGTCTCTAACTTTAAGAAAAAAAGTCACCATTAGACCATGTAAACTAAAAGTTGCGATAGCTAAAGATATTAGATGTAAAATGAAGTTATTTCAGTTTAGAGTTCAATCACAACAAAAATTCTTTAATATTTGTTATATATTATTTTTTACGAAATACTGCTATCAAACTTATAAGAAAATTTCAAATTTTTTTATACTATTTTCCCCCCTAAATATTTCTAAATAAATTTGCTTAAACTGAATCTTAGACCCCTTCCCAACATTTTTTTTTAGTTTAAGAATTGTTGGCACAATCTAATTAAATGGTTAATTAATAGAAGACTTAACATAAAAATTGATCACAAATGATTATAAAAAAAATTATTAATTTATAAGTGGTAAAGGTTCATGCACTGGTTAACAACTTCTATAACTTATGGAATACTAATCGTATATTAACCTATTTTAAAATTATATTGTGTAATATACAATTCTTAAATCACATGAAATATCATCTTAGTATTATTAATTAATGATTTTCACACACAATATGAATATTTATTAAATTAAAATAATGTTTAAAATAAAAATATATTACATGACTATTTAAATTTTAATGATTTTATAAATTTTGAAAAAACATTATTAAAAATAAATATTAAAAAACAACTTATATTTTTTTAAAACAAAGGCTAGTATCCTAATTTATGGAGATAGATTTAACTCTTTAGCCATGATATGATTCAATCTTATTCCTATTCAGTATTTATTGTCGAGACTGTAAACCCCCCAATTGCATAGACAAGTTGGTTCCTCTTTGCCGAATTGCGCGTGGCCCCAACACCCTTTTCTCTTTCATCACAATTCGTCTTCGGGGACCAAACCCTAATCTTCTTCTCTCCCTCTCTGTTTCTCACCTTCCAAGTCCCAAACCGCCTCGCTTCTACTTCGCTTCCCTTACCTCTCAGATCCAATATCCGACTCAGCCACATCTTCAAAACCAAACATGTCTGCAGCTCTCGATATGACCCTAGACGATATCATCAAGAACAACAAAAAATCCGCACCCGCCAACTCCAAGCCCCGAACCCGAGCACCAGGACCCGGACCCGCTCGCCGCTTCTCCAACCGTGCCGCCAACCGCGTCGCACCCTACACCACCGCTAAGGTATTGGTTCTTCGATTTATCTGATTCGATTCTCCGTTACCGTTTCCATTTGTAGATTCACCGTTTTGTTTTGTTTAGGCGCCGGAGACTGCGTGGCAGCATGACATGTTTGCAGATCAGGCTTTACACGTGGCAGCGTATCCAGGTCAAGGTGGTCGAGCGTCTTCCATCGAAACAGGGACCAAGCTCTACATATCTAACTTGGATTACGGTGTTTCAAATGATGATATTAAGGTACGATCTCTATTGTGTTGCTATTTGCCTATTTGGTATTTCGTGTGACCTAGAGTTTTTCCACATCTGAATTTAAAGTTATCTGGATACTGCAGTGTTTGCATACGTGAAGTTTGATTTTAAAATTCCATTGTTTCATTACTCTTTTTACTTATCGTAATGCTGAATCGCACTTTCCTCGCATAGATTCGGTAACTTGTGATGGATGTGTTCGTAAGTAGCTGACCAGCTATATTATGCTGGTAATACGTTGTCAGTCATGAAGTTTTTGTTGATTTCTTTGGTTCAATGAGTATCCGGTATCTGTAAATCAGAGCTAACTAAGTAAAGCGTTGTTTGTAATAGACTATTCGTGAAGTTGGATTTCAAATTGGTTCTGTTTTATTCTTTTCATTTATAAATACAAAAGCGTGTGGAACATGTACACTTATTGTCAGATTACACGCACCTATTTGGGGTTATTGTCGGTATGAAATTAATTCATATCAATTTGTAGTGTTTAATAGTTTCCTTTTCTTGTTTTTTGAAACATGCTTAATTTTGCATCCGTATGTATGTGCATGCCCGCCTGCCACGATGTTATAAAGGATTTTACGTTTCTAAAAAATTAAGTTACGTGGCAGTTTCATGAGTTGTTAATTTTGTGTTTCATATTTGTAGGAGTTGTTTTCTGAAGTTGGTGACCTGAAACGGCATACTGTTCATTACGACAGGAGCGGGAGATCGAAGGTATCTTGCCCAGTTGGCATAATTTGGTCCCTCTGATCAATTCTTTGTGTCCTGCTCTAGTTTAGAAAAACTCTTTTTCATAGGGTACAGCAGAAGTAGTCTTCTCGCGACGGGCTGATGCTGTAGCTGCAGTGAAGAGGTACAACAATGTTCAACTAGATGGAAAACCCATGAAGGTAGAGATTCTGGGAACAAACATTGCTACACATGCCATCGCACCTGCTGCTACACCTGAAACTTTTGGAAATTCAAATGGAGTTCCCAGAAGGTATTTACTTCATTAATGAGTTTGTGAACATGCATGTCCTTGATCTGATTGTTTTGTTGTGTGTTGCTTTTCTATATTTTATTTTGCCAGTACTGCTGATGCGTCTGGATGTTTGAACAATACTTCTGTGTGTGTACATATTTCTTTGTGTTTTGAATTTTGAAGTTTCTTTTTTAACCTCACTGAAAAACATTGATTGAATCATGTTTTATAATGATTACATCATTTCTTTGTTGCAAGCAATTCTCAATCTTCAGATTTAAAATTGTTTTAAAGGATATGTACATTAATTTCACTTTGAATGTTGCTATCTCAAATTTAGAATTTCAAACAAGCAGATACCTTAGTGAAACATCCTGCTGTGTGTATGTTTTGAGTTTGATTTCGATTGAAATTTATGCAGTATCCATGGAAGATGATTGAATGCAAGGAGGCTATTATTTTTCAAGTTACTGTTTTTGGATTTGGCATTATTATTTGAATATTTTTAATATGTATCAAATGAACGGTTCAAGTGTGAATTAGGAGGTAATTATTTCATGTATTTAAACTGAAGGTTTGTGTCATTGATCTTGCTTTGTTAACAGTGGACAAGGGAGAGGTGGAGCATTGGGAAGGCCACGTGGTGGAGGTAGAGGGCGTGGTGTTCGAAGGGTTCGAGGACGTGGAAGAGGTCGTGGTGAAAAGGTATCTGCAGAAGATCTTGATGCTGATTTGGATAAGTATCATGCTGAGGCTATGCAATTAAACTGAAGGAATCACTGAAGTTCTGTTTTATTGCTATTAGATTTGCAGTTGTTTGGGGCATGGTGATGGGACACTGCCTAATTATGTATCTTTATCACAGTCATGATTTTACAGAAAGGGGAGGGATAACTTAAGAGTGAAAACTTTCACAGTTGATATATGTAGTTTGGGATTCTGTTATTGAATTTTTATTTTCATTGGGTATGACTATGAAATGTGGCTGAAGAAACAGAATTCGTCATGTGTTATGCACCCGGCCTTCCTTTCATTGGATTTAATCATTTGTTTATTGAACAAGTGAGCATGGAAGTGGGAACCATGATCTTGTCTATCCATGCACATAGCCCAAAGAAAGCATTGGCTGCAATGTGGGAGGCTGCAGATTCACCCATAGTTGCTTTGTGCTTTGGTTAAAACTATTACAATGGAATCTTCAAATAAGGTAGATTCCCTGCCCATTATTCCCTTTCCTTCCCCCCTCCCCCTAAAAAAAGAAAAGGAATTATTTGATCTCCTTTGTTGTATCATTTGTCCTGTGCTATAATTATCTTGTTTGATATAATCTAATGCAATCTTTAGATTTTCTTTTATGTTGTTTTAGGGGAGTAATTTTTCTCTCAATTGTTTTGGTAATTTTGGCATATTAGCTAGTGAGATGGAATCTTTCATCTGTTCTTCACCGGTCAATTGCACTGGTCAAGCTAGGAACATGTCAACAGATGAAGAGCCTCCAGGTTGGGGATGCTGCAGGAGTTCGTATTTATATTATGTTAACTATGTTGCATTCAGATTTAGTTATCCGTGTCATGAACTCTGCTTGCTTCTTTTTATTCTTCAATCAGCAATTCTCAGAACTGTTGTCAGTTGAAGTTAAAGTGCTGGTCTTTCTTACAGATCACATTTTCACTGATTGGAACTGTGAGGTACATTGGGAAGAGGAAGTTGAGTGGAAGTGGTTACTTTATTAATGCTAATCCGACTAGTTTTTGAAGTTACAGTCGAACTTAACCGTTGTTATAAAGCATGTTGCATAATCTTTACCTGGGGTGTGGGAAAGTGTGTTTTGTGGATATTTCCATGATGGCTGCCCGCCCCCTCAGCCCGGGTACAACATTTTTCCTCTGTACTGGAGGTTTTGCAACAAGCCAATATGATGGCGAAAGAATATGTTCATTTTAGAAGTTGACGCAAATAATTGACTACATAATATAAATGTCTGGTTGTTTCATGTGATTGGCTTGCTAAGTTTTGACAGCGGAGTTTTCGTTGCGAAGTGTGTGTTTTCCGTTGGATTGTGAAGCTCGTGCCCATGCCTTGTTGCTGTTTGAACTCGTGGTTGTAGATTAAGATAAAATTTGCTGAGCTATATCTGACCTTGCAGCCGTTTGGTTGGTATTTGGAATCTTTGTCGAGTTAATAACGTTCTGCTATAATATGCTGTAAAATGCGAGTTCTGTTCTGTATAAGATATTTTTATCTGAGTAATGTAGTGTACTATTCACCCAAGTCAAGCTTTGTTGACCCCCTTTTTAAAGAAATTGTTTGCGTTTTTTGTGCCAAAATCCCCCCAGTGGCTTACAGCACCCAATCTGACACGGAATTACTCACCGTTCTACATTTATTGGTGTAGCACCCACAACGTTATTTCCCTAATTGGAAATGGTGTCTTGTTGAAGTAGAGGTGATGAATTTTTAAAGTTCGATTTAATACTCTTGAGCAAAGTGCTGAGAAAGGAGTTGAAGTTAATTCGAAAGTGTGAGAATTTGTAAGGTAGGGAAACCTTTAAATTAATTAGATAAAATTAATTTTAAATTAATATTTTATATTTATTTTTGCTAATCAAAGGGGAGAACAAAGCTAATGACATCAATACTTAAATAGAGATACAAAGATAAGGAGGGGAGTATCCTGAATTTAAGAGAAAGGATAAGTTCCTTTGAAATTCATTTTAGCTAATTTATGAGCACATTAGTTGGTTTTTTAACAAACAAATAAATTTGATAGATTTTAATAAGTTTTTAATTTTATTAACCAGTGAAAACAAAAGGTGGATATATGTTTGAACATTTACAACTAGAGAAAGGTGGTTGTCCTTGGTAATAATCAATTTCATCCATAAACAGATGTCTCATAATTCACCTATAAGGGGAGCAAGAATCAAGTATAAAAAAAAATTATATGATTCACAGATAGTATAATTTTTATTAAAAATTATAATTAAATTTTTATTGCAAGTCTTTGGTTAAATTTTGTTAATAAGTTTATTTGCTAATTTAAGTATATAATACTTTTTTTTAATTAAATAAGACACGTTCCCTTTTATTGTTATTATTATTCCTACTTTCTAAAATCAAACAGTACATTGAACTTCTCAAAACTTAAGATATTTGTCATTAAAACACAATAGTCCCTCGTTAATAAAAAATAAATAAATTTAAGCACAGCTAAAATTTAGGTCTATAACAAATTTTATAAACTTTTTTCTTACGGTGACAAATAAAATTTGTTAGAAGAATTGATGCATTTTGGTCTTTTCTGCTCTTTAAAATTGAATAACAAGTTAGAGCATGATACATGTTAAATTTTACTGTAGGACACTTCTAAATTTTAGAATTTGAACTTAAACTTTAAATTTAAGCTTTTCTTTTCTTTTTGTCAAAATTTTAATTTCTCTCACATTAATTTATTATTAAAATTTATATTTAATTTATGTATCATATTAATTAAATTTTTAATTTAAGATCTAATTTAAATTTTCTCTTACTTTAACTAAATATTTTTTTTCATTTAGAATTAAAATTTTAAATTCAAATTTTAATCAACATGAGAGAGAAAATTAAATTTTAATTTCAATTTCAACTTTAAATTAATGAGAGAAAAAACTAAATTTTAAAGTTGAAATTAAGGCTTCAATCAATGTGGATGAGAAATACTGGCTACATTTTTTTTTATATATTTTTATGTTGTTATTCTAGAATGATTTATTTTTATTTGTCGTTCTAAAGATTCAAAAAAAGCATTTATTGTATTTTATTATGCTCTTGCTATTAAAGATATTCTTAATTATACATGCAAAAAAAATAAATTTAAATTACCTAGAGTTAAAATACTATATTCTTAGAATAAGTTAGTACAATAACATTTTCTTGGATCAACGAAAATTACAAATCGCAAGCATAGATCAATCTTAGGCATAACGAGCAACAGAGCAAATATGGATCTCTTATTGGATGGGAACAATGAGAAGGACTAATAAACAGGGAATAAGTTAATTAATAAGAGAGAATGAAAACATAATAAAAAATAAAAATAAAAATTTTAATTTAAATAAGAGTATTGTTTTTTTTTGTTTGTAATTTTTATAAAATAATTTTAAATGATAAGAAGACAAATGTAATTTTTTGTGTTAAGCATTGATTGAACTGTTTGTTTCTTGTGTTATGCTCTCGTGTACGTAATTGAGTTAATACTTTGTTTGAGAAAGATAAAAAAAAAATTATACAAAATAAAAAATATATTCTATAAAAAACAATATATATTCTCAACTTTTAGACAAGTTAAAATAGAGAGTTCATAAAAAAAAATAGAGAAATATAATTTGTTTCTAATTTATGAGAGAAATTTTGTTATTTTTTTATACTTTTTTTTCTTATAATATTTTCTCTGGAAATTTATGTGAAATGCACAATTGTTTTGTAAATTTTACTTAAATTTTAACTTAGGACAAAAAAAATATATTAATATCACTTTGCTTTTTATGAGTAAGATGAAAACTTTTGGTTATTAAATCTTAAAGAACCATCAGAATTAAAATATGAAATTATACATTTTTTTAGTAATTGTATATTTTTTTAATAATAATGTAATTATAAAATATTTACAAATTAATAATATATATTTAATTATATGATTTAAATCTTACATTAAAAAGCTCTACATCTTAATCAAGAGCTAAAATAGTTGAAAGAATAGGATAAGTGTAATTAGCAAGTTGTTATTAAGCTAAATTATGATTAATTTGATATGCTTTCCTAACATAAAAAAGGTTAAAAAAAACATATTCTTATCGACTCTATTTAGCCTTAAGTAGATTATTATGAATAATTAGTTTTTAAATCAAATTTTAATGCATTTACATTTTATCATTCAAACACGAGAATTAATTGTTAAAACAATTGTATTAACAAATGCACACTTTAATATGTTATTACTTTGAATTTTTATACAATTTTTTTGGATGAGATAATGGTGTTCCATTCTTAATAAAAAAAAAAACTGTCAATTTTTAAAAACATTTACGAACGATTTATATTTACTTCACCTTAAAGAAACAAGTAGATAATTTGTTATTTTAACATAGAGCGGTTAATTGTGTTAATTTTTTTGGGTAAATCATGTTTAATTGTAAGTGAATAAAATTAAAAGTTTTGTTTGACTTGCTAAAAAATTAAAGAGTTTGAACTTGGTTTAGTTAGCTCATTCGTAACATGATTGTATTTTATTTATCAAACACATTCTTAAAACACTTATAAATTTTATAATTAAAAATTAAAAATGTTTTCATATTTGAAGATGAAATGATTGTAAGAAGAGAAGTATATTAAAAGAATGTTTGATTAAACAAAAAAAATATGATTTTAAACTAATAATGACTTGTTAGTGTAAAGTTTTTGGAGCTTAAATTTGTTCTATTTATAAAATTTATGTTCACGAGTCACGTGGGTGATCGAAAATGAAATAATTAAATTTATTCAAGTTAGGTTGGAATTATCTTAACAATATTTTTTCATTAACTCAATCCAAATTATTTTAATTAATTTTATTTAGATTGGATCGGTTCTCAAGATGACATCAATTTATAATTTTAAATGAAACATATTTTAAAAATTAAAAAAACAAATATAACATTTTTATATAATACAAACTTTTATGCATTTATTGTAAAAAAAATTAATGAACATATAAATAATAAGAGATTTTGTTTTTGCATGTAGTTAATAATTGAATCATGGTTAATATGTTCATAGAACTCAATTATTTATCAATCATGCCAATTTTTGTTTTTACAACTACGTTAAGATTAAAAATGGATTTATTTTTTAAGTTCACTGATAATTATGCGAAGTATTAAGAAAATATCACAATGTAAGAGAGAAAATACATTTTATTTATGCAAGACTAATAATAAAGATAACATCTTTCTAATTAAACATAGTGATAGCTTTTTAATAATTTTCTCAAATTGTCACCTGATTTTGTTCAATGCCACTTGAATCTACTCAGTGCATATGTCTATTTTACTGTCAACATATTTCAAATATGTAAATTTATATTTAATTGTTTAAAAAAAATTTACAGTATCAAATAAAATGTTGATCGCAACAAATTTTTTAAAAACATTCCACCCTTTAATTTCAAAAATTTCGTCTTTTTTATCTATCTTATAATAACAATTTTTTGTTAACAATAGTAACATTTTTTTTATCACAATTATAAAATTTTAAGATTTCTAATTTCATTATTATTATATTTTGACGAGAAAAAAAAAAGACAAAAGTAAAAAAAAAAGAACTAATTTATTGTTTATTGAATTAATTTTGTAAACAACATAATATATATTATATGAAAGAAATTTTATGAGATAATAAATATCTTGTAAAATACAACACATTTTAAATTAAATTAATTTTAACTTTTTCATAATAAATGTCACTGAGAAACAATTAAATTTTAAGATTACTTTATAATATATCTTTAATATACTTAAGTGGACCGTTCAAAAGATTATTTCTAATTTAAAACACTTGAGAAAACAAACTCTATTAGTCATTTATTACTATAGTTGTGTAGTTTTGTGTAACACTGCTATAACTTACATGAGTCTATCTTATTCACAATAATTGTAAATAACTGAAAAATGATAAATCTAATGATATCTTATAAAAAAATATGAGTTTCAAGGTTAAGTTATTTAAAAATTAGTACATAATAATATTTTTAAATTGAGTAATCAAAGAATAAGTTATTTTAAAGTAATGAAATATTTTTTTATTTTCTTAACATCAAGCATCTAGAATGTTGTTTTTACGAATGACAATTGGTAGAGTATGGATAAGGTACTATAGTACCTATCTCTATATCTGCGTTTTTAAAAAAATTCCTGTACTTGGTCTCATACTCGCATGGGTATGAACATTAATCCCCGCACCCATACTCTCTGGGTACCTACATACCTATCTTCTACTCATTACCCGTGCTTGTTTAAAAAAAAATATGTTTATATAACTTCACATAAGTAGCATAATAATACAAAAATTTAATATGTAGTTACCGAACAAGGTACAAATATAGATAAAAAATAAATATTCAAATATCATAAATGTTAAATGTATATTAATATAATAATATTCTAAACTAAAATTTTTAAAAACAATAAGCGAAACTAAACACACAAGTTATTTGTTAGTAATAACTCTATCTTGTGTGAGATTTGATCGATTAGCAGTATCAGAGCGACAACAAAATAAATCTGCATAATGGTTTTCCCTTTGTGTGGGATCATTTGGTGGCGTCTTGTGCCAGCATTGACAACTAACTCTGATGAATAACGTTTCATAGTTGTTAGGTTTTAATGAGATAGACATCGAGAATGAAAATAAAGTTAAAGTAGAGAAGTTCAATACTAACAATAGAAAGTAGATACATAAATTTTTTTTTTTTAACTTTTGAATTTGAAATTATAAGAAAAATAATAGATTTAATTAAAATAATATATATATATATATATATTAATACTAATATTTTTTTAACTCATATACTATACAAAAGTATTTTATCAAAAATATAATTTTTAAAAAAATTATTTTAACGAATTAAATATTTATAATGTATATAAATTTTAAAAGAAATAATTTGAATAAAAGATAAATGGTTACAATAAAATTATATAATAAAGAAATATACGTGTATATTAAAAGAAATTATACTTTTTTATCTAAAAAAATTAACAATAATTTTTTATATTATATATTTTCAAAAACTTTTTTGAACTTGAATAAATAGTAAGAATAATATTATTTAAATTTAATAAATTATAGTTGTGCTTGTAATACATATGTTGTATAGAAAAATATTATTTTAAATTAAAATATAAAAAATAAAATTTAAATATTATTAATAAATAATAAATTTACGGTAATAGTAGGTGATTGTAAAATTTATAAAATATTTATAATATATTTATTATTTATCATTCACTTTATGATTTAAACATCAATATGATTTTATTAATAAAAATATTTGTGTGAAAATATTTTATGTGTGCATATATAAATAATATTTTTAAAAAAATCAATCTCATATTAACTATATAATAATTAAATTGTATTAGCCTAATTAAATGATATAAAATAGTAAATAAATTTTTCTATTAAAAATATAAACTAAAATAAATTTTTTGGTTTACTTTATTATTAAATATATTTTTATATTAATCTTATATAACTTTACATAAGTAATATAATAATACAAAAATTCAATGTATAATCGTAGAATAAAGTTCAAGCATATATATATATATATGCGAGTATGGAGCGAGGTGGATACTTAGATATCCATACCCGCACCCATCTCTATTAAAATTTATGAGTTTTATCTATATTCATACCCGTACCCATATAACGGGTAAATACCCTACTCATTATAGATAAATTTTGCGGGTACCCGCTGAATACTTTACCCATTGTCATCCTAGTTGTTTTAAATTATACAAAACATTTATGTGAGTTTGTTCTGGACAGTGATTTATTAAGAGTTGTTTTAGATTCTTCATTTTGTTAGATACAAATAAAATTCTCAATAGAATATAAGAATATTAAGAATATAGCAGAAAATTTATTTTATGGCAGTGTGATTCAACCATGAATTTTTATATGAAGACGAAGAATTATTATTATTTTCAACAATTAATATAAAAACAACATATTCTTAAAGGATATATATTTTTTCTTTAACTAACAAAAACTGTATTCACGTAAATACAAATTTCTAATATATATATACACACACACGTATAATTTTTTATAATTTAATTAAATATAAAAATACGAATTAAATTTAGAAACATAACACCTTTTGATTATTCTTAAATTTTTATTTTCCATTAATTTACACAATCGAAAAGTTAAAAAAACAGAAATGGAAATAGAGGGGTGTGCAAGCAATACATAGACTGGCATCCCATTGGTTGATTTAAAAGCACACGGATTGCCATACAAATAATCCTTAGCCATAGATAACATCATATCCAACGATCCACGTTTCTCTAAATGCCAGATCCTTGCAACGACAACGACAGCATCCAAAGCTCTATAAAATCGTGCCAACGCATCTTCCTGTCCATCTCACTCTCGCCACGCTCCTTCTTCTCATTCCCCATTTCGAACCGATTTCACACCTAGAATCTAGGGTTCCATGGATACCGGTGGAAAGATCAAGAAAGGTGCCGGAGGAAGAAAAGGAGGTGGACCTAAGAAGAAGCCAGTTTCGAGGTCTGTAAAAGCCGGTCTCCAATTCCCCGTTGGAAGAATTGGCCGTTACTTGAAGAAAGGAAGATACTCGCAGCGCGTCGGAACTGGTGCTCCCGTTTACTTGGCCGCTGTACTCGAATATCTCGCCGCTGAGGTAACCCAAATTTCAACAATCCATTTTTGCAATGATTTTAGGGAATTTTAGATTTCTGAGACTGGAATGTGGATGATGCAGGTGCTTGAGTTAGCTGGAAATGCAGCGCGTGATAACAAGAAGAATAGGATTATTCCGAGGCACGTTCTTCTTGCTGTGAGGAACGACGAAGAGCTTGGGAAATTGCTGGCTGGTGTGACCATTGCTCATGGTGGTGTTCTTCCTAACATTAACCCTGTTTTGTTGCCTAAGAAAACTGAGAAAGCTGCCAAGGAGCCCAAGTCTCCTTCTAAGGCTACCAAATCTCCCAAGAAGGCTTAATTGATACTTTCAATTTTAGTATGTATATCAGTATTTAGGTCGTTTTGGTGTAACGGAATATTAATTGTGTTCAAACAATGTATTCTGATATCATTGTTTTGCCTGTAGGGTTTCTTCCATTAATGAAAACATCTTGTTTTTAGTCAGCTTTTCTTCTTATGTTTGTTGTTTTATTTGTTAATTAACGGAGAATTGATCTGACATTTACTTCAAGAGTGCCGAACAAACTGACTCGTTGACAATGCTTTGTTCCAATCGTTAAACGGATTTTTAACTGCCTTTGTCTCTACTTTGAGTTTGGTCAACTGTTTTGTTTCGTAATTACCGCTTTTGATTTGGTGAATTTAACTAATTTTGTTGATGATGTTATTCCTTGTTTTCGTGGTCCAAGACCCTATGCTACGGTTAATAAATGTGTGGCTATGAAATTTTGACAGTTCATAAATGGTGTCAATTGTAAAAGGGCGTGTTTGGATGTGGATTTACTTAAATATTGCATATTTTTATTAGTTTCTAACGCACTTAAGTTGTCGTTGGGTCGATTAATTAATCATTTTTTATTTTTTTCCCATCTCGGATATTGTGTTTTTTTGTCCACTAGAAGTGAAACTGAACACGGTAGAGATTGTGGGAACAAACATTTGTATATGCGGTGGTTCGAGCGGCAAATAGAGCTTTTGGAAATTCAAATGAAGTTCTCAGGTGAGTGCTTTACTGACGTGTTTGTACAGCTTTGCGTTTTTATTCTGCCGATGTTTTTGGATTTTCGAAAATTACTTTTGGGTTTGCATATATTGCTTTTGTGTTAGAGGATTCTTTTCCACCTCACTGCAAAACTTGATTGAATCGTGTTTTATGATTTCACTATTTCTTTATTTAGAGTAAATTCAATCTTTAGATTTGGAATTATTTTTAGCTTATTTCTTTAGTTACACTAATTTTACTTTGGATATTGCTTTCTCAAATTTGGATGTTGAAGCAAACTGATACTGCATAATTTGGACAGAGGATCATTCAGTAGGAATTCGTGTAGTGACATGGAAGATGATTGGATGTAAGGAGGCTATATGTTGATACTTGATGTTTCCCGTAGTATGCTTCAACTGATTTTTTTGCTCAGATGAAGAAAAATTGAACTTTTTCTAAACTTGAATTGATGGAATGCCTCAAGGCCTCTATGAAACCCTGAAGAAAGACAAGGACCCGTGTCCTCCAAGGTTACAGCCTGCACATGTATTCATCACCCACAACAATTGTTCAACGTTGTATCGTTGTAGAATAAACTTACAAAGATTTTCAATCAGAAGTGCCAATGTTTGGAAGAATAAAATTAAAATCCTTCATGGCAGAGTCTCAAACTCTTCATAGATTCTTAGAAAGCAACACGGATACTCGATTAATCTTTTTGGCTGTCTGCTTAATTTTACAACGGGACAATCGTATAACAGGATTCTTGCATTTTCTTAAAACCCTCAAATCAGGTGTTAGTATAACGGTAATACAAAGAATACCATTACCAAGATCATAGACAAACTAGTGGAATTACAAAACGAATAACCATTTATCAGCATAGAAATATTAATTGGAAAACATTCAATGGTACATGACACCGATTGCAACACGGAGCTATATGCACAATACATAGTACTACTCACCAACCCATCAAGGTTCTTCTAACCCTATCAACAATCTGATTTCTAGCAACAACACTTGTTAATTGAAACTCACAGTTATCATCCAAGAGAAATCTGTACACCTCCCATTCATGTTCTAATGCTGAATGCCTTCCCACTTCAGCCTAACACAAAAAGGGAATGAAATAATTTGATTTTGATTTTTTAATAAGCCTAATATTTTATTATCCTAATATTTTATTATTAGACGACAAATATGATTAATCACGGCCCTCCATGCCCATATGCATGCAAAACGATTGAAATCTTGGAATCAAAATATTTTCCGTTGGAACTGCTAGATTAGTACCCCTTATATTTTCAGGAAAATGTTAGGGTAGTGGTTAAAGAATAAGAAGTAAACAAGTTTTTTTTTTAATTATTAAAAATGTTATAAATGCACTCTTATCATAATTTTAATGTATTCTTAAAACAATTATATATATATATATATATATATATATAATTTATTTAACTTCTTGATTTTCAACCTGTGTGCACTGCTTAGCAAGACTTAAATTGTAGATTTGCTAAAACATTTCTGAATTTTCTTACCGAGAAAACGCAAATTCCAAGTGTTTTGAGAGCAAATGTGACATCATAAAAAACTCGAGGTCTTCCCTTTCCAGATAGCTCAACGGGATTAGCAACCAATAATTCAGTATCTGGTCCTCTGTTTGTAATGATTACTCGCAATGGATGAAGCATTTCCAGTTTCAAACGAAAGCAGAGACCACTCTGCTTCTCCGGATCCAGAATCTTTTTCCCATCTTTCTGCTGAATAAATATGTCTAAATCACGATACCCCATGGCATTGGGCGAAAATCGGCCATAGGAAATCTAAGAACAAAATGTAAGAAGTGTCAGCAAACTGCTACAAACAATGTTATAGTTGCTAGCACAAATAGAAACTTTACACTTTTAATTTTCATACTAATAAATTTGTTCAATGGCTCCTAAAAGAAACTAAAAAGCCAATATGTACACGAAATCAGATGCACAATTGTGGTTTTCTTGCCGCTTAGATTTGACTGAATAACAATTAAAATTCAGAAAAAACGCATGTGATAAAATATGTAAGCTTGGTTCAGTTGCTTCCTTCGGCAGAAAGTGAAACAATCATTCAGCTGTTTCTTTTGTGGGTACTGAGTAAAAAGGGAAAATGATATTGATTGTCTAATTGAATTGAGTAAGATGCAATTTTTCAATTTCAATAAAATTACCAACAGAAATGATACATTATATCCCATGCTTCCAGCTGCAATCTATCAAAACTTAGACCACATGGAGATGTACATCCTTAAAGGACAATGAACTCGGAGGAAACAAGGATAGGAAGAAGCTAGCAAGGATACTGTCTTACAAATAATTGTGGTAAAGACTACCATACCTTTATATTCATGTCCTTCAAAGTTCTCATAATGTCATAAAGAAGACCCTTGTGATCAGCACATCGTATTTGAACTAGAGTATGAACTGGGCTTAAGGAGTTGTCTAGTGTTACATTGGTTTTCTTCAACTTCGTCATATCTGGGCTAAGAGCTTGAGAACGAACCTCATTATCTGACAAATCACATCGAAACAGCTCCTCTGCTAAAGCAGGAGAAAGAGAAGAGATACCCTGATTACATTCATACTCCGGACCTGCCAATTGAAGTTCGCAGCTGATACACGAGCCTCCCAGAACTGCATTCAATCTATCACATGTTTCATCTCGTCTCTTTTTTGTGTGCATAAGTTCCCTAAAAGAAAATAGAGGCGAGTTCTGATTACTTATAATCACCAGTATTCACTTAAAATAAAATTTGCAGTTGATAAAGACATTTGACAAAGCAAAATATTGCTAATAACTTTGATCAACCAAAGTATAAGATATGCAGTAAAACATATCATCACTCACAAGTTATCAGTTATGAAAAAGAGGTCCAATACTCTTCCATCAGGGGTAGTGGTGACTTTCACCTTTTGAATTGTAAGTTCAAGCTGAGAGAGGACTCTAGTTACATCTACAACAGCATCACATCAACAAAAAGATAATCAAATCAACACAACCAGTCACCAAAGAACAGTTACATAGCATATGGAAGAACATTTCAAGTGAAGAGTATTTCCTTTACCATGTAACAATCCCTTTCGATCAAGGCTACAAAACTTCAATAGATAAACAGGAGAAGATCTAGAAGGTTGCTGAATGAGATAAAAAGAGGCCAAACAAGGTGGACAAATAGCCTGAAGTCGATCTGTGAGATAAGAAGTCACAGGAAGCAACACAGAGCGTGGAATCACCCAAAATACAATGTAGCACCACGCGCCATCAGTTGAAACGTCTGAAGAAAACGCGAAAAGAGTAATAAATTATAGTTTTTCTTGGTTAATTGTAGTGTAATAGAGTAAAAAATAGAACGAAATAGGAAGCACAAGACCTCCTTTGGCAATGCAGAGCCCGAAATCGAGAATGATTCTGCAGATATCGCAAGCGAGACCGGTCTTGTCGGGGCAATTGACGGTGATGATGAAAGGATCGCCGGGTTTGTCGGGTTGCCGGATTTGAACAATGTCATCATCGCCACCCGACACTCCCATCATAGGAGCGAGAAACCAAAACTGAAGATGGTTGGTTTTGGTTGAGGTTGAGGTTAAGGTTTGAAAACGGAAAGGGACTTTCTGCACTGTGATGGTTATTATAGTTGGAGAGGTACACGTCAGCAACCGCGAAGGAACTGTAATGAACGTGGCCAGATATTGGTGGATAGTGATACCTAAAACCTTTTTGTTTTTTAGGCTATAATTTCATATCAGTTAATCTAATCTGTTTCCACGTTTGGTGCTTTTTAGGTTACCATTTTGCCATCATGGGATTGGGATGATGTCACCCAAATAAATTATGGACGAAATAATTAACAAGTAAAATAACACGGATAGTTGTAAAAAACAAAATAAATAATGGATAGTTGTTGTTTGTTTTTTTCATTCGGGTACCATTAATTTAAAATATATTGTATGGTTTTTAATTTAATTTAATTTATAAATTAAAAATATATATATTAATAATAAATATTCTATTATATTAAATAAATTTAAAATAAATTATAAAAAATTCAAAACTTCAATTAATATTAATAAAAATATAGAAAAAATATTTAATTTGATAAAAAGCTAATATCTAAAAATGCTTTCGCATGTGCATACTCTTAAAAATATATACTTTTAAAAACGTTTTTGCTTAAAAATTAAAAATTATAATTTATATAAAAAGTTGATTTATAAATTGGTAAATGGTAATTGACATGCTTTAACGTAAGCGTCTGTTGGATTATAGATGGTCCAGTGCAACGCAAGATACGGTACAAAAAATCGTAATAGTTTTAGTACTTTTCGTAAAATATAGAAGTAGAAATAAAAGTCACCCAAAAAAAAGGATATAAAAATTATTTTTCAAAGTTTCTTATTTCTCTCTCTCTCTCACCCACCACATAGGAACCAAAACCAAAGCGTGATTATGACAATGATCCAGGATATCCACGACACTTGTATGGTTTTTCTTACTATTCCCGTAACTCTCAAGACTGCAGAAAAGAAAGATCTGAATATAATTTTATTACAAATTAAATCGTTTTTTAATGTATGAGTTATACAATTCAAAATGAAATTCGAATCCGTCGAGTTTCACTTTCACATGATATGTGTGTAGACCTCGCAGCATCATAGTAGATGACAAGAAATTCGCTTGAATAAACATTATCATATTGACATTTACTCATGAAAGACACTTGAATAAACGGAGTTCAAATGAAAAAGATAACAATAGACGAGAAAAATATATATTTCAATTCAATGATCTTTCAAGCTGCAAAATTTGGAGGGACATGCTGTAATCTTTTGCCAAATAAAGAACGGGACATTCAACAATGTGACACTTGCTGACACCAAATTTCAGGCACCCCAAGTTCCTCAGTATCATAACTATAAAAATGAAAAATTTGAAAACAGCGAGACTAGTCTCACTTATTATCAACTTTGAAATGTCAAAAATAAGCGAAATTAACTGTTTTTGCCAACTCCAAGCCTCAAACGGAAATCATCTTCCATAAGAGGAAGACCATCCCTCAACTTCACCTTTGGTTCCCAGCCCAAAAATTCCTTTGCTTTTGTTATGTCTGGTTTTCTCTGTCGTGGATCATCAGGAGTGTTCTCCACCATCTTTATCTCCACATTTGGATTAATAAGCTGCAAAACAATCCACAAAGCATTAACTTTTCATGAACATTTTCATTCTCATTCTTTATATAAATATAGACAAGATTTATAAGTTTGGTCTTGTGAACATATAATCTTCCATCAGAAAAAATAGCTCAATGGATTCGTTGGATTTTGATAACCAAGAATTCCTAATCGCATTTTAGTAATCACCAACCAAACAAATGAAAGTAAACCAAACTACGAGAGGTGAATGCTACTTAAAACTAACCTCTTTCACTGTCTCAGCAAGTTCAATCATTGTAAATTCACCTGAAAATGTAAACATACTCGAATAAGTAACTGATGGCAAAGAAAGTACCGCTAAAGAGGCAATGATACTCAAATACGGGCCCTGAAGTGGGAATCTAACCTGGGTTTCCAAGGTTGATTGGTCCAGTGTTGGGTCCTTCCATGAGACGGATAAGGCCATCAACCTAAAAATGTAAATATTAGTCACAATCATATTCAGCTAGTAATCAAAAGATAATGAGGATATATACCAAGTCAGAGACGTAGCAGAAGCTTCGAGTTTGTGTTCCTGGACATTGGACTGTCAAGCCTTCACCCCTATAATGAACCATAGATTAAGTGAGAATTGAAGGGTAAGAATCAACATAGAAATAAGAATAAAGCAGAAAATATTAATCATAGCTAGACACTAAAATCAAGGTATTAAACTAATTAAATCAATAATTGATCTAGCTAGTATGAAGCGAAGTGCATGATCGTTGAACAAATCACGCGCCTGTTAAGGCTTTCTGACAGCTAAAAGCATCAGAATATATCAAATAAGTCATGCAGAAGTAACAACATTACAGCATATTACACCATATAACAGACAAGTAATTACCGAAGTGCTTGAGCAATGAAGTTGCTTACAACACGCCCATCATCAATATTCATGCGTGGTCCATATGTGTTGAAGATTCTTGCAATGCGTATTTCTGTGATGAAAAGATATAAACATGTCAAGATCAAGGTGTTAAATGAAAAAGGAAAATCTCTACCAGGTATAACTTAAATGAAATGAGAAGAATTATAAGGAAAAGAAGACAAGAAATTACCAAGCCCATGCTGCCTATGATAATCAAACATCAAAGTCTCAGCCACACGTTTCCCCTCATCATAGCAGCTACGAACTCCTGTTAAATCATATATTAAGTTCTTATTCACAGTCATTGTAACAGAAATAGTTCCGTTTAAGATGCTCAATGTGTAAGTTGAAACTGAAATAAAGGAACTTACCAATAGGGTTAACATTGCCCCAATAGCTTTCCGGTTGGGGATGTATGAGAGGATCCCCATAAACCTCTGAAGTTGACGTAAGCAAAATCCTGTCCATGATATTTAAACTAATTAAGACCAATTCATGGCAGCAATTGAAATTATCATTAACAAATTCCGAACCTTGCTCCCACTCGCTTTGCAAGCCCAAGCATGTTCAGTGTGCCAATCACATTTGTCTTTATTGTCTGTCGAGTAATTATTTCCTTACAAATTAGATAGTTTTTCATGGTTGGATACACAGAGAGAACTTACAACCAATGATGCATGATGGGAGCTAGACATAACTATGGGCAGAATGTGACACAATGCATGGGAATGAAGCAACTTTAAGTGCAAGGAAAAAGAAAAGATAAATGGGCTCAATATACTTTTACACTTAAACTATCAGTGAGTGTGGAATGAACTAGAATGCAAATTCTTCCTCAGTGGAAAATACACAGCAGATGATTAGAAAGGCAAAAGAAGACTCTCAAAACCATACCTTTACTGGATTGTATTTGTAGAAAATAGGAGAGGCAGGACATGCAAGATGGTAGATCTGATCAACCTCAATCAACAAAGGCTCAGTGACATCTATGAAAGGAGCAAAGCGATAATGAGCATCAGCATCATTGGTTTATAAACAGATTTAAAGGAAATGATGAGCATACTATACTATGTACACAATATAGTATCATCATTAGTTCATTACTGTTCCCTGAGAATGGCATTAGTTGGCTAATCAAATTGTGGTTAGTTAAGAAACAGGTAAAATAGCAATTGCTTTTAATTCGTGGTATAACAACAGTGAAGCTTATGCTGATTGCATGCCCTGGCAGAAATCAATTTACAAACTGGATTTAAAAGTTCAAATTATACAGCCCAATAAGCAAGGGATTAATAAATATAAACCTTCAGTGCATCTTATGTGCGATAATTTTAATGGTAATAACAGTTGATAGTAAACAAAGACGAGATTATACCATGACGGATAAGCTCAAATCTTGGATGACCAATCCATTTTTTGAGGTTGTCCTTGGATCCAGTGAAGTAGTTGTCAGCAACAATGACCTGATTAAACACAAGGGTATTATAGGATGATAACACGAGTGAACAAATAAAATTCATTAAAGCACCAGTGAACAACAGATGTATAACATTAAAAGCAAAAAATATAACATACTGACCTCATTTTTTTCATTTTCCATCAATCTGTCAACTAGGTGAGACCCAATGAATCCAGCTCCTCCAGTAACCAAGATTCTCATGTTGGACTATTCTCGAGAATGAAAGAAATATTGGTAAACAGGGAATGAAAGCAAGAAAAAAATGTTTATGTAAAATAAGTGATTTTGACAAAAGCCATATTCACAAATATCTAATGGATTTTGATTAATGGATGTAAGATGCATCAGTGTTCTCTTATACATAATTCAGAATCAGAGCTAGTGCTATGCACAAGAATAAAATAGAAAAACCTTTTTACAGTTAAAATAAAAATGATAAATTTCGACCTTTTACTGATCTCCCCTTCACCCCCACCGCCACTTCCCGTGTCATATTAGAAGATTTACAGTATATGACATTGGGCTTGTTGTCAAACATGTTGATGTAGTCAAACTATAATTTACAACTAAGTACGCGAATCATTCCGCGTTTATCAGTATTTTCATTTTGGTGTTTGTGTTCCAAGCAACATTAATTCTACTGATTATAATTGTGATAAGAAGAATTTTGCTACCAACTAAACAATATTATCATGATTACTTCAACACAAAAAATATATATAGAAGATTCAAATCTTAAAACGAAAATGTTTAGTTTTATGCCCAACAGTCATAAAATGAAATAATATAATGCACACAATATGGCCCATCAGCAAAGTAACAATTTTTCTCTACTCTACTAATGCGTCATGATCATTACTGTACTTGTACCCTTAAAAAAAACAGCATGACATTAATAATTGAAATGAAGATGAAATTAAAATCAAGCAAGGAACGAATGTCACGTTGCAGGGAAAATGCTAATCAAAATAGAAAGATGCTATGGTTCACCTGAAAAAATTTGGAAAAGCGTAGGGGAGATGGCAAAGGAGGTTGCTTTGACGTTTGGTGATGTCCGTTAGAAGAATCCGCTGCCATTCTCAGAACCTCCGAAATTCAATTCCTAAACAAATGTTGGAGTGGTCAATGTCGTGCACAGATATCAAAATTCCCATAAACTAAATCATGGGTCGTCACATCTATTAAATAAAATGGTCACCACAGAGTGGGCAACGACAGAGACATAATCAGAAAAAGAAAAGAATAAAACAAGTCATGAACCTGATCACAAAAGATCAACCCAAAACCCTAAGAACAAGTTAACAACTCTTCTGATCTATGCACTCCACAATCATACACCCATTTATATAGATAAATGAGAACCAGAATTGGAAAAATCTTCCACCGAATGCAAGATTCAGAAAGTAATAATAATAATAAGCTGTATAAGTTTATGAATAGATATAATTAAACCCCACAAAAAATAATTAAATTTGGAAGGCTTGAAAGTCACGGAAAGTTGAAGGACATAATGAAAGCACCCAGGCAACGACAGCAGTAATGGAAATCACACCAAACTATAATGTCTATTATTCTGAATTAAACATGCAACAGAGGCCGACCCAGCCAAACCAAACCCTACATATTGAAAATTGTGTCCATGACATGACTATACGATACGGATGCAATTACCTATCGGCCGTATGATGTTAAATCCAAATGCAAATGCAATTGAATTTTGAATATTATGTGTGTCTCTGAGTAATTAAGGTAAGGTGGAGTAGAATGGAAGTGAGAGAGAAACTGAAAATGCTGGTTGTTGTGCATGCTAATTGAGAAGTGTGTGTGTGTCAGTCCAAGGTTACCTCTTTCGTGGAGTGCCACGTGAACTGACGAGTGGTATCAGATTACCCCACATTTTGTCGAATTGGGGCTACACTTCAACTTAAACACTTTCATTTTACTCACATTTCTCCCTCATCTTTCTTTTTATTTTTTTATTAAATTACTTATATTACACTAGGCATAAAATTTGTGCATTGTATGGATTATTTAATATTTAAAATATTTAAAAATATTTTATTAATTTGAATTTCAATATAATTTTAAATAAATAATATTTTAAATATAATTTGTGTACTTTAATTTATTATGATTAATAATACGAATTATTATTTTTTAGTAAGGTTATGGTTAAAAATAAAATATATTGAAGATAATTATATATTAAATATTTTGTCATAAATTATATTTTCAATGTAGTCAACACTCTTTTTAAACTATTTAATAATAAAAATATTTAATTATCTTAGTGGGTCTTGATAATACAAATAATCGTTAATTATTGATAATAAATGAAGGTATTAATATACATATAATCAATAATTTCTTTAATAAATAACACGTCAAGAATTTCAAATTCTAAAACATGATAAATATATTTAATTAAATCAATATATATATAATTACAAATAAATGATCATACTGATTATCAAAGGAAAAATAAAATGAAATCAACATATATTTTTTAAAACTATATTATTAAATATATGCATATTAATTAAACTTTTTGACTTTTATATTAATAAATATTAAAAATAAACGTTGCAAAATATTATATATATCTATATACATAATGTCATTTTAATAAATAATGTAATTTAATACATGAGAACAATTAATGCCATATTTATTAAGTATAAAATATAATAAATTAAAATAATATTCTTAAAAATTATATCCATTAAATTCATAACTCTATATTAATAATAAATGTATTTTGTGAGATGAGTTTTTTTATATAAGAGTGAGAAATATACATTTAAATTGTACAACTATACGCAAATAATTATAATTATATAATTTTAAAAAATTAACATAACTTATATATTTGAATCATAACCATTAATAATGAAATTTGATAATTAAAGTTTGTTAATTTAACTCTAAAAAAATCTTCTCACTAAATATATTGTCTATATCAACAAATAGCTAAAATTAATTATTAAAAAATATAATAAAATATTATATAATAATAAAATTTTTAAATAATAGTATAATTTAATAAAAAACAACATTTAATACCATCAAAATCATATTTACTAAATATAATAAGTGCCGATTAAATGTATTTCTTTTGCATTAGTAAAATTATTATAAAATTAAATATTAAAATTACACTCACTCTCTCCCTACATATATATATGCTCGAGTGTTCAGTAAATTTTTTTATTGGGATATCAGTTATAATTATTATCGTAGTTCTTTTAAAAATTATTTCATGACTTAAATTTAGAAACCGATGTTTTCTATTCCTACGCAAGACTTGAATTCCAATCCACTAAAAGAATTAAGATTTCGTGTAAACTGACTTCTAAGTGAAAAATAAACAGACAAGCGAGAAAGACAAAAGGTTTAGTTGAACAGCAATGTCATAGTCCTTTCCCACACAATTTTTAATATTTTAATTATTAATTAAAAATTATTAAAAAATTAAAAACTATGTAAATTTTATTTTTTTAATCTTTAAATTAATATTTTTTATATTTTTATAATTTTTAATAAATAATTAAAATATATTAAAAAATGTGTCTTATGAACATTTCTAAAAGAAATAAGTGGCAGCAATGACACGCAGTTTAAAATGAATAAGACGTGAATATTGAAAAAAATCTCATCCTACAAATCAGAGAAAACTGATTTTTTTTTAAAGTATACAACATTTGTTCTATTTTTTGGTCTGTTTTTAAAATTTATAAATGTATATTAAAAGATTAAAAATTATATATAGTATTAAATACTTAATATTTAACTAACGAAATTGTTCACAAAGAAATAAAGGCATATCATTGCCTTTTGAGATTAAAAATAAACAAATACACTTTTAAATCTTGTAGTTTAAATCAAATTTAGTTTAAATTTGTATAATCATAAACACCAAAATTTTAAAAATATAAAAAAAATTAAAATGTATTTTAGACAATATATAACATTGCTTTATTACAAAATTCTACTTTTACTGTTCACAATTTTTGTACTGTTCTTTTATATAAAAAATATTTTGAGATGTTCAAAATTCTAGGCACATAGATTTAAGTTTCAATTTCATTTGTTAAAAGCACGTAGCTTACATGATATCTCACACAAATTAATCTGGCTAGAGGGATTCTCCCATTGAACAAGTTCCTGGATTGCCTCTTCAATTTCTATGGTGCCCTTTATACATGCACTCAAGCAGAACCCCAAGGCACTCAAACACAAAACAACTTGGCTCTTTAGCTCCTTATCATCTTCATCACCATACAAGTTATCAACAATACTTCTTGAACGTTGCAGATAAGAGCCTATGATTTCTCCAATTCCATCTTCACCTAAACCTGAAACCATGCACGTGTCACACTCAGGTGACTTTCCATCTTCTATATCACTAGAGATATTCCTCTTCTCAAGCTCTTTCTCAACATGCATTAGTGATTTCATTCTAGAAATCTCCTCAAGACTTTTTATTGAAGAGCAGATAATTTCCTTAACGTGTCCAAGTTCACTTTGTAGCATGTTCACATCCTCTTTCCCACAAGCCACACCCCTTTGGAATTCTTGTTGGAGGAACTTCAATGCATGTTCTCCAAAACAAATGAGATCCACCAATCGTGACAATGACCCCAAAAGGTTATCATAGCAAACATTATGAAATGGTAAAAACCAAAAATTGGGTTCCACTTTTGCTTCCGCAACAAACTTGCCAAGCTCATTAACTTGCATTTTGAACCTCTTTTGGCAATTTTCCAAATCGGTTTTGCCAACAAATAGACTCAACGATTCTATTGATTCACTAAGTGTGGCCAAACATTGAGAAAGTTTCATTTTGGCCCACGTTGAGGTTCTTCTGGGCACGAATATGAGGTCCATAAAAATAGAACATGAGAGCCCAACAAAGGTTTCGATGATTCTCGTTATAGCAAACTCACTAGGTGGCCCAAAATTTTTCCTACCTAGAACTAGAATGGCCCCAATTGCTGCAGAAATGCCACCAGCAGGCCCATACATTCGGCTTCGCTGAAGGAAGCTGGTGAAAATGAACCATGGAAGTAGAGACAAGAATCTAATTGACAAGAATCTCTCAAATACGAAGCAACCCAACACTCCATACACAGTTCCTAAGACGCTCCCATGAGCTTTAACATTTGTTGCTCTAAATGTCGCTTCCCTTCCTGAAACATAGCTCACAGCCACTGGAAGCCCAGCCCAGAACCCATTTTTGTTGTTGTATAATGAGCCCATGAATACTGCAAGGCCCAAAGAGAGAGAGAGCTTAATTGCTGGAATAAGATTCGTACTTCTTAGTGTTGTATCCCAATTAGCCCATTTTTCTTTACCTTTAGGAATATTTTCTTTTTTCTTAATTTGCATGTCTTGAATACAAGTTGGAGGTTCGGTCAGTGATTTTTTGTGGAGGAGTTTGGCGCAAAATAAGAAGAAAAAAATGGGTAATTCTTGGTGAGTTGTTGGGATGGTATGAAGGGATTGGAGAATATGAGTTATGCTTTTTGCATTGGATTCGGGGACTGTTGGTGACCCACCAAGTTTAGCATGTTTAATGGTTAGGCTAATATGCTCCTCAAGGCTATTAAGACCATGTCTAAGATCTTCATTGGGAATGTTGATTGGGAATGGATTGGTGCAAGTCAAAGCCAATTCCATTCCTCTTACAGTCATATCCACCTCTTGAAGTCTCTCTATTGGGCTCAAGCTATGCGATCTGAAAATTTTAGTTGGGAATCTCTCCCATTGCATGCCATCCTGAGGAAAAAGGAAATTAATTAGAGGAAAAGAAGCAAAAAAAAGAAAGGAGAGTCTGAAACTTGCATGTTGCTTTCATTTATATAAAATGATTTGTTGGGCTTACTTGGTAGCGCATGATGATAGAAAGGAGTTTGGTTCGCGTAGTTACCAAAGACTTGACTTGAGAGATAGATCGGAGCGCACAAGTCTTGTCCTCCTCGCATAATACCTTTACAAGAACCTTCAATCTCTTCAAGATATTATTTGTTAATTGCTTGTCCCATTGATTCACCTACACTTGATACGAAACAAAATTTAGATTATCCCATCTATGAAGGAGTCTTGTGAATAGTTCAAAACAATGGTCATGTCACATAGTATCCTTGTCAATTATGTATTCATTTATATTGGACATTTTATAAATGTTTCAAATATTCCTAGTTTCCTTTTTGAAACTTTTATGTCGTTATATGTACATAACAAATCATAACATGTTATTATATTTATAATTTATAATGACATTGATCTGTATGTGTTGATTATTTTCTTTGATTTAATATAAGATCCTTTACAAAATTTTAGAATCATTTATTATTTAGACATAATGAATGTATAATGTTTTAAAAGAAATCGAATTTTAATTAAAAATAGCACATAAAATACCTAAATTTTGTCTTTAGTATTTTTTTTCTTCTTATATTTGCCTTTCATAAATATCAAACTTTTCAAAATTTTCGACAATTAATATAATAATAGAATTTGACTTTAAATATAAATAAATTCAAAATATTGTAATTACTTTTTCAAAACCAACACGTTAACTAACTGTAATAACTTTTCATAATCTATATAGTTTAATTGAAAGGGTTTGTTTAATTTATTTTGTCGAATAAAATAATTACTCTATAAAGTAACTTAGTCAACAATAACGATTCATCCCGAAATTAATTGTCAATCATCCTTATTACCTTGTTGACAGCAGGATCGCAATTGCCCCAACCAGTATTATGCAGTACTGGTGATATGCTTTTGGGTTCATATTTAAGAAGAATTTTCTGGACTAGCAATAAGTCTTACAACTTGCTCCAAAGGGTAAAAGTATTTATAAATCATTTTTTACATAATTTTTAAAATTATTTTAAACAATAAAAAACACAACTTAATGCATATTTTATCTACCTTTACAGCTTTACTTCCTCTTAAATATAAAGCTTAAGTATACTGATGTGGATATATCATTCTCTGCCATAAAAGGGGGAACAAATTAAAAAGGATAGGGAGTGAATGGGTGTAAGTATGATAGCCCCTTAAATGGCAAATGTTTAGAGCATAAGAATTCTGACAGTTTTTTCTATTCTAAGTTCCACTTTAATGCCAAAAGTTTCAGCCGTGAGTGTCCTGAAAGTTTTTATATGTATTAAAGTAATATTTTTTTACCCCATAAATATGTTTCGTAGAAAATTATTATGTTATAAATGGATAAGATTATTATACATCATAATTTTTTTAGTATTTAACATAGTTATATTTACTTAAATTTAAAATTATAAGTTAAATTAGAATAAGCTTATATCAATTTATCTACATACTTAATATTATGATAATATTTGCTTTTTATTCAATTTTTATTTAAACAATTTTTTTCCTGTCAAAATCACTTCACATGATTTTTATTTAAGAGCTACGAAAAATTAATTTTAAAAAATAAGTTAACGCTGAAAGTTTAGCACAATAACACCACTCTATAATTTTCTCCAAAAAATTATACGATTTCATTTAACATCATGACATAATTTATCAACAAGAATTGCAAAACTACTGGACAGATGAATTTCAAACAATAACTATTGATTGAAATTTAAAACTGCGACCATTGATTAACAAAAAGAGTAATATTTTCTCCAAAAAATTATACGATTTAATTCGTTTAACATCATGACATAATTTATCAACAAGAATTTCAATACTACTAGACAGATGAATTTCACAATTTTTTGTATGTATATTTAAAATTTAAAACTGCGACCATTGATTAACAATAAGAGTAATATTTCTAAGTTTTTATTTCATTTTTATAACTCTTTTAATTTCTCTCCCTTTTTTTTGTTATTGCTCATTATTTTTTTTTCTTCCTTTTTTATCCCTTTCTTTCTCGATGAAGTTTGTTTAAGCTCGTAGGATACGAAATAACTTCATCTTAGAAAATTGAAGATATTGTATTAAAAATATGTCAATTATTTATTTATTTTAAATAAAATCTTATTATTCTTTATAAAATGACAGTATTTACCAACTTAGACAAACCCTCACGAAGTATAAATACATCCCAAATAAGTGTTTAAGAGTACGTCTTTTTCCAATTAAAAACGTCGGGATTATTGTCGTTCAACACAGCCAAAATCACCTTCAATAGACGAAGATATCAATAATCAGGTTAACATTTGTTTGGAAAACAAACGTTGACGTGGTTTTAGAGCTCAACCTAAGGTTAACAATACTGTCCATTGCTTAATTTCGCGGTAAAAGAAATCATGCCAAGTACGTAACATGAACACATGATTAATCAACCTTGTATAAACTAAAATCCAAACATAGCATATGAATATTAAGAATTAACGACTGATTTGATTACCTCGTAACATGCAAGACGTGGGTAAGGAAGCAACAAAGCCAGAACGCAAGCCATCATACCTAAGGCAGTACTTGCTGCCAAGCGTATAGGGTGCATGAGAGGATCAGTGTGAACACCATTGACATAAGCAGTAACGTAAACGAGTACAATCTGACCCAATGATATGCGTTTAGCTACCAAATGCGTGGACGCAGCTGAAGGCAGAACCACCACAAATGAAGCGAGCGCCACCGCCAAAGCGACGGTGCCCTTAGAGAACCGGTTGGGTCCAATAACCCACAAGCTCAACATGGAAGGCCCAATACTCTGAATGGTGGCATAAAGCGCGAGCCAGCATCCAAGCAAGGTGTCTCCCAAAGTGGCGTTGTTTTGCATAATGAGAATCACTGTGACGTATGAGAATGCAGGGAAAGCTATGAAGGTGCGAATGGAGAGTGGACCGTAAAGGGTGACACAACCCACTATGGTGCACCCCAAGGCCATTCGGAACGCAGAGGAGAGGCACTCTCGCCACAAGCTTGGCATGTTAATGTTGAAACTCAGTTTCATTGCTATTGATGAGCTGCTGAGGTCCAAGGCATGCTTCAGTTTTATAATGAGAGGGAGCAGAAAGCACAAGTAGTGAATGTGCAAATCTCTTATTTTCTATAGCTTGAATGGGAATGGACGAATATTCCAATATTAGAGAAGTAAATTATTTGAGATATCGTTAATAATATTTAAATATTTTATAGAAGAATAATTATTCAGAAAAAATCCCTTAAGGAGCAATATATAGCCTTTTCCTCTTAACTGTTGTTACTCTTCTTTTTTCCAGAAGTATCATTGTGTAATTAAAGGGGTTGGGGAACAGAAGTGTGTGTATGGACCATATTGTAGTAGTTCTCATATTCCAAATGGAAAATTTTTTAATTTTCTCCTCTGTTTCACCTTAGTTGATAGTAATTATCTTAATTTGTTTTTGATTAACAAAGCACAAGCTTTGTTACAGCAGAATCATTTAATTTTTAAATATTAAGGCTAGCTTTTCCCCTTTTTTAAATAAAGCAATTTTTTCATACGGACAACAAAACAAAAACCTTATAAAAAGGCAAACAATATAGCGGTTGCAAAGATATAGAAAAGCACCACTAGCATCAGCCGAAACGGCTAAAGAAATAGAAAAGGAAAGATCCCTAAAAAAATAAAGAACGTTGGATTAATAGATAGAGAATTGTTTAAACTTAATTTATTATTTTGAATTTAAATTTCAGCAAATACAGCTGTTAAATATTGTCCATAATAGTTTAATTTAATTCAAACAGGATTATTTTAAAAAAAAACCTCAAATAATATGAGACAAATTATACTCTCATTTTATTTTATGTATTTCATTTTTCTACAAATAATATGATTATTTTTTTAAATCATTATTATTATTATTATTATTATTATTATTATTTATGATAGTTATTCACAATATTTACAAATTAAATAACAATAACTTAATGATTAAATATCTAAATTTTTTAAATTAATAGCTAAATGATTTCTCTAAAAGTTATTATATATACCCCACATGGGAGTGTGTTTATAGATATACAAGTATAAATAAAAAATAAAAAGATAAAAATATATTTAATAAAAATAGTTTTTATTTTTAAATATAAAATTATAAATTTAGACATTATAATCATACAAAAATAGTTGATATTAGAAGTTAATTATTAATTACATAATTGCTTAAAATATCATAAATATATTTATTTTTAATTTTATCATTTAAATAAAATATAATTATTTATATTATTTTTTACTATAAGTAAAAAATAAAATAAATAATTTAATGAATTATTTTATTAATTAAAATTTTATTTTTTTATTTTTATGAAAAGCCCTAAATGTCAATTAATTTTAAATAAATAAAGTAATACTTTTTTAGTAACATTTTTTATAATTTATTTTTTTATGTCCCTTATTTTATTTTATGCTTTTTTTTCCTTTTAACTATTACCTTTAGCCTTAAATATAAGATTATATTAAGAACTTTATAAAAAAAGCATAATTATTTTTTATTTTACTAATGACATTAAATATATTAATAATTTGAATAATTTTTTTAAAATTATCTTTTCAATTTTTTCCCTAAATAATTTCGTTAACTCTACTAAAGATTTTTTTTAAAAAATAAATTAATCTAAAGTAATGTAAATAAAATTATATAAAAGTATTATATAAATGGGAAGTTATTGGGAAGTGAAAAATGTATTTGATATGGGTGATCAAGTCACTACTAAGCATGCACTTAAGCAAGAGTTGGAGTCACATAACATAACGTGCATAATGCATGAAAATTTCTGAAATATGGTAACCAACGCATTGATTATTGGTTCTGATCCACGTTTACAATAGTTGAGGGATCAGCTTCCAAAGATCTGCAATCTACCAGATAAGCACAAATCCCAAATTTTTTTCCTTAAAGTAATTCAAAGGATATCATTAAATTAATTTTAATATTTTCTTTTACTCATCTAATTGAAAATAAATTGAATTTCAAAGAGACTTATTCTAACTTGTAATTAGATAAACATATATAAGCTCCAACCAATCTCTCTGTTTTTTATTTGATGGTGTACATGTTCAACCAATCAGTTCTTTCCCTTATCTGGAGGATATACTATATCAATACCCAAGATATAACATGTGATTATGTGATCGGGTCTTTATAATTTTATTTTTTAGAAAAAGTAGTTTTGATAATGTAAAAATACAACACTAATTTAAATATACTATTCAAAATCTATCCTTTCTCTGGTTTAAAGTTGAAGTAATCCACAAGTTGCAATTTTCCAAAGCAAGTAGGATTACTTTATAATGTTCAGCTTGCTGTATCATTGAACATGTGTTCATCAAGAGTTCAATTGTAATATATTATAATATAAAAAAATTATTATATTATTTAATAAAATCTAATAATATAAATACAGTTAATAAGTGATAATATATCATTTCTCATTAAATACTTGTTAAATTCATTAAAAAGTACCATTTTTATATTAAAATGTTATTTTAAATTTTAAATTGTTACTTTATATTTAATCATAAAAATATTTTTTATGCGATTTAAAACAATTGATAAATGCGAAGAAATAATCTAATTATAAGTGAGTTGCACAAGTTGAGTTCAATATTCATATTTTTTAAATAGGTGATACTAATAAATGGTTTAACAATATAAATTAAAAAAATAATAAATATTTTTTAATTAAAATTTATAGTATAAATATGATAGTACTTTTTTATATAAAAAATTACTTTTAATTTTAATTAATGTCTTAAAAAAATTATTCATATCTTTTGAAATAAGTCTACATTTTAAATTTAACTTAATTTAATGAACTAAATTTATATTCATATTTTATTTCCATGAAGAATTTAAACATTAAACTCATACATTCTCACAGTAAAAATTATTTGATAAAAAGCAAAAAAATTAAAAAATATTCAATGAAATATTTAAAAGGACTTATTTAAATTAATGAAATTGATTCATGACTTTTTATAAACTTTTTAATAGCTAATTGGCTTCAATAATTTTTAAAAAGTATATTAAAGTGTTTTCATTCAAATTTATTATGATAAATTTTACAAGAAAGCATGAATAAGCTTTCTTTGATAAAAAAAAATTGATAAATATTTAATTAAGTTAAATATTACATTAAAATAATATAATTTAACACACTAAAAGCTTAAAAAGGTTATTTTTAATGGAACAGTTTATATTTTAAAATTTATAATAAATATTTTAAAAATATTGATTACTATTTTTCAATTTTTTTACTCTAAATTATTAAATTCATATCCCTGCGTATTGTTATTTTTTTTAACTATTTGTATTAATTTTGGAGTGACGACATTGTCACACTTTTTATATAAGATGTAAAATGAATGTAGGAAAGAGATAAGAAGTAAATGAAGAAAAAAATGTAAAAATATAATAATAGATTATGTTATAAGAAAATAAGAGAGGAGTAAATTAATAATTAGATAATAATAATAATAAATAAATATTATAAAATATAAAGATTAAACTTTTGTTTTAGTTTTTGAAAGAGTTTGAACTTAGTATTTTAGTTTCTGAAATATTTAAAATGTTAAGTTAGTCTCTAATTTTTTTTTTATAATTTATTTTAGTATTTGAGCTCGAATTCTGCTAAGAAACAATAACAGAAAGCTGAATTATCATGTTAAATATAATGTTTGAAGTTCAGTTAGCAAAAATAATATTGAAGTGAATGTGACACCTTTAATTGTCAAATGAAGTTGTTATGATCTAAGTATCCTTTTGCCTAAAACACATCAGCATATAAGTTATCCGCCTTTAATCTTTCACTATTAGGGTTAGGGTTCTTGATTGCGATTGAATTTTATCATTTCTTCTATTATAGAGATATCTTGCCTTTATTATTAGGTTCTTTCTAATTACAAAACTCACGACCTTTCTAACAGTTTTAATTTTACAAAAATGGATGATAGAAATAATTTTTTAAATACTATAATCAAGCAATTGGAAAATAATTTTTCCTTTCTTTTTCCACGGCTGGTGACATCCTAATATCGTAGATTTAATTACTTTATGCTTTAGATCAAAAAGTATTAGAAATTAATTTAGAGATTACATTTGAGAGGTCATTTTATAGGCAATAGGTAACATCAATTTGAACAAATTTGACCTTTATCTGGTAAAGAAATGCTTAGGTTTTACTGCTCTTAAAATACAAAATGACTCACATAATGAATTAAGAATATTTTTTTTACCAAATATAATTCTACTTCTTCCACTATAACAAATTTTAATCTTTAAATATATGAATTTGGGTAAAATTCTGTATATGTACTTAGGGTTCTTTTTCAAGACAAATGAGGAAATATTTAATTAAGTTTGGGCAACAAAAGCTTTAATCAGAATAAAGTCGTTTCTGCTAACCAGATTTCTAACGTGTTACTTAACATGACAACTCAGCTCTTTATTACTATTTCTTAAAGAAGTTTGAGCTCTTAAACTAAAATGAACAATAAAAAAAAAAAGTTAAGAACTAGTATAATATTTTAAGTATTTCAAATATTAAAATGCTGAAATCAAACTCTTTCAAAAATTAAAACGAGAATATAAAACTTGAGTAGAGGAAATTACATCATTCCATTGTCAAACATGAACCTAATATCTTTATCCATGTTTGCTCAGTTTTATCAGTGACGCAACGTAAGCCAAAACATCAAATGCAGACCTAATTTAGCCATATTCACATTACGATAAAATACAAAATAAAAAATAAAAAATGGTGCTTGCTTGCGTTGTTAGTGGCTTCGGGTTTAACGCTACTCAAACTAATCATAAACCATACGTTCTGTGTGCACTATGTAAGTCAAAGTGGGATTTTCGTAGATCTCCACTCAACAGAATTTCCCCTTGAGCATTGTACCAAAGAGGAGTTATTAACTTAATATATTTGTAATTATCAATTAAAATTTATTAAAAAATATTAAATTAAAAATAAAAAGTAAAATATAAATAATATTTAAAAAAATTTAGCGTGTATTAACAAAATATGTTGTAAATATTTGTCTTTTACTGCAGCGTTTCCTTTGTCAAGGGCAATTATCTAATGAAACAGTCCTACATGGTCGTTAAAGCTCAGCCGATGCCCTTAATTATTATATATGAAGCCATTTTCAGACAATTTAAGCTAGTTTAAAACAAATTATTACTAGTTTATAAAAATGTATAATTTTTATAAAATTTTTAATATAACTTATTAAAATATCAGTTTATTTTAATAAATTTATGATTAAACTTATGACATAAGTGATATTTAAAAAAAATTATTGAATAAAATAAGTAAATATATTGAAAACACTAAAAATTAGTTTCTAGTTTGAAATAGTAAAAAATTCCCTTGCACTCCCTCCTTTACTCAAGACACTGGGATCTTTTCTAATCGAAATTAAGATATATAGAAAGAGACAGAATATGTGAGAGATGTTTCTTTCTTTGACAAATATTTACTAATCATGCATACGTGTTAGTGGAATCCCATGTAAGAAAGTAGAGCACCTCTGTCTATCCGTTATATATAAAATACTCTTCAGCCCCAAATTCTATTCTCTGTTCATTTTTTAATTAATTCCTACTCCTAGTCTTCAGGCTTTACAATGTTCAAAGAATTAACGTTAATATTTATTTCATCCAGCTGTTTATAAACAAATTCGATTATAGTATCGACTCTTACACTTCTTTTTTGCTGCATACCTTTTATACGTTTTAGATGTAACTAAACTAAATTCGATTATAATAATTTTTTATTAAATATTACAAATTTTGGCAAAATTGTTGAGTAAGAGAATAAAGAAGGGAGAACCTCAACTAGTTGGACACCTTAATCCAACTTAAGACAATGAATGCATGAGTCTATTTATTTATAATAAATTTCTAACTATTCCATGTCTCATATTATGTAGAACTCTTCTTTATTCACACTTTATTCTAAAAAATAAATATTTATTCAATTTTTAATAATAAGAAAAAAAAATTGAATGGAATGGAAAAAACTTGAACAAAGGCTGTTGGTATGTTCTGGTCAACATAAGCTGTTGAAAAAGATCTAAAACAAAACAGTGATAATGGACAAGGAAAAAGAAAAACGGTGATAGTTATTAGTTAATACTTGATACACACGAAATATTTGCATGGTCTGTTGTCTAGTTCCTAATTACACCCTATCTTGGTTTCGGAAAATTTTTGTATGGTCTTGAACTACTATGGTTTCTGATCAATAATAAAATAACATGTATACATTTTTTTTAAAAAAATTAAAATTTATTTACAAATTTGATTGTAAGACTTACTCCAATAATTTTTTTAAAATCTTATTTTAATAAGATTCTCCACAAAACTTGTTAGAATAAATATAAGAGCTTGCTGGAAAAATACAAATCACTTTCATTAATTCAAATAAGTTATTGTAAACATTCCATTGGTGCTTCTCAAAGATGCCAGAGGTCCAATGTAAATAACATGATTAGCATTTTAACTAAGTCTCTCTAAATCGTCCTCTTATTGCTAATTTCAATTTAGGGGATTAAACAATATAATAATCATAAAAGTTATTTTCTGCAGTAACGTAGAATATTTTGGACATGATTCTATTTGGTACTATAAATATATTGCTAGCGACAATTAGACATCTTTATGTGAAGAATATGTAATACGGTTCCCTTACTATTTGGAATTGGATAATGCCGCCTCCTAGACAAATTTACACATCAAGGGGATATACACTAATTTGGCATGTCTTGCATTATTAAGGCTAATGATTAGCGGGATCAAATACTACAGCACCAAGAGCTATCAAAACCCAGAAAACGAGAATACCTATGATAGCAGTTCTCAACAGCTGATCATAATTATTATATAAGCGGCCTTCTAATTCATTGGGTGGATGCAATGTTGGAGAATCCTCGGTGTCACTGTCACTTATTATACCCACTTCCCCATCTCCCCTGCTTGTCCCAGTTGAATAAGGTTGAAGCATATCCCACTTGCCAATATTAGAGCATTTCATGCAAGTGCAGCAACTTCCAAGATATGAAGGCAGTATCAGCAGATGGTCAGAAAGATCATTCTGATACGTCTCCCCTTCTATTTTCAACTTGTTCCTCGTAGCAGGCTTCAAAACCTGAATCAAATGCACAAATAAGTTTGTTTAGTAGAGCGCTTTTTACTTTATACCATATCTACTGCATGGGCTATTATTACTACTTACTAGGTTGGTGTGTTCCGCAGATAAGTAAAATTTTATTTAAACAAATAATTCGTTTGATATCCATTTCTTTTATGATCACCAACTCAATGCACCTTCTCTTGCTACTTAGTCATTGTGGGCAGAATAATCTGAAAGGAAAAGTTACCTGAATAAAAGTCTGGGCAATAGCATGAACATCTGCTGGCAGTCGTATGACAAACAAACAACCAAGGCGATTAGGAAAGTTGTCTTGCAGAAGGGAAGAACAAGATCTCATTATTTGCATGGGAATTTTTGCTGGAGATAACCCTTCACAATCCACCAACACTGTAATTTGAGGGTTGTCTGCATCAACCAAGTGCAAGACTCCATAGTCCACCTGTGATACTGAAATAACGGCCATCAAATGTCAGAAAACCATTGAATAAAACTATGACAAGAAAACAAAACATAATAACATTACGTAGAGAGAGAGAATAAGAAATGAAAAGAGGGAGGGAAAATATTGTCTCAACTCATAAAATAAAGCAAAATCTAGGAACCTTTTTATTTTGGTAATAAGCAAATGTGAGGGGTAAATGACAAGGGAAAAAAAAATACTGCATTCACAAAAAAATAACTTACTAACTGCCTGGGCAAATCGAGGTCTATCTTGAGATGACATACTGCATGCTAGCCCAAGCCTTACAATTAGGCAAGGTCTTCCCCTCACATCAGACCCATGCCAAAACACCATTTTTGACCACATTTTCAGTTCTTCTTCTGAGAGTATTCTGTAAGTTTCTCGCCATCTTATGGTTTTCTTGATTGAGGTAAAGAAGGATGAAAAATCATCATTACAAGCTGCATAAAATCTGCTAAGTTCATCATCATTGATTCTGCATAAACACCTACAAAATCATGGTCCATTGCAAGAGGAGAAACCAAGAAATTTTCTAGACTGGTAAATATGCAATTGCTAACTAAAAAGGCAATTCCTGGTCCTTGCCTAAAAGATGCACAAAATGGAATCACAATGAGAATACAAGAAACAATTGGCATAAAGTTACTGATTAAATTATATATTATTGGGAAATCTAATAGTCAAATACTATACTGTTAAATAAGTTCATAATTGGGAAGTGATGTGATGTTGTGATTAATTCAAATTTTACTCAATTGTGTTTCTCATTTCCCCTAAAAGAAAAGAGTGGCAAGTCTACAGCATCAGTATAAATCACAAATCACTTAACTGCATTAATATCCACTAGCCTGGTTTGAAACAAAAGGTTTCCTGAGTACCCATGATACTTTGTTGGAATGGCACAAATATGCACATAAATACAATTCAAATCGTGAATGCATGGGAACCATAAAATACCTTTCTGGTAAACTAAGCCCTTGATTTTCAAGCTCATGATAGAGTTGAGTCAACCAATTGTCGGGTTCTAAAATTTTAGGATCTGTCAAACTCTGACTGCAAAATGCAACAAATTTTAGAAGGTAGTAACTCTAGTTATGAAGATAAAAAGCCAAATCTTTAATTCAAGATTGATATTTGTACTGAATTCATAAGAGATCACAGAATTCACAGTGAAACAAATTGGGTAAATCACTCATGTTGAAACAATATTTCCATGCATCAAAGAAATCGAAAGGAATTCTATATACAGACTCAAATCCTGCAAACTGATCAATGTAATTTACATTTTCTACTTTTCCTAGGCTGAAAACATGGTTTTATGTTGGCATTAAAGCTCATAAAGGAAACTGTGTTTATGAATTAGAGAGTAAGGGATTAAATAAGCACACAATAAACATTAGCATGAAGAATCAGAGCATTCATTTACCTTGTATTCGTATCAACCTGTAAAGGAGATGGTTCCAAGTATGCTACTGAATCATGTGAATCGTTACTACAATCTGATGTTCCATCCCTATATTCTGATTTATCAGTAAGCACTGTTGCAATTGAAAGGGCTAGCAAAGGTCTTGATAGGACCTGACAGCAAGTTTATGCTCTGATGAATACAGCTAAACTTGAGATATTAGAAAACAGAAAAGATCTAGCACAAACATCAAAGAGAAGAGTCTTTAATCAATTTGATCCTCAACCACAATGGTAAAAGGGGGCAGGGAAAGTATCATAAAGTATTCATCAATAATTTTCATACATCAAAACCTTCAATATCATCCTTCACTCCTTCAGTGAATGGGAAGAAAGGGAGAGAAACTCACCTTTCCCTTTTCTCTTTCTCCGTTCTTCCCATTAAAGAAAAGTGTAAAGGGAGATGTAAGAGAGTGTGATTAACAAAGCTGATTTCTTTTCTCTTTTGGAAAAACCACAAGTCAATTGTTAAAACTTCACAAGGATGCTCCCAAATTATTCATTTTTCATGTCAGTTTAGTATATATATATCCTGAGATACACGGGAGCAAATTTGAGATTTTAGATATGAGATTGATATGAAAAATTCATTCCTAAATTTCAGGTCTGATACCAAACTGACCGTAACTGAAAATGATTTACTAGAATTATTGTGCTCTCCACTAAGATGTTATTCAAATATATTTTTGATGAAAACTTCACATATTTATATAACAAACCTGCATGCTTTTAACCAAACCCTTGAAGGGGGCCCACCTCTGAATCCATTTAAAAGGTGGATAACATAGGATTTGTAGAGCCTGAAGGCCTCGCCATACACATGGGCATCTTCTCTTGGAGAACCGCCTTATGATCTCTAAAGCAGCAACTTTAAGTGAAAAAAATGTGATCCGACCCACAGTACTTCTTCCAAAGTGCCCACGGATCAGCAAAATGAGATATTCATGGCTTCTTTGTGCAAAACTTATAGGATGAGATGCAATTAGTGAATTTTTGTGTTCAGGGATCCTGCTGAAGTCAGAAGAATCTCCCATGTAAACTGATGGCAGTCAAGTTTCCCTGGTAAGCAGCGCAAAAAAAGTATCTTTTCAAGTAGAAGAATAAATATCAAACGAAAATTAATAATCAGCAGCAAACAGCAAGGAGGAAAAATTTTAAAATGGCAAATATTTAAACACGAGAACAGTTTGCATTTATATTAGTTTATTTTGGGGTTAAAAGTAGCTTATAATCAAAATCTTGAGGAGAGATCCTAAAATTAAAGCAAATTTATAAACCTGCTAAATGTACGCGAAACAGGAATTTTACTTACTTAGTCAAAGAACAGTGTGTACAACAGGTACACCATCTTCCAAAAGGTTAATAAGTTGATCAAAAGAGAGAATATCATAAACCAAACACAGTACCCTCATCAAGGAAACAGGTTTTTAAAATTCATACCCCGTTCCAGAGCAAAGCAAACCATCCTATTATGCTAGACCGTTAACCATTCTGTTATCCTCATCACTAAATAGAACGTTGAAGAGCACGAGAGAAAGTTTAAGCGAACAAGATATGAAATCTGTAACAAATTTTTTGAAATTGAATTGTTACGCATTCAGGCAGGAACCTTAGATTCTTACATAGTAAAGGTTCAGCAGTTAAAAGTTCACTATGATGCCAATTTCTCATGAAATTCAAACGATAACCAAAATTAAAATTCGGAAGGAAGTGATTAGAATAATAGCCAGCACTTTTCCAAACAATTATCAAACTCCATCGAGACAAAGTTAAATTAATTTATATGAATAAATTTAACAGGCAAAGTAGTATGAAATAAGTTACAAAACTTTGACCTGAAAGAGAATTGCAACAGTTTTAAGAAGTCAGCGCATCTCCAATGGATCAATCCTCCTTCGTCGCCAAAAGTCAATGCTCCGTTGGCGCAGATCGCTGGTTTAGAAATGGAGGAACCTGGTTGAGTACCATCACATTGGTCGAAACCGTTTTTTTTTTTTTGGTGCGGACATGGGTTATTGGGCTTGAGTGGCTTAACTCATGCATCAAAATATAATAGCCCTTTTGTTGTTAAAAAAGAGTAATTACCCTTTTATTTTGACTAAAAACAACAGTACCCCTTTTATCTGCATTCTCGGCTAATAGTGTTAGTTACAGGCAATTGATGATAGATTCCAACGTTGATTATGACAAGCTAGAAATGCATAAGCCTTTCTTCTTCTTCTTCTTCTTCATTTTATTTGCTGTTTAATTAGTATATATTCCATAAAAGACAAAGTTTGTTTATTAATTCGCCGACAGTATTGATGCCACACTGGACTCCCCGTAATAATTATCATTTAACAATATGTTTTAATAAAGATGCTTTCAATAATTATACAATAATTTTGATTATTTATTTTGAGTAATTATGTTTTAATTCAAATAGTATTTTGTTATAAATGTTATTTTTGCGGGTTATTATAAATATGATTTGATAATAAATATTGTATAAAAAAACCACTATAAAATAAATAATTTTGGTAAAAAAATTATTCATTTTAAATTTTAAATGCTATATATTTATAATAGAAAATAATTAATAATTTTCTATAAAGATAGGAAAATATATATAATATAAAAAAATTCAATTTTTTTGAATTAAATTCATTTTTAATAATTATAAATACTTTTTTATACCATATATTTATTTAGTTTAATTTTCTCTTTCATTTGCCGAACAAGTAAAAGTAAGTTGTTTTTACTTCGTTTTTTCTATTTCAATCCATTCAAACGAGACATTTTTATTCTATTTTTATTTATATCCTTATTTTATTTTCTTGTATTGCACTTTTTTATCGTGGTATTTCTGTTTAAAGGGACTTAGCAAAATAGTGACAACTCAGCATTCATTGATGACCTACGGCAACAAGATGACGATGTGGAAATTTTTCTCCCTCCACCGATGAGAGAAATAGGATAGTGCGAAGCAAGAGGTAGGTTTTGAGAGGGTAGAGCAAGATATAAAATGCAGTGATTTTATATTTTACATGTTGGTCTAGTAATGACTGATTGAGTGAGATGACTTTGGATTCAATGTTCTAAAGATAGAGGAGAGGGACCACATGGATTGGGCGTCTCAGAATACACGATTACGTCATCGTCCATCCATTCAGGTGTTCATGCCATTGATAACCCCGAGAAACAATTCAGTATCAATTCCTGCTCGCTGCCATATATATATAAGCAGGATTAGGGTATAGACAAGCTCAACGTCAGCATCAATCCAAACATACCAGAAACAAGTACAGCCAGTTGAGGTCCATTACCATCTTCTCAAGTTATTGTAAATATTGCAATACATTACCTCACCATAAGTCCTATAAACCTTAACTACATAACCTGCCTTCAATTTTATTATTATTCTATGAATTACACCTCCATTTTAAAGTTTCCTTTTTGAAGTTTACTAAAATCCACATTAACACAACAAAATGTTTATTTGCAATTTAATAGATGTGATGAAGATATGCACATTTCATACTTAGGCGGCCATTCATACTTGTTATGTCTCTACCACAATCTACGTGACAGTAGTAATGACACGCTAGACAAAACAGGAGCAATATACAGGTAAAGAAAGCCTATATATAACAAAAGGCAGGGGCAAAATTCAGAATGCAACATCCACGATCACAATATTAAGCAAAAGGCAAAACTTGGCACCTAATCTCAAATTTTAACAAGGTCATTCAAATGAACAAACTAAATTTCCAATAAACTAGTCACCAAACATTGGCCAAGCACTTAAAATACAGTTGGTTTTTCCAGTTATGACAAATGACCACTGTAAAGAAGAACAACACGGAACTGAAGAAAGAAGCATGCTGTTAACTTCCAATGGCAGACTGGTGAACCAATCCATACATTAACTTGTATGTCCTTCAGTTCATAAAAGCAGAATGGGTAACCAGCTGTAAATCACAACATTTCTTGTGACTTCCGCACACAACGGCTAACCTTTTTCTTGAATTCATCTCTCCTCTCTCTCCACTCCTTCTGCAACATAAGATCACGACACCGGTCTGAGAAAAACTTTCAAAAAATTATATTTAAGCTGTCAAGACTGAAGCACTATATAACCCCAGACGTGGCACATTAATCAGAGAAGATATTAGAAACAACAATGTGTATTTATAAAATGTACTCAAAATAAAAATAATTACAGGAACATACGCTAAATCCTCTCCTCAATGTACTCCGACAAACGACACATACACTAAACTCCAGCTTTTATTTTGGGTCAAACAGGATATCAAGAAAGCCAACTAGATAGATTGAAGTTGAGCCCAGTGAAATTCTTCAACCAGGAACTAATTTTATTGTGACAGACATAATGTCAACTTGAAGTCTTGGCAATTTAAACCCAAGACACGGGTACTCAACCTGCCCCCCTCACCCATGTCAGAAAGTGTTAAAAACAGGATCTCACAGTACGACAGGGGGGGCCTTGAAAATAGTGCCGCAGCCCCATCAACCCCCCCACCACCCTTCCGCCAAGCACACCTCTCATAAATTCCATACCTAGTTATGCTACTACTGAAGTTATTGTTAACTGATACTGAGCTGCATTTTTCTGCAAAACAAAATTACTCTATTACTCAGAATGACACTTATCTTGAACATATCTTTAAATTATATGAAAAAATGGATTAATTATAAGATTGTGGCTCATTATTGTATATAATTATTAAAATATTGTTACAGAAAAAATTATTCATAATAGTCATAAATGTGAGATGGGGAGGGTGGGGTCATAGGGTGCAAGTTTTAATATTTTCTTGTGGGACTGGTTTTCCATCTTAAAACTTGAGGGGCAGGTGGGGTGTTGAATGCAATCTTGAAGGGTGGGTTGAGCAAAAACCTGCCCCTACTAGTCCCATTGCCAATCCTGCTGTCATCCTAATAAACTAAAAGAAACATTCTCGTGCTTTTTATTTGCTTCTGTGCTTCATAACTCCAATTATAAAAATTGAGTTTTGCTTAAATCAGAGCTATTTGAGCAATTTCTACTTCCCTCATAACATATTTCCTATAAACTATCCTATTAATATTATTTTCCTACTGTATTTAATCACTTGTGAAATTTATCCATACTAAAAATAGAAACCGCCTCACTATGTTATCTACTTCCTCTATTTCATATAAAATCTCATTTAGTATTAACACACATTTCAAGAAAATGATTAGCTTTACCAATTAATATAATAAAATAAATTAATTTCACTAAAATACCCTCATTAAAAGTACTAATATTATTGCAATAGTTAAGTGATAACTAAATTTAGAATAGTTTTAGTAGTCAGTTGACAAAAACTATCCTTAATAAATAAGGGTGTTAATTTTTTTTTTTAATATTCTAAAGTGACATAAAAAGTGTTCAAGCAACATTTAATGAGTCAGTGGGAATATTTATTAATAGGAGAAGAATTATACAAGCCTGTATTTTTGCAATTCCACATCTCACTATTTACATGCACTAGCTAATTGCTCGAGTACTTCAGCCACTAGATCCTCTAGAATTTAACTTCATATCAAATACCTAATCTTAAAGAAAATTCTACATAAGTTTGTTTTATTGTAACACCAAGTTCTTAAATCTATACATTGACAAAAAAATTCATTTCAGAGATAGCAACTGGGTTTTTGCATGCTTCTCATGAAAATTGTCGGTTCAGCTTTCCATCACTAGGATGTAAGTAAGTACCACATGAAAGGAGGAGAAAGGTTGCAGTAATGAAATCATTTAAATGTGAAAATGGTCAAACTCACCGCAGCTTCAACATTTGCAGGGGATTCGTCATTAGGACTAGAAAGCATTGATATTATACTTAATACTATACTCTCTACCTGCAAGATAGCATACAGAATATTTATTAATAAGCAGGTTTTAAATAGCTTTACAAGTAACTACTAACTGGAATGTCAAACCACTGGTGGTAAACAAGAAGTGGCTACCGTTTTAATACTCCAAATTAGCATAAGAGACGAAAGTGTTTGTTGTCTTTACAAGCACTTTAGTCATTTCTGTTTTGATAAATCATGTCAGAAAGCTCTTGCTTCAACCTTAAGACTTTCATTTATGGCTCTCCATCTCCATGAGTCATAAACTCAATAGTCAAAAGAACTGAAACCACTACCACTCATGGGGCTTTCAGTTTAACTTTATTCAGAGATTAATTAGAATATATTAATATGAAAGATAAGTAGAATACTCTAAGATGAGAGAGCTAGCTACTTAGCATACAGGAATTTTAACTTTTAATACCTAATTTACTAACACTTTCCTTTTCATAGAAAGTGCAATGCTGACAGAGCATAACAGCATTACTAGAGGATCTACCCTAGATTATGCATATGAAGCACACACATATGTACATTATATCCTACCAATAGCAGGCACAGACACAAATTATATTTTTGAAACATTGTTATAAAAAAAGATCACACATGCTAGTGCTATCAATGTTAAAATACACCAATCTACAACAATGGGACAGTAAAATTCACGTATTAATATGTAGTTTATCCGTTAATGCAATGAAATGATTGAAAAAATTAAGTCTTCTAGAATTCTTAATGCAGGAGAACATTGATGGACATGCCTGTAAATTTAGCATAACATGTTACCGCCAAATCACAGGAAGGAAAGTCAATAAATAAGTGTGTCAATGACTCATTGGTTTGCTTATGGTGGGTATTTACACATTTTAACTTTATTAATAAACAAAAGCATGCTGAAGGGAAATTAAACAATATTAATCATACATTTCTATCACGAAGTTAATTTAGGCAGCAATATCAAAGCAAAGCTCCCATTTGAATAATGAATGGCAGAGAGTTCTCATCACTAAAATAAATTAACCAAATTTATGGTTTTATGTTTCTACGTACTGTATGAACAGGTGTCCAGCGCTCACTTGCAAGCTCATAACCATTTGGGTCCTCACCAGGAGGATGAAGAATTGATATGCAAACGCGCCCATCCGGATATACTGCATTTTGAACAACATCATTCAACCTCACGTTTTAATCAAAGCAGGATTGAAACTGAGTAAAACCAACCATTGGGATGCCATATCTCTGAGGTAAATTTCACTGATGGCGGACTATTTGGGTAGTTGGATGGAAAGCTCATAATGGCATTGAAAAATCCCCCCTCACTACGAGAAATTCAAAGAATAAACAACCAAAAACTGCCGAGGTCAGTAAAACTCGAGTGCCATAAAGATCGTAGAAACAAAGTAAAATAGTAACTAGTAAAGCTAATTCAATAAGAGGAAAGGATGCTCAAGTGTTATAAATATCGTTGAAACAATCTAGTGCAGCCAAAAGAAACCAACTAAGAACAACCCCCAGCATAACAGCATAATCAATATTATTTTCATCAAGCATCCAAATATCATTTCCTTTACTTGGGATGAGATTATGATGGATGGCTAAAAGTTCAACATTCAATCCCCCCCCCCCCCCCCCACACACGTTTCTTCCCCGAACTCCCGAGAATTAAACAGAGCAACAAGAAAACTCACACAAAAACCAGTTTACTGGATTCCCCACGATTTGAGCAGAGAATAAACAAGCCCATCCATTAAAAAAAAAAATAAATAATTCCAACAAAAGTTTGAACCCCCCCCCCCCCCAACAAGAAGTGCAACTAAAAACGTGATCTTCAGGGGAAAGCCAAAACCCCAAAACACAGAATGAAACAAAGGAAATATAAAATAGTGTAAAAGAATAAATGAAAAAACGCTCACTAAAGAGTATCGGGAGGGCCAATTATAGTAACGCTCCATTCAAAAATATTGGCTTCGTCGACCAAACCGGCGGAAAAGCCATCAACGGGGTTCTTACAAAGATCTGCAACAAAGGGAAGCTCAATCAGAAAAACAAGCAGAGGGAAGAGTGGATTTGGATGGTCGGGCACAACCTTTGAGCTGCTTTTGAAGGAGAAGGCTAGCTTGGGACGACATGAAGATCGGAGAGAGAGAGAGAGAGAGAGTTGAGATTATGAACAAAGAATAAGTATGAATCAGCGAAGCCGACAGAGAGCTAGATGATATTTATTTATAGTGTGATATGAAGAGGCGAGAGGAAGAAAGGAATGTGAATGTAATTTAGATGGATGAGAATGAGAATGAGAAAGGAGAAAATGAAAATGATTCGGGTTTCCTCTGATGCGTGAGACCGGTCCGGGGGCCGCGAGCCAGTTTGAGTTTTAATTCTCTGCGACTTTTAGATTGCTGCATCAGCTGTGGCCTATCCTTCTTTTTCTTTACTTCATAATACCCCCTGCACTATACTATTCTAACAATAATTTTAAATTTTACTAAATAGATTATTTATTATATTTTTAAAATAATAAATATATGTATTATTCATATAATATTTATTTTATTAATAAAAACAATATTATTAAGAACAATTATTGAAAATTAGTAATTTTTTACATTTTTCTTCTATATTTATAAATTATTTTAGTTATTGAATTAAAAATATTAAATAGTGTATATAAACATCATCTTTAGAGTTAACATATTAAAAAAATTTTATAGCATTCAATGTTTTTGTTTCATATGATTTAATACAATAGATATAACATTTAAAATTATTTCACGGTTAATAATTAAATTCATGCATATTTCATCCATTACAGAATTAACTTTGTTTAAAGTTAATGTACATGGATTTTAAAATATTATATTAATATGAAATATTGTTATACCTTAATTGAAATTATTTATGTAGACTGCATTCGTAGTATAAATAAAATTTATACTAACATTTAGTTATAAATTATTATATAATAAACATTTATTATTTTTATCATAATTTTTTTAAAAAATTACATTGAAACTAAATTATAAATAATTAACAGTGTATAAAAATGAGTTAATTCAAGCTTGTCCTATCTACAAAATGGACAAAAATTTATATTCCCACATATTTAAGAGTAAATTAGTGGGCTGGCTCATAAGTCAACCAACTAAAAAAAAAATTGATAACACAATCGATTAATAGGTTAGTCAATCGAAAATAAAAAATTATTATAAATAATAAAAATATTTTAAAATTATATTAAAAAAATTAAATGTTTAATTAATGTACTAAATTATATTAATTAATGTTTATTACTTTAATGTACTAAAATGAGAAAAGCTAAGCAAATAAGTTCCCGCTAATTTTGATGGAATAAACAAATCGGCTCATTCGACAGAAATTAATTTGACAACCTATTTATACATAAATGTCAAAGATTATATTATTTGCATATACTACACGTTATATTTAATCAATTTTATTTTTATTGGACATAAAATACAATTGAATAATAATATGATTAAATGTTATGTTTTTAAATGTAAAATATAATTGACTTAAATGATTTATAGATCATGTAATATATTTGTTTGGATTTATTCAATATAAAATACAATTTAAATAAAAAAATTGATATGAAATGTTATATTTTTTTAGGTAATGTGTTTATTAGATTAATTCATTGTTTATTTTAGTAAAAAACATATTTAACTTTAAAACATTATTAAATGTTTTATTCAATAAATATGAAATATTATTAATTTAAAAACATTGTTAAATACTACATTAATTATGTAATTGTTTATTATATTTAGTAAATATAATGTGAATTATCAAATACATGGGTTTTATATTAAAAAATTGTATTATTAAAATAATATTGTACTTGTTAGCGTAGGCTCACGGCAATCTTACTGACAATTTTTTTAACTTGAGATTTTATATGCGTGTGTTCAATGAATTACTTGTGTGAGTTTAACATAAGAACAGTGCATATAAACCTGACAGAAATTATTTAAATGGTTAATACGAAGAACTAAAAATATGTGATTTTTTAAAGCGTTCACATGATTATTAGTTAATTATTAATATATAATTTTTATAATTATTAATTTGAGATTTATTTTTAATAGATGTCTTCTGCACATAAATCACTTTAAAAAAATCTACAAGGGTATCTCTTGGTCAATAATCGGATGACTATTCTCTTTCCGATGAGCTTTTCCTATACACACAGTAAATGGTTTATTTCTCCCAATAATATATGCATGCTCAAACGAAAAAATAAATACTGTTATATACATATAATTTTTTATTATATTTTTAGCACAAAAATTGTCAAATATTTAAGTAATTGTATAAAAGTGAACAAATGTACATTTAAATGATTGTCTATAAAAAAAATACCCATTTAATTGAATTAAAAACAAATATCAAAGTAATTACATAAAATTGAATAATTTTCTTAATCAATCACCGATGTAAAAAAAACTTAAATTAAATGTCAAATTACTTACTTTTCTTGTGATTGATTGGAGATATAGTAAAAATTTAGTTTTAATAATGGATATAAAATAAAAAATTAGTTTAAACTAAAGTCAAAACCCTGCTCCAAGTTACCCCCTATTGTTGAATAGTGTAAATATCACAGCACTCAAACACAAACCCCACCTCCATCAATGGCAAAAGGTTACTAAGATCTCACGAGGGGAGTAACACTCATGCATAAGTGAAGGAGTGTCGAATACAAAGGTAAACGATGCAGGACACGCGTGCTTGAAGAAATCCGTGTAAACCGACGCCTTACACGTGTCTGTACTGTTGTAACTATTACTGCAACAAAGCTCGTCCGTGTGGAAAGCCTCGCACCCACTCTTACATGAAACCACGGTCCCATCATGCACTGGCCAACGATGCTGCATCGGAGGGGGACACGTGGCAAGAAGGTTGTTGCAGCAACCCACAACGGGGCACACCCCTCTGCCCTGCCTCGGGGTAACCGTGATGGGCACGTTAAAACCATGGACAAGGCTAACACCATAAGCAGAGAAGTTGGAGTGACCGTGGTGCAGGCTGAAGTGAGCCGCCGTGGCAGGGGTGGCCCCACCCATTCCGTTACAGTGGAGGCGATCGTTACAACTACCTGTTGCACATAACAAACTATCGTTGGTGGAGTAGTTACAAAGGGTTCGGGCCCATAGTCAACCGGCCCAATGGGTGTTAGGGATGGAGATGGAGAGATGAGTGAGAGAGTGGAGGATGAAGCCACCGTGCTGGAGCACTTGGTGGCCCCTGTTGGCCTGAATTGCCAGCCAGAGTGTGTCGTTGCACTTGTTTATGATGGTTAGAGTGAGAGGAGTGTAAGTTGCTGTGGAGAGGGTGCTCAGGATGAAGATTGATGCTGTTGCAGCCTGTGACAATGTCAGTGAAGAGGGACCCATTGCCGGATCTGCGACTTTTGTTCTCTTCACACTTAAAGCTGGGCTCTGTACTTTTTATTTGGAACCAAAGATGCTAGGTGGAGTAGGTTAATTACTAGTTTAACACTCTTCTTTTTTACTTTATTTTTAGTGTCAACAACTTTATTTTACTTTTTGTTTATCTTTATAATTTACCCTGCTTATGAAATTTGGATCCGGATTTCATGCAGTCTGCGCAAGAACTGCACCTGTGTATTTAGGTAAAATTTTATATTTTTGTTTAAATAAAAATGTAAAAACTTAAATAAAAATAAAAAATCACGTAACAAGACGGTGTAGTTACTGCACTGAATTCAGATCCATAAAATTTACATTTCAAATTTTTGCTTTATCTATACGTGTGAAAAGGGATTAAATTATATTAATGTAAGATATACTTGTTTTTATATTATTTAATTACTTTTTAGTAAATAGTATAAAATATATATTTTTAAGATATATAAAAATAAAAAAATTAATTATGTATTTATAAATTTTCAATTTTAAAATAAATAATTAAAATGATATTTAATTATAATTTAACAGTTAAATCGATAAAAATTATTTTTTATATTAAGTTATTAATCTCTTCAAAAAATGGTATTGTTGAATAAAATATATACAAATAGATATTAATAAATTATATGTTGAAACAAAAAATCAGTATACATTATTAAAATAATATCATTCATATGAATCAATAATTGAGATGATAAAATTTAATTTTAATAAAAATTATTAAAAATACCATTTTATTAAATTTAATGTTAAATTTTATTTGATTTTATTTATATAATTACTTTGTATAGAATTTTTATTTTTTTGTATTACCTTTTTAATCAATTTAATTATATTTCATCTTATACATATTAATACATCCCACAACCCAACTTGTTGTTTTGGGTCAGTAACCTCAGCCCAATCAATAAATTTGTATTATGGCTTACGCTTATGATATGGCCCCTCATCTGGCTCAGCTTTGTGGCCCAAAATTTTTATTGTAAGTTTTGGTGCATATTTTATCTTTGCCAATTGCCATACACTAAACATATTTATTATCTTTGCCATACGCTTATGATGTATTTAAATTATAAGTTCTAACTACTACCACTCAACAACTTTTGCACTTGAGAGCCACCTCCGGGACTGAAAACCTACCTAGACCTTTAAACTTCATCTCTCCAGTGCCCTTTTCTTCTCTCACTTCAATTCCCAAAGTCTCACTATGCTACCTCTGTCTCTCATTTCCGATGTAAGACATTATTAATATTAATTAATATGACTTAGGGAATAGAGAGATTAATCTTAATCACTCCCACCAAATTAATTAATTTGTGAGTGAAGACAACGAAACCTATACCTCTCTCAGCCGCTAGCCGTCATGTTTTTAGAGATATCCATCTTTATATTTTGCACCAAAAACAATTCGCATCTTAGTCTTCTCTCCCAACCATTTTCTTAATTGGACTTTATATATCGCTTTTTTTAATGTGTGTCTAAGGTGAAACATTAAATACAATCTCTTAAATTAAATGTTGTGCTATAAAACGAGTGATGCATGCAGCAACTCGTATATTCTCTCCGGCTCATAACTCCTTTTCCTTGTGATTGTTAACAAAGTCAGAAGAAGTAAAGATCAATGGAGAGTCGCAATCCATCGGTACGATGGAGCCCTACAAAAGAGCAAATAAGCATTTTAGAGAACTTGTATAAGGAGGGAATAAGGACTCCAAATGCTGACCAAATACAAGAGATAACTTGTAGGCTCAGGGTGTATGGTCACATTGAGGGAAAGAATGTCTTCTACTGGTTTCAGAATCACAAAGCCAGGCAAAGGCAGAAGGAAAAGCAACAAAGCGTGGCATATTTCAACCGCTTTCTTCATACCTCCCATTCTATAATTTCCTCCAAGCCACTTTGTCAAAATGGTTGGTTTGCTAATATTGTTTCAATTTTATTTTTATTATTTGTAATACATATGCTTATATCATATAATGTTTTTTTAATTTGTCTATTTGATAGAAATGAATTATACACATGCATCTTAATTTTTTTTCTTTTAAGGTACCATTCATGTGAATGTTTATAGTCATTTAATAGGGTACTATCGGGCTTACATAATTTGAATTCCTTGGTAATTAGTGGCGGGTAACTTGTAAGTACCATATATTGTATGTGCATGGCACGATCTTCTTTTCCTAAGATTTTACACACACACACACAAAAAAAAAACTGTTAGTAAATGCATGCATATTGCATAACCATATATATAGCCAATGCTCTTAATGCAAATGTACTGGGTTAGTGCATTAATTTTAATTTAAAAATCAAGTGAAACTGTATTTTAATTAGTTTATTTACCTTGCACGATTATATTAAGAAGATTTTTTTTCCAGTTGTCTGTGCCCCATATTGCTTGCAACAGAGTGGAATCAGCTTTTATCCTCAACAACCAAAGGTGCTAACACATGGAAGTATTAACTCAAGAACTGAGAAAGTTGTGCCTTTGGGGATGCCAAAATTTCGTGATGGCTCGCAGATATACAAGCAATTGCACCAGAAAGTATCCGATTACAACTTTAGCATCAGTAAGCCACAAACGTTGACTCTCTTTCCCCTTCATCCAACCGGCATTTTGGAAGGAAGAACAACCGAGCAAGTGCCTTCTCTTGCTTCAAATTCTGCTGATATCACTGATAAAACTTCTGGTTCTTCTGATATTGATGGAGATGGTCGTCCAGGAAACCAATCGTTCATTGATTTTTTCACTTCTGAACAAAGCAGTCGAGGGAGTGATTAAATATTATTGGCCAAAACTACTAACATGCAATTTTGAGTCCCACGTTGTTAAGCTTCGAAGTAGGTTTTGGGTCGGATATTGAGTTTCATCGTAACAATAGCGTCAGTGTTTGAGAACAAGTTTCACGTTGAGTTAATTAGAAATAAATAAATAAAAAGGTTTATGAGTATAAGAATACTTGTGATTCCCAGCTTCTTTTTTTGGATATTCTTTTATTTCTCTATCAAAATGAAACTTATTTAGTGCATTTACTTGTGATCGTAACGAGCCATTCATATCCGAATTACTTTATATACAGTTATATTATTTGAATATAAAAATTAACATGCATTTTATAATCATTGTACATAATTATTTATCTTTTCTTTGCTTTTATACATGCATTTATGTAAAAAAAAGTACACTCTAAAATCAAATAAAAAATATTTTGTCATTCCATTTTTGTGTTCAAACATTTTCCATTTATTATAAATGATTTATATATGTGTGTGTGTTTAAGGTATTATTTTATAGAGACGTTTAGAAAAAAAAAAAAAACTACTATATGAGTTTTTAAATTTTAACTACACACATTTATATTTAATTTATATTTTAAAATTTTAAAATTTAATATTTTTTTATTTATTTTATCAAGTTCTTTTGTATTTCAAACTTTAAAACTTATTTTTTTTCATATTTTTATTTTTAATTTTAAAAAAAAAATAAAAAGTACAATATTCTTTGTAATACTTTTTATAAGAAACATAATTAAATATTTTTTTAGTTCTAATTATAAAAAATGAGATGTATTAATTGCTGAATTTTTTGTATCTTTTTTTTTATTGTTAAATGTAGGTTTATAGGACAACAACACTAATCACATCATTCAATATCAAAAATATTTTTAAAATAAAATTTATATTTATAAAAAATATAACTGAATTAATTACTTTCTTAAGTCATAGTGATTTAATCTTTTGTTTCTTATTAAAGAAAGTACTTTTTAATAAAAAAAAATATTATATATATATGAGATTAATTTCTTCAAATGTAAATTTGTAATTTTTGTTTAAATTTATAACTTAATCAAATGATATTTTAATTTCATTTGAAAGATTTATTTAATATAATATATTTGTCATACCTAAATTAATATAAACTAATTTTAAATGCTATATGAATATTTTAGTAATTTCCTATAAGTAATTTATAATAATAAATATATTTAAATAATATTTTATAAATTCATACATTATATAAATATAAAATTTAGTTTAATTAATTTTGTCTGTCCAAAAATTCTGAATAGTCAGTGATTATCAACTGAAATTGTATGTGAAGTCACAAGATTGTTGATAGATGTACCTATGACTTTGATTCTGCCTAAGTTACATCAACTTTTGTTTGTCCACAAAGGCTGATTGCCTATGATGTTTCAGATAAAAACATGAAGAAGAGAGAAGCTGTTGATTTCATGGTTAAACATTTTCACATCATGGTCCTACTACCTAGGCTCCTTCTCAGCATGTTCCTTTCAAATTGTTTTATTTCAAGCGAGGGATAATTGACAAACGATTTTACTTTAGAAAATGGGACTTTCTTTCAAAAGAAGTTGTTGCCCACATACCTCAATCCTAATATTGCTCTCTTGGGTTAGGGTTATGCAACGGATATGTGGTAACATTTTCAACTTTGAGAGTGGGGAACGTTGACAAGACAACTGTCAAAGGAACTTTCTACTTTTCAAACAGTGTTGCTAGCTTGATCCATTGTGCCGTAACGTTAGTACACAGACAAATTATAAATTTACATGTACGCTTACAAGGTAGATTGTTAGCCCAGTTCAATTTTTTATGGTATGTTTAAATGTAAAAAGAAATTTCGACATGTGATTTTGAGAAGACTCATGGTGTGATTGAATTAGTGTCAAGTTCATTTCAATTTTATAAGTTATAATTTAAATTTTAAAATTAATACATGTTTGAAATTAATCTTAAGGTTGAAATTAAAAATATGGAAAAAAAATCAAGATTAATAATTACTTTCAAATGGAAAGGATGCATCTTTAAGGATCCTAATGACGAATAAGAATAATTAACGTGTTCAATTAAATGCTTCAAGTATTGAAGAGTTTTTATACTTTTAAAGATTACTCTTGTTTAATTTGACTAGTATTTAACTACGGAAGCCGAGATCTAACAGATATTTATCATTTGATTTAGATTAATTTTAGATAAATATTATTCAACTTTCTTAAGATATTACTCATGTAATTACAAGTAAAGAAATGCTGTCAAAAATATAATTAACGCAGTACTTTTCTGTAATCTTTAATAAAAAAGTTTAAAATTTATATTTTTAATCAACATCCACAACAAAGCCCTTATGTCAAAACAAAAATAAAAATAAAAATTGAACACACAGAAAGTGATAATTGTTGGCATTTTACCTGGTCATGGTTCTGACTTCTGAGCAATGAATTCGACGCTCATGGTTTTTAATATTCTTGCATTGTGAATAACTAAGATTTTGTTTTGATATTTGTTTACCTTAAACTCACAAGTGACTCACACGCTTTTCTAAGCCCATCCCATGTGACATCCCTATCCAATACCCAATCGTACACTTCACCCAACTCAGCCCACACGGCCCTTTCCGGAAATCGCATTCCTTATCACATTACATAATCAAAACGCTCCGTTTTCAGAAATGTTAAATTTAAATTCTGTTCCTTACATGCTCACAACCCTTTGTCTTCGCATAACTTCTTCTAACTTTTAATTTGTGGCTCTGGGATTCCGCGTTGTTGATGATAGATAAATTGACACTTATGATGTCATCACTCATAAACTTGGAAGGTAAGTCTTTCCCTTTGTTAGAAGAATTTGCACTGAGCTACTAAGCGTGTGTTTGGGGGCTAAAATAGATTAATATCTTCATAACGTGAGCTCCATAAATGGAAGGACACACCTTTATCAGAAGGTGCATGGTCCATCCTCTTGTGGTATAGATATTTAGTTAGTGTCTGTCCGACAGCAGTTTCTTCCTTAATAACTGCGAAAAATTTGATAGCTTTCAATCACCACCGAAAAGTTAGGGACTTTTTAATTTTCTCCTTTATCGCTTACTAGTTAGTAGCTTGATATGAAGATGTGAAATTCTCTAGCAAAAGGGTCATGTCTTTCGGTGGGTTAAGTATTGTTTTGAGCCTTGTGTTTGGGTGTCTTCTGCTGGCTCTGGTTGCACAGCTTTACTATTTCTTGTGGTGGAAGAAGAGAAGAACACACGTTGATGTTGAAATGGATCATGGCAATTATGCAAAGGGGCTGTTTCATTGGGGGTGTTTGAAGACACCCTTTAACATGCATGCTACAAATATTGCAGGGAGTTTGAGTAAAGACCCAGAAACCACAAGTCATGAAGCAGACTTGGAGTCGGGTGAGGGAAAGGATTTGCTGCACAAGTCCTTTGGGGAAGAAGGCGTGGAGTGTGAGTTAATGAGGCTGCACAATCTTGCTGGTCCACCAAGATTCCTCTTCCCAATCAAAGAGGAAACCAAAGAGGATTTGGAGTCTGAAGATGGTAAATCTAGGTGGGATAGAAGCAGAAAAGGTTCAAGAACAAGGAGTCTTAGTGATATTATGTTGGCTATTGATACCCCTTTTCTTACGCCTGTGGCTTCCTCGCCTTTGAAGTGTCCTTTGGACCCTCTTGATTCTTATAAGCATCAAGGATTCAATCCTCTCTTTGAATCATCAGCAGAATTAGAGTTCAACAGGTTTAGATCTTCACCACCTCCGAAGTTCAAGTTTTTGAGGGATGCAGAAGAGAAATTGCATAGAAAATTGGTTGAAGAAGCTAGGAGAAAAGCACTAGAGAATCATGGTTCTATCCCAGAAAATGGGGCTAAAGATTCCCGTAATGAAACTATGGCCACAGATTTTACTGAAGGGTCCTTTCTTAGACTCATTCAGAACAAAGACCCAGAACGCAAACAACTTCAACAGTATCTACCTCAGTTTCCTTCAGGTTCATCTCAGGTTCTCCCGTTGCCATCTTCTCCACCAACATTCAGACCACTTGATAATGCATCCTTGGTGCATTAGTTTCATACAACTAGGCTTTGGTTATTTTTTCTTTTTTCTTTTTCTCCCCATAGTATGTTAAATTAATTTTTCTAAATCACTCCTGTGCTAATTTTTATTGTTTTACAAAGTAATTGGTAATTGATACCCTTTATTTTGTGTGCCTTGAAATGATTTCTGTGGTCAATATGATTGATGCAAATTTGCGCTTGGCATGCCAACAAATAGAATGCAAACTGACATGCGCTTCAAAATGGTTGTTAAGATGCTGGTAATCGAGCAAAGGACTTAGTGGGGTAGTGTGTTTTTGTCCATTCCCCATGTTTGCTGTGGCTTTAACCTGTGAATCAATCATGTGAATGATGCTTGTTTGCTACCAATATCTTAATTTTTGGGGTCTCAATGATGTTTTGTTTTCTATTTAGAAATTTCCACAATCATTTCCGGTACTAGTATTTTACTTTGTTATCATTTATACCCAGGCCAGTCGTATGCGCCTAGCTGTGTCTTTTGATTTGTTTTTGTTTTTGTTTTTGTTTTTAATATCTGTTGCTTAATTCAAATCAAAATTAAATTAGCTACCAATTAGATCAGTGGTTCCTAAATTCTAAGGGTTAAGGAAAAACATGAGAAAGTTCGCAGGCAGATCGATTTCACATGTTGATTTTAAAAGTCAATGCTTCATTCTAACGCAGTTAGCAAAGTGGTGTACAGATAATGAATTTAGAATAACTTGCAGTGTTATTGAATTTTGCACAAAAGCTTCGAGTTAAGAATTCCACCTTTTTCTACTCTCATCACCCAAAAAAATAAAACAATATTTTGCTTGAAAAAGTGCTAGTGTTTTTCTCCCGTCCTCTTTACATACACACTTACACTGCATTTTAGAATAAATAAAAGTAAGGAAGATGCTAGTAGTTTAATATTGTCCTTAATATTTATTGTTATTTCACAAATCACTTATCAATCTTATTGAAAAGAGTGAGAATTCAAATTATTCAATATCATCACATCAAATCTATAAAATAGTAAATATTGTATGGTAACTTTCCTGCGAAAGTATTCAAATTAGTGTATGTTGGAGGGCAAGTTGTGCAACAATATTGAATAGATTGTAGATACATTTAATAGGAACTCCGCGAGGCTGTCTTAATCAAACATGAAATGACGAAGTTGAAAACGGTGTGTGTCGCGAATAGGTTATGGTGTCTATCAACTTTTACCTAAACAACAAGTGATGTCGCTGTTGTCACGCGATTCGGCCGAAAGTTTCCTCAAAGTCTCACCCACAAAGCACCAGCTCCTCCTTTAAAATTTAAAACGCAAATTTGCCAAACTAGCGGGTTGCAACCTACAAGTAAAAAAATATACATATATGTATTAGTTGCACTTTGCTATGTGAGTGCATAACGTTCAGAATTTGAATAATTTAATAGAAAGAAAACATGGTGGCTTTTAATTCGAGAATAACAATGCCTCATTCTATAATAGCTGGAAAATTGGAAATTCAGCTCAGTTCCATGTGAAACCAGGTACATCCAGTGGCGTGGTCCTGGGTATGAGTCTATTCGTTGGGTCCACTCTATTTAATTCTCTAGAATTCAAATTGGTCATTGGGCTTCCATGAATAATAAATGTTACAACCCAGCAACAAAAATCATTATGGATTTTTCTTTAACAAAAATTTAACTATTTATTTAATTGTTTCTTTTTATCATTTTCCTACCTCACAAGTTCCAATCTTGAAGATAAGGATATTAGGTATTGACATATGATGTAGACGAACAGATTATTAAAATGATTTCTTCAATTCTCAGTTCTTTTTCCATTTCATTAAGATAATCATAATCAGTTTCAATTCATGTATATATTTATTTAACGGGTTTCAGAACCCAAAACAAAGACTAGACAACGATACGGGAAAAGGAGACACCGGTCAGATCACTCTTAATAAGAACATATAAAGAGGAGAGGAAACTATCTAGAAGAACACAACTCATACAATTATCATTATCCATGTTAGCTGCTAACTCTACATGTGTGTGTAAATTTGAAAATTTAATTTAATTATTGATATTTGAGAATAAGGATTTCATATACACATACGAGTCACGCTATTTTTTTCCATTAAATATTTTACATTTTTTCATTTTCTATATTTTATAAAAGACTAGTACTTATATTTATTCGATCCTAATTTATGTATAACTTAATATTAAACATCTCTATCTTAATTAAACAAACTTATAAGTGAGTCAAATAAGTTATTGACTGTGTTTAACAAAAACAAAAAACTCATAAATTTGTTGACAGTTAAAAAGTTCATGTTTAGTTAAAAAAAACTAAAAGCTATTAAGTATTAGGATACCTTTTTAAATTTAAGCATTTAATGAAATTAGTTATTAAAATAAATAATAAATGTAAAATGACGGTAATCTCAATCTTATGTCGTATACTTGATTAGATATACAAGCATACTATTTAGTGAAATGTGCATGTTAACTAGGCTTCCCATATATAGATATAAATACTTATAATTATTCTTCAAGCATAAGTTTGTTTTTACTTTTGGAAAGTTATATATTTAATGCATTGCACTAAGATTACGTATATTATCTTATTATAATTTTTCTTTAATAAATAATAATGTGTCAAAATGGTTATAAATATCAGTCTAAACATTTTCATCACCTGCAATGCACAGCGAATAAATTCAAATTTTATATTTAAAATTTGAGTAAAATTTGAAAATCTCACACCCAAGTTTACTTTTGCCATTTTTTTTCAGTTGTTATATTGTTTTTTTTCCTTTCTTGCAATTCTTATATTATTATTTAGTTTAAATTTATTTTAATTTTAAATTTTAATTTTTAATATTATCTTTAAAAATTTAGTACTTCTGACTGTAAAAATTGTTAAATAATAATATAACTAATTAAAAATTAATATCAATTTTTATGTCACGGGTCAATTTTTCTTTAAATTACATTAATGGAAGAGACAACGAAATTTTAAAAATAAAATATAAAAAATTAGAATACCATAAAAATACAGAATTTTTAAAAATATATTTAAATTTGGTTATTTAAATAAATTATTACTTCTTGTCATAAATTATGGGAATCCAACTTGGCCGACCAGGGGAATCGATCACGGAACTTGCTAGACATTGGGTAAAGGATGAATCTGTTGGGCCTCCAGGATACGGTCGTACCCGGCCCATACTTAACATTACGAGTCATTAATAGCTGAATACTAATATTCGGCCGAAATGAAATACTTACCAAGTAAAAAGAAAAAGAACACCAACTACTATCCTTAACACATTTTTTTCAAAAAAATAGAACATTAAAAACATTTAAGATAACATAATAAAGAGTGTGTTTGTAATTAGTTGAACACTTCTTGCAGAATAAATTTTTTATCCGCGAATAAAAAGAAAAACCCGATAAAAACATTTACTATGTATTGGTAGGGACGGTTGTGTACTTCCCTTAAATAAGGAGACTTTTGTGACATGGAAAAATCAGTGTGATATGGAAGCTCAATGTATTCAAGATAGCAGCTTGTGCATAACCTATAGTTTCATTTTCATATCTGCTTTCATACTCCAATGGAGTTTCTTCCCATTACTCAAATACTGCAGATGGTGCTGTACTATATATGATTATTATTATTTTTTGGCCATCAAGAACCATGTTTTAAAGATGTAGAAGCTAATATTAATAAATACAGCCTTTCCAATTTTCTAATTACTATTTTTACTATTTATCGGAACAAGGTGTTAATTAAGATTCTTCCTTTCTTCTGAAAATGACGATAAGGAAAGGACATACATGGAAGAGATGGTTACAATTAGTGGATATGGATTTTCAGGAATGTCAAGATGAGAAACAAAGCAAGGTGATGATGATGTGGGAGTCTAATTAATTAACGACATATACATGTGCAATTATACATGAGAGAAGTTATGTATGCAATATGAATAATATCTGTTTGTGGGGGGTTGATAAAAATCAAATCAATAAGCAAATGGCACAAGTTAAAATCACCCCTGTATTGAATTGAATGATTGAGGCCCATTAAGCCCAAAGTAAGGCACATGCATGGGAGCAGTAGATAGTACCGGTTCTTCTGAGTGTTTGTGGGGGAAAACTAGCTTTGCTTTTTTATGTTGCCACTTGATCCCTGGAGTCTGGGATGCGTTAATTCATGCAATGGAAAAACAAGGTAGGGCCCACCATCATCTTCTTTTGTGATCTGTATTTCTCATGCACGTGCATGGGTGGCTTTTGTGTAGTATGTGTACCACTATCTCTCTATAACAGTGTGTGTGAGAGTGTGCAGAGGACACGGAGAGAAAGAGAGAGGACAAGTGAATGCGAGGTTAAGGCTGCAATTTTAATCCCTTTCCAACTATAACTTCGCAAAATGAAGTGGTAAGCTTTTCACATGAAAATGAGCAAAAAAGCAGAAACCTGTCAAAACAGAAAGGGAATTAGATTCCAACGCCACCAACATCCAATTTTGTACCTTTAACCGTTAAAAAAAGTTTCAATAACACCCGTTTAAAATAAACACCGTTACTCACCCAATTATTTTATATCAAGTAACGTGAACAAAATTAAAGCATCATACATCATGCCCTTTATATCCTAATTATCCTCCTTCAAATCCCACTCAGTTAAACTACGTCTCAAACAAAATCTGGATTGGTCACTTCATAAATAAAAATGAAGCTAATTTTTCCCCTTCTTTTTTCTACATTTCCCTTTATTTTAGCATAAACTATATAAAAATGACTTCGAGAGTTTTCCATCTCAAAAATATACATTCAATTGTATATATATGTTGGAATTTTCTTTATATATACATATATAAATACATTTTTCTTACGTATAAGAAAAGAATTGTCATCTTGGTTGAATAGCCGAATTAACCGCTGAGAATATATATTTATTTTGAAGTGTGGCGAATGATAATTTTCCTACAAGCTAACATAAATTATAATGCCAATCCACAGTCAAGGAAATGCATGATTATAAAAATACGCTCTCATACATATGTAGAGCGAAACGTAAATTTAGCCACACACATGTAATGCGGAGGAATTATATATGCTATATAATTTAATGTAAACTATGCGAATGAATGAAAGGACTACGTGAGATATGCTTTTTCTCTACCTTATTTCATCATAGAGGGCTTGTGCGGATTTATTTTTTACTTTTAGTTTGTCAATGCGTTTTTTTTTTTCACTGACTCATTTCAATAACAAATAGATTAGACTTTATATAAATAGGTATGATCTATTTGATAATTTTAAATTTTAAATTTAGCTTATTTTTTTTAACAACCTATTAAAACATTCAATACGTTATTAAATTTACTTGTAAATAGATTATTCAATTTAAATTATTTAAATATATATGTCTTTTTAAAATATATAAAACTTATATCTAAATAAACTATTAAAAAAATATGTAGTAGAGATTTTCTTTAATTCTAACAAAAAAAATTATAATTTTTAATTTAAGATTTTTTTAAAATTTAAATGATTTAATATATTATTATTATTATTTTTATATAAAACTATTTAATATATTATTATAAATTTTAAATAATTTATTTTAAGCTCAAATTTAATCTATTTAATTAAGTAAACTTTTTAAAAAATTTAAATTAAACTTGTTAATTAAATAAATTAAACTGAATTAAATTTTAAAAAGACTAAACTATAAACTTTTGTAAGATTTCTACTTAAAAGAAAGGAAAGAGAGACAAGAAATGGCTAAGAAGAACGGGAAGAAGTGAACTGTGTAGGTAATTTGGCGTAGTGGAGATGATTTGGCATTTCCAATTTGCATTTTAGAGAGTCCATAAATTAAGTTGAAGCAAAGTAATGTAACGGGTCCCGCAAAAGTCGACGTGGCAGTATCGATTCCCGACGAAGAGCATCTCATGGCAAAATGATTGATGTTGATCCGGTGCATGGGTGGATAGTATGTTACATATGTTTTTTTATTTATTTATCTATTTAGAGAAAATAAAAATTATTTATATAAAAACTCAAGACAATGTTAGTTGTTCTATTTTATCAAACATGTTAAATAAAATCTTTATATTAATTGAGTAATACAAAAAGAAAAAGTATATTTGAAAATTTTATCAAATAATTGATTTTTAATAATTATATATTATTTAAACATACAAAAAAAATAACATTTAAAATATTGAAAATAAATAATTTTTTATTAAAATATAAAAAATATGTGTTACATTTTTTAATATATATTTTTAAAAATTTTAAATTAGTAAATTGAAAATAATGTTAATATTTTTCTTATATTTATGCCATGATACATAACACGCCAAACTTTGTCCCCACCATTCCCACTTCCATGCACAACGGCCGGGGGAACCCACCTTAACACCTTTGCCAATTGCCCCTCTCTCACACTATTATAGTCTATATCTTCACAGTGGTGCACTTTCGCCCATTTTCACTTGTTTTCTACGTCAAAATATCAATTTTTTTCATTCCACCTTTTTCTATTATCTAAATAACCATGAACACTTCAGTGCGTAGTATGACTATTCTGTTTTCTTAAATATTTATAATCAAAATAATATTTGTTCGACAACTTTTTTTAAGTTTAAAATGATCAGAACCAAAATAGGACTAAGATATCCACTTAATGACAAGAGGTAGGCTACAATATATCATTTCTAAGATCATGAGTTCGTAACAATTAAGATAACAACTTTATTATTACATATGACTATTCCGCACGAATCAACTATTCAACAGTAGTGACAAAAGTAAAAAATATAATAATTACACCATTTTTCGTATAATTAATTCTTCAAAGTTTTTTTTTTAAATTTAAAATAATGTGATGAAAATATGTTATGAGTAAATTAAGCTAAAGTTATAAGACTTGAGTCTAGCCTATTTCATAAATCAAAGCCCGAGACTAATTTATTTTCTTGATACAAGTTTTTATAAGCTCGATCTTGATAAAGCCTAATTTAGCTAAAATGTCTATTTAAAAATATTCTATAACAAAACTTATTAATGAGGTTATAAACATGATCTTGAATAGATTAATGAACTTGTATTTATATATAGATTAAGATTTGTAAATTAATTAACAAATATTCAATACTAAATTGATCCATTATATTTAAAATATTTTAAAACGAGTTTAAGCCTAATTTTTAAATTAAAATAAATCTTTAAAAATGTCTAACTTATTTAATTAATAAATAAATCTCATTTAATTTAAGCCTGATATAAACGATGTCATAAAGCACCAAAATTTTGTTAATCAATAATCATGCGTAAACAATCGCAAAGTCAAAACATTTGTCGTATTTAAACATAACAGATCGATCTCTTCCTAAAATAGACATATACAAAACAATTTCTCACTTGTCATTTTACTTTCATAACCAAACGCACCGACTGAGTCAATCAGTGATACAAGGATTTGATATTTGAACTACGTTTTGAAAAGATTACAGTTTGAGGAACAATAATTAAAGAAAAGTATAGTAATTAATTCAGAACAAAAACGAGGATGAAAAAATAAAAAGTTTGATCGAATATATTGCATGTTTTATATTAAAAATAATTGGCGCCAGCTAGTCTTTAATTGCTTTACTTTTTTAAAACTCGGCCCCGGTAAACTAGTGGCTTAAAGTTGTGGTTAGATCCTTTTTGGGCACCGCACCAACCGTAGTGACATCACGGTGTAATATACTAACTTTATCCAATTTTATCGTCAAAATTATATTTGTTGCTTAGTTCTTAAAATGTGGTTCTGTAAGAAAAAAATATGTTTTTTTGTAAAGTGACATGCTCAGACTCAGACCCCAAATGCAAAGCATCGTATTATCAATTTCGTTATTTCAGTAATAAGGAATGCTGATTCTATGTTAAGTTGAAACCTTTATTCCTGGCATTTTCATATAACTTAGCTTGCAGTGTTGGAGTACTGCTGCAGTACGTACCTAATTGGCTAAGTTGCAAAAAAACTTTAATATGTAAAGTTTTATTGTCGTCAAATAGGAAAAAGCAGTGCCAGATTTAGGGGAGGGGGGAAATGATATGTTTTATGAATGTGGACATCTTCTTAACTTTTTGTCTATTATATTACAATTTATTAGCATAAGACTGAAAACTGCTTTATATTATTTCATCTATTTTTGGCTTCCCTGAGGGAATTTTTTTTTTAATAACCTTGGATGTATGCTTTATGTCAATGAAAAATTAAAATTGGACTTAACTTGGATGAGTTATGGCCAGTCCTCCACATTATATGTATTGAAAAACATGGAAACATTTATAGAAAATTGAGAGGGAAGAAAACCGATGGAAACTTCTCTATTCCAAGGAATAAAGAGAGATTGGCGTTTGTAATGTGTTCAAGTGCATCTGAGATTTGCCAGCCTACCTGTTAAATGAGCCAAGCCACCATTTAACCTTTTTTCTATTTTATATTCTCACGTAGATGCCATAGACTTTGATATAATTGCATACTCAATAAATATCAAAACTACTTTGTACTTTATTATGAATACTCTTATGTTATTGAATAATTTCTTTATAATTTTTCCTCATGTAAACCATCCGAAGCTTAATAATTATAATTATATTATTTACTAATAACCATATTTTAATCTTTTTTCTATTAATTTAAATTTATGAATGAAATTTAATAATTTTAAAATAAAACAAACACATTTTTATAATTCTTAATAAACTTTTACTACTACTAATAAAAAAATGTGGTATTCATATTTCTCACAACTTAATACAACACAAACTAATGTGATTTTTTAAGTAAAAATTAATAGCAAATAGCAAAATCCAATCAATAATTAATACTCTGAATATGTCAATCTGTCTCCGTGGACCGTGGTTAAGTTTAAATTGGTTGATTATCAATCGAATAGAATGATAATTAATTTTGCCACAAATGTAATATACGGTGTCGTCTTGCATGCATGGGAGCCACTATCCCTTCTGATGAACAAATTATCAGAACAACGCGTCAAAAAGAAGCTTATAGGTTAAGATACTTCGTCCACTTAAAACCCTAAAAATATAATAAAACAAAAAGAGATGAGAATGAGAGAATAAGCGCAAAGCAAACAAAATAAAGCCTCTTCTTGCTTTCCTCTCTTCCCTCCCTCCTCCTCTTTTTTCCTTTACTTTCCTGCCTCTGGTATTCCCCCTAGTGCGATTCTCCACCATCTCCCTAAAGAGCCATCAAACTTTATAAAAGAAAAAAAAAAAAAAGACAAAAAAGGATTGAAGCACCATGGTTTTCTCTTCTATTCCAATCTATTTAGATCCTCCCAATTGGCAGCAAGTAAGGTTTCCCTCAAATTTCAGCCACAGTTTCTGAACCCTAAAAAAAACAGCAAATCACAAAGGATAATAACTAATTATTCCTATTCCTTGTATAACATCTTCTTGAATATACCAGATTTATTTTTATTACAACTCAACCATTTATTTATTTTTTGCTTGTGTTGTGCAGCAACCAGATCAACATCAAGCAAATGGAAGCAACAACAGTCCTCAGCTGCTTCCACCGCTTCCCCAACAGCCACAGGTTCCTCATGTGGGGGTTGATGCAGGCCCAATCAGGCCCGGATCGATAGTGGATCGGGCCAAGATACAGCCGCAGGAGGGAGTTCTGAAGTGTCCTCGTTGTGAATCGACCAACACAAAGTTTTGCTACTTCAACAATTATAGCCTCTCTCAGCCACGGCACTTTTGCAAGACATGTAGGCGTTATTGGACAAGAGGAGGGGCTCTTAGGAATGTTCCTGTTGGTGGAGGATGCCGCAGGAACAAGAAGAACAAAAGGAGTCGTTCTAAATCTCCCGTTTCTACTGAGAAACCGTCCCTTTCCAATACCGCAAGTGCAATCCCTGAGATAATTGGAAGGTTCCCACAACCTTTCATGACTTCTCTTCAGAACATGAGCCGCTATGGTGTAGGGAACACAGGCATGAGCTTGCGTGAGATTCAAGCACAGTCTGGTACTCATATGGGGTTTCAAATTGGTGGTCATAGTACAAGTGCTACTATAGGAGGAGGAGGGATGGATCAGTGGCGGTTTCAGCAATTTCCTTTCTTGAATGCTTTTGAGTCAGCTTCAGCTGTTTCCTACCCATTTCAAAGTGAAAGTGTTGAAAGTTTGGTTGGAGATATTGCTGCAACTTCTAGGGTTACTCAGCTTCCAACACCGGTTAAATTGGAATATAACGGAGGTTTAAATTTGTCAAGATCTCCACTCTGTGTTTCAGAGAATAACAACCATTACTATTCATGGACCGATTTATCTGGTCTTGCATCATCTTCAGCTAGTCATCTCTTGTAACTTTGACCATTCGTACGGTCAAAATTCGCATCATCGATCCGTTGTAACTCTGCTGCGATTATCATTTTTCAACAGCATGGCACCATGCATCTTTGATGTATAAGAGAAATTTTCAAATGAATTGGGTGTTCCACACTGAACACCTTGATCACTCCACTGTCTTCACGTGGCGAAAGTGCTTGGTGTTAACAGAAATTACATCAGGCTGGTAGAATTTAGTCTTCTTCAATTGTATATTTTCTTGTCATTGGTTTTGTTTATGTTTTTGCATCGAGTCAAGTTTGTTGTGTACTATTGGCTTTCTTTGTATATTAATGTGTGCATGTATTGTTATGGGAATTTGCTATCCAACATTGCGATATCATTTGGGTACAATTTTTTTCTCACACTTACCTGCTTCATCACGCTTGGTAGCTCACACTCGTGTACCAGTTTTCATCCACGTATATATGGCGATCAGCTAACACGAAAGCAAAGTTATCAGGAAAGAAGAAAAGCGATACTGGTATACAGTGTTAAAGAAGGCGTCACTTCACATTAACATTTATCGAGGCAGTGTTAGGGACATAAGTTCGTTAGAAATTTCAAGCTTGATCACTTTTCTTGTATCTTGGACCCTCTCTTCTCTACGCAAGTTTATATTATCTTAATTTCAGAAACACTATTAATGCAAAGACATTGGTTTTCGCATATATAGATATCCCATACGGCTTCAGATATGACTGGTCTCCATATTATGGTAAGTCAGTCTTTTCTTCTTTTCCTTTCTTTTTCTTCTCTTTTCTTTTGTCTTCCATGTAGATCTTTCGGGAACTTCGGCAAGTATTTGCTAGAAGTTGCTATTAGGTTTTGCAAGCACTCAATGTCCGTAGCTCTTTTGTTTGAGAAATTCTCGGAAACTTGAGTGCGATACTCATTTAATGTACATTGCTCTTTGCTTCAAAAGTGTTCCAAAATCAGAATTCCAAGGAAGCTTGATCATTGTCAGCAGATTCATATTGGGAACTTTCTTTCTTGTGTTTCAAATTTTCAGCCAACAGTAATCACCTACACAATTTCATCAATGAGTGTGAATGAAAAGAGAGAGAGAGAGAAATGAAGATATACATTTGACATCAGCCAACAGCCAAGACTACTTTACAATGTTGTAATTATCAAAATAAGATTCATAATCTTGGACGTGCGTATTTGTTTGGGTTTGAGGTTGAAAGTGAAGTGAGATGCAACCAATCTTGGAGAAGACGCCAAAATTCCACTCAAAACCATGCAATTCGACCAAACCGAAGTGGGTGTGAGTGCGAGTATTCTAGAACTTGTTGAGCAGAATGATGCAATATACATACACTGATAATGAATGTGAAAAATCGTTTCAATTCATATTATATTACGCACTTGAAAATCAAAAGGAAAAGGCAAAGATTGGTCAAAATAAGTGTGACATTTTTCTACGTATTATGGTAATTTCTCAATCTTTTTCTATTTCTCTCTGCCACTTCGGAGTTATCCTAGTACTTCGAAGTTAATCAAACTCGTATGTTCAACACTAATAATTACAAACTTTATTATTCTAATCCCACTGAGAATAAACGAAATTATCTTTTGGAAAAGAAAAAGCATATGATAACTTTTGTAAGGACCAATGTTGCCTTTCAAGGACGAATAAAGCAACACGACCAGCAGAGACCTATTCAGACAAAAGCTCTCTCCGTGTCTGTGTCGTCAGCTAGTCTTGGGACGTAGGCAGCAGCAAAATGGTTGCCCTAATTCCAAAAATGTCGGTGTAATGGGGTCTCAAAAAAGATATTACTACCTACCAACAATTTCGAAAGTTTTATTTTTATTATTATCAATAATAAGTCTTGTAAAGGATCTTTGGACATAGGTTCACTTATTTTGCATTCAAATTTATTTATTTATATTGAAAAAGGAAATGTTATGTGACCAATTTTTTTTAATTTTGAGTAATTTTTAAAAAAATATATAATAAAAATAATTATGTGTAATATCATATATAATATTAATTTTTAAATATTTAAATAAATAAAACATTTTGAACACATAGTACTCTAGACGAGATGATTATAAAGACCCTAATATTACGTTATGTATCAACTATGTCTAAAATTTAAATTATTCAATTGCAGTTTTAAAAATAACAAAAGTTAAAACTAAATATAACATTGTATGTTATATTTTATACATGCATATATCTTTAAAATATATCTCAAATATGAACAATTATTTATATATATTTATATACTGTTCATCAAACAATTTTTTATGAATTATTATATTTTACATTTTTTTTATTTTGTCTCTTTTTCTCTCTTCTTTTTCTTTTTGATTACGTATAGCTTCATATCATTTTTTTCCTATCCCTTTCTTCGCATCATTTAACACTCAAAAAGTGAGTGCCAACAATTTTTTTATTTTCTTTTTCTATTATTAAATGAGACATGTCAATATGTAGTTTTATAGTATTATATTAACGTGACAGGAAACGTAGTGAGAGTTGAAGGAAAAGAAGTAAGAGAAGTGTGGGTTAAATTTGCAGGTCGCTGCTACGAATGGACCAAGAAGAGGGGCTCAAAAATTCATGCATGTCTGGTGGAATGGAGTGAAATGAAACGCCTCTCTCTGTGAACTTTGTCTTTGAACAGTGCTTTAAGCAGAACTGGCCAAACCTGCACCATTGATCCTTTGGAACTATATGGGTGGCAAGAAGCAAAGGACCCTTAGATTTGCTTTCTTTGTCTTTCTTTCCTATCTATCATTTTTATCTTCTAATTCTTTTTCTCCTTCGTCTTCTTCCGCTAGCCTTTCCCTTCCTTTTTCTTTTTATTACACTTGCGTGGGACCTCACTTATCCATGGCAGATACCGTTACCTACTTAACCTAGAGTCATCAATGATGCAAATAAGTTTGTTCCAAAAGCAATGCTATCTGTTCTATATAATCAGTTTATCCCCTACCCATAAGAGTAACTCGACAAGTAAGAGAGAACTAAAAGAAAAGGGAAGCAATGGGAAAAAAGTTACTACTAGTTACTATTCTACATGGCACGTCATCTTTTTCATGGGAAAAGTTATCTTCACACATTTTGAACCAGACACTACACAGTAACATTTTTAGATGAAGATGGAAAGAAAGAAAAGAGAGACACAGAGGTAAATGAAAAGCAAATGTTACCATAGGTAAGTGTTGAACTTTTATTTGTATGTTCAATTTTTACTGCTATTTTTCATTTATGTTTCTACAAGAATGGTAATTTGACATCCCTCAAATGAGTAGAGGGAAAACAGAAAAAATGTATGATGTGATTAAAAAAATTAATAAAAAATGGATGTATATAATAATGTATGAATTTACTATGGTTAGAGTGTAGTTTTTTTTTTTTAATTCTTTGGTCTTACTCGAGTATAACCAATTTATACTTAGAATGAAACAAGATAAGTATGAATTAGTAAACCGGTTTTATTAAGTATAAATATCAGGTAAAATAATTATATCTCGCTGTGCGTTATTGAAATGTCAGCATCATATCTGCAAATGATGAAAGTATGTTTGATTAAAATATTTACAAATTAAGATTTAGTTTACAATGCATTTAAAATAATTTTGAAGATTTAATGTAAAGTAAGAATGAATGCATGTTTTACATGCATAATGCTTACTCCTAATTATTATTTAATAATTCACTCTAAATAAAACCCATTTTTTATACTTCATTAAAGTTTAATATCTGTTTGTTTAAGCTTTTGTAAAGGTTATTTTAAAATTATGTAAGAAACTGATATATATTTTTAGAGATTTAATGCAAAGTATAGATTTATTTTTATTTGGGCATCGGTAGAAAAAGTACTTTGTTTTAAGAGGTTGTCATGATTTACAGAAGCTAGCTATTCATAGTAACTTTTAAAAATAATAAAAAATGTACTTTTTATATGCTATCTTAAAAAGACAAATATTCCTAAAAAAATTGTTTCCAAAACAAAAGTATATATATTTGTTCAAAGAAAAGATGATACAAACAAAACAAAACCTTAGAACATCTAATCAACTTGTGTGCCTGAGCAGTAGATTTAGAGGTGAAAAGACAAAACGTAGCTTAAATTGCGGTGCTAGCTGGATAGAGATCCAAATCCCGTCTTCTCCGTTAAATTTTAGTCATGTCCTCTTTTTGTTGATTGATTTGGTGATTGGATTCGATTGGAGTAAACTGAATCTAATTATAATGAATGCAACCACAGTAGATTCATCTAAATACTAAAAAATATAGATTAAAAGATAAAACTAAAAATATCAAATAGATCCTTAGCCAATGAAAAAGAGTTAGGATTTTAAAAACACATAAAATTTATTATTAAATCATTATTAATTTAAAAGCTTTTGAAATACAAGATAAATTTGTTGAATAACAATAAAATCGTGTATTGTAAAAAAAAAAAAAAGACTAAAATATAATATCATCTTTCTCCCAAAAATAAAAGTTTTTTTTTATCATACATACATATATATATATAATAAAATTTATTTTTAACTTTTTAAATGATATTAATTAGATTTGTATATCGCTAAGGTGTCTTTTAGAAACTACTTTAAAGAATGAATTGGACAAAACGGATAGCAAATTGTGTTATATCACTGATATCAAGGCTTTCAATTTAACGTCGGCATGTAAATATTTTATTATGCAGTAATCAGTTTTGCTAATAAATATCTAATTTAAAAATATTTACATAATTTAATTTGAAAAATTAGCCAAGATTATTTGTACATAGTAAGAAAAACAAAACTTCACATGTTCGTTACTTTGCGGATACTATTTCTTTTTTGGTCATTCTTTGCCAAAACTTGAACTAGTTTCGTGTCTGTTTCAGGGCCAGCAAAAAGGGTTACAAGCCCAAACTAAAAGAACGGAGCCGATGCTAATAGACCCTTTAACAAGTCTCTTGGCCCAAAAGACATTAAAACCTGTATCAATTGTTGCCAAAAAATTAAAAACCTGTAACAATATGTTGACCAAATACCAAAAGAAAAAAACTGTAGCAACGCAATTAACAATTTTTACAAGACAAACTACATTTTAAAATTATTAATATCGAACAAAAATACTCTTTAGTCTTTACTAACATTATTTTATACTTCATGAAAATTTTCAATATATTTTTTAATTTAAAAACATTAGAGAAACATTATTTTCTTTATATAATAATTAATAGATGAAAAAATAAACTTTAAACTAAAATATACTTAATTACCAAAAACTAAAAATTACTTACAAGCATTTCTACGATATTAGTTAAAAACTTTAAAAACTAAATTAAATACTGCTAACACGTATCCTCATAATTTTAATATTTTTTATAAATTTATTTTCTTAACTATTACTCTCTTTTTCTTTTTTTTCTTTTTTTTTTTTTTGTGCACCATCAAAAGAAGACCTTCACAAAGCGTAGGGTTGCTACTTTTTTCCAATCATCCTAGGGTTACAACTTGAAAGGATCTTGATTGGATCAAACTAGCCCAATAATCTTTTTTTGGGCCTGCATAAAATTCACTAAATAGTGGAACAAACGATAAAGAAACGACTTCGAGATAGCTTTACAGCCTCAAATGTGGCTGGCTTATTGGGCTTATAATGAATAAAATAAAACTAGATAGCGATCCTTAATTTAGGGCATTACGATACTGGGCCCGAAATTTTGTCAAGTTGTAAAATAGTACTATTTGAAATTGAGAATATTACTTGACAAAAATTTAAAAAATTTGAGTAATATTAGTTGACCACAAAAAAGAAGGGTTGAAGTATTAAAATGGATAAATCTTATTGTTTATGTCAATCAGAATTGAAATTTAATCCCAATAATATGTATTGATATTTAACTCTAATATGTTGTTGATATTTATTATACAAATTATTTGAATAAAATTTTAATTGTAATTAAAAAATAATTCAAACAATATTTATGTTACTTTACTTAAGGTTTATCTATTAAAAAAAATACTATATCATCACAAAAATATAATCATGTAATCATGTTCTTGACCGAGAACAAAAACATTTAAGTGTCGTTATTAAATGAATTTCCATAAAAAAAGCAACAAACGTATAAAATCACCACAAAAAAAAAAAAAAAAATAATAGCAACACAAATTATAAATTTCTTATCCCTGCCCTATAGGGCCAGCAATTATCAGTGACAGTGACCAATGTTGCTGATATATATTCGATTGAGAGAGCATTTGTTATTATTTGCTTATTTATTTATTTATTATTTTTTGCTGTGTGTGCGTGTAAATAGCTAAGATATGAGTTGCCACTGGGTGATATCAGAAACATGCATTAAAAAAAGTTGATAGTTGACAGTCACAAAACTAAATTAAGGAACGATTCAGCTTTCCTCAGATCATTAACGGTATGCCAAAACCATCTTTTTGGGCGAAAAAGTTTTCACGTACCTATGTATTATTTTATGTAAATAATAACTTAAAAACAAGATTTCACGCGTGTGAAATGATATTTAAGTAATATTATTTTAAACTGTACATCAAAAAGGCACAGTGACTAATTTTTCTTTTTTAAACCATGATGCTTATGCTTTAGTTATATCTGTTATACAACTAATATTCTATGCTTCGTTGATATGGAAAAAATAAATTTTGCTATGACCTCTTAGTTCTTATTACTAAGTTATTATCTCAAGAAATACAATTAATATTACAATTTGAATTATATTAAATGAGGAGGTGTCTTTTGTGATGAGGCAACGAGGGTCGAAGATGGGTAACTTGTCAAAGTTTCCTTCCTTAGGAAAATTGGTTTCCAACGAGCGCCGTTTCTTCAAGCAATGTCTTTCCTGTTATAGAAGAAAGGATTAAAGCACAAAGTTGAAAGATTAGATTCAATAACAAAAGCAAAACGACTGAAAGCTTAGTTAGCACATATACCATTTTAATTATTCTTCTCAGAATATAAATAAACATTCCCATCTTAAAGGAACAAAAGTTATATATATATATTAACAATGTATATACAATGCATATGTTTTTAAATTACAGATGAGTGATAATATTCTAACATGATAATATGTTAGAATAGTAGAAGGTAAGCGTCAATAGCATCAGAAACTTTTAGAAAGGTAAGCATATATATTAGAGTCACCACTGTGATCGCGTGTGAAGGAAAAACAATGTTCAAACATTTATTTATTTATAAGAAGGTAAGAAAATTAAACTTGATGTGGTGTCTGCACCAGCCAACCCATGATCTGTCCACTTTTTGGGTATTCCATGAAATTCTAAAATAAAAAATTATGGGAGTCCAAGAAATGTTGCTGTTGTTGACTATAATGCATTATAAAATAACAACACCATAGTTCCTTGACTTCCATCCAAATTGGGGAACCGCGTGGAGCCTAGTTTGAAAATTGAACTTTGGGTCATTTTTAAGTTTTATCTTTTTTATGATTCTTATTCCTTCTAACATGCTTATACTCGTGAATATATAAAATAGATAGTTATATAGAAAGGACCTTTACAACTAAATATAAGTATGACACATAGTTTAACGTGTCCAATTGTATCTACTAGATAGTGACATGGACTTAAATATCTACAACACCATTCAAGATAGGTACATACCTATTGTCTTAATACAATTTTCTTTTTCAGTGCAAATTAAATTATACAATTATATATTTCATGCTTGAGCTTTTCTTTTACTTATATTGTCTCAATTGCATTGTTATTTGATTCCCTTTCTTTTATTCACGCTCCTCTTGAACATGACGTGTGGAAATCGAATCTTACAAATAGAAATCCAAATCTCAAACACTCCAACTTATTTTGTGAATAAATGGTGCTAAAGACAAAACATTTACGGTCTAAACACTTGTTAATCAGAGATTAGAAAAGAAACAAATGGAAAGAAAAGGACATAATTTTAGCAAATGCTTAATGCAAGGATCTGTATATAGATCGGAGGCCATGATGTCTTCATCTAGTGGTGCACAAGGACATGCATTTAGCTAGGCAGCAATGGTCATGGAATATTATGGCGTTCAAATCTTCAGCTTCGTATTATCTTATAGACTTATACTACAATGCCATGAAATTTACCAAAATGAAAGCACTATCATATCCATAAAAAGTGCTATTAAATTACTCTAGTAATCCCAAAATACTCACCCACAGCCTGCCATGTCGGAAGATTGGAATTTTACTTTTTTTTGGGTCTAGACGGAATGTTACCACAACTTTAACCAACAAATCTTAATTAAATTTGAAGAGAAAGATATTGAATGCTATTTTAAACATAAATAAATGAAACGATTAAATTTTAATGACATTATAAGTAAGTATATCTGACAAATCTAACTAAAATTGATTAATCACCGTATATTTCTCTTTTTTTTTCCATTAAAGTCATTGGTAATTAATTACTACACTGCATAAATTTTATTTATAAATTATATTATGATGTATTAATATCAATAAAATATATCCTAAATAACTTTTAAAAATCTTAAAATAAATAAACGTATTAATATTAACCATAAATAAAATAGAAGTTAAAAAATGAAATCATTCAATTAAACACGCACACACATCCTACTTAATATATGTTTAAATGTTTTAAGTTATATCAGTAAATCATTAAAAAAATTTAAAAACAGTTTAATCAAAACATATATAAATGAAATATTTTTTAAAATTAAACACAAATCACTCAAATTTTAATTCATCTTTTAATCAAATTCGTGAATCCTCTTGTTCCAAACATCAATTGTCTGGTCTATTTTTGTCAAAATTAAACAATTTTTTCTTGATTCAGCTTTTTAAGAGTCAATTAAATCTTATTTTAGATAAATTACATTTTATTCTTCCATAATTTTACATTCTTCTCAAAACATCACTTTATATACTTTTTTACTGGTTAACCACTTTAAATTGATACAAAAGCTAATATCATAACAGAGCTACGTAAAAGAAATACAAGAAAAAATTGATTTAATTTTGACAAAAATATCTTAATTGTATTTTTAACTGATATAAAACATCTGAATATTATTTTAAAAATATAAGTTGAATTAAAATTGATTTGGTAAAGGTAAAATGAAATTTACAGAGAATTGGTAGGAATAAATGGTGCATCATTTCTTACATCATGATTACAAAATTTTCTTTACGAAAAAGCTTGACAAGCAGTACGTAAAATGAAACATTCAGTAAATACTGATTGTGTTTGGGGGGAAATAAAAATAGGGGGCCCCTTTTATTAGATTGGATAACATGAAGAAGTAATAATATGTGCTTAGGGTAGCGGAGCCAAGCTTACGCGGAATCTGACTGCTGCCCGAAGTCATTCTGAGTAACTGCTAAACACTGACACGGTCAGCTACCATCCCTACCCGCTTTCTCTTTCTCTCTCTAAAAACCTTTGCCACACTGTCTTGTCTACCACAACACACAGTTACAACTTACAACTTGAATGTGAAACCAATTTCTATATCTTTCTTTCTTTCTTTCTTTATTTATTTATTCATAACACATCACTGAAGCACCAGGTGGCGCAGCCAAAGCAGAAGAGGGGAAGTGAAGCTCAACCACCTCTCTCCCACCAGAGTGAGAGATAATGGGTCAGAGCCTCAGTTGCAGTGCCACCCATGACCGTGCCCTCTTCACTGCCGTCCAGCAAGGTGACCTTCAAATTCTCTCTTCTCTGTTAGAGGCTCATCCATCTCTTTTGCACCAAACAACTCTCTATGATCGCCACTCTGCTCTTCATCTTGCCGCAGCCAATGGCCAGATCCAGGTTCCTTCTTTTTCCTTTTCCCCTTTCTTCTGCGTTCTATTTAGGCACCTCAATTGATGGCTCTCTCTCTTGGCAGATTTTGTCTCGGCTTTTAGATGGATCTGTTAACCCAGATGTTTTAAATCGCCAAAAACAGGTAATTTGTAGCTCTTTGTATATTTTTTTATTCTTTCAGTTTAAAAATGATACCTTTGCTTACCCTTTTTTATGTTGTGATTGTGAATGCTTCAGACTCCTCTTATGTTGGCAGCAATGCACGGGAATATAGCTTGTGTGGAGAAGCTCCTTGAAGCTGGAGCTAATGTAAGAAGGTTTCATTAGTCTAATCCATGAGTTGCCATAGATGAATTTAGAAAACTGATGCCTGAAATTCTCAGGTGTTGATGTTTGATACAGTTTATGGAAGAACCTGCTTGCACTATGCTGCCTACTATGGTCATTCTTCTTGCCTCAAGGCTATTCTTTCTTCTGCTCAATCTAGTCCAGTGGCTGCTTCTTGGTTGGTCCTTTTCTCTTCATGAACCATTTTCTCCTCAAATTGATTTGGATGCTGTTATGGTTTTTGCTTTTGCTGTTGGTTTTAACTTTTTGGTGTTTTTGGATTCGGAGCAGGGGATTTGCTCGGTTTGTGAATGTTAGAGATGGAAAGGGTGCAACGCCATTGCATTTGGCAGCTCGTCAAAGAAGGTCTGAATGCGTGCATATTTTATTGGATAGTGGAGCTCTTGTTTGTGCTTCAACTGGTGGATATGGGTAATGATCTGTCCAAGTTCTGTGCTTTGTGGCTTGAGTATGTTATGTTTTTCTGTTTTGTGGATTGATCAATTGCTATTTTCAGCTGTTCTGGGAGCACTCCCCTGCATCTAGCAGCTAGAGGGGGATCACTGGATTGTATTCGTGAGTTGTTGGCATGGGGTGGTGATCGTCTTCAACGTGATGCATCTGGGTATGATTTTGTTTCTCGGGGCAAATTCTTGCTATTTAGATAAGGGTTATCGGGTTTGAGGCTTAATGACATGTCTAGACATATTCATCTTAACTTATGTGTGGCTTATTGGGTTATGGATTGGTTATCTTACTGTGTTATGGTAATGTCATATTTTAAGTCTTCTAGGAAAATCTTTGATCTGATAATTCCATTGCTTGTTTTGATGGGTCCTTCCCTGGCATTTTTCTATTGCATTTTCCTCAACTTCAGGGAACCACTTACCTCATTTAAGAACTTGGTCATTTATAGGTACAATGGGTTCATAGCATTTAACTAGGCACCTTATCATTAATTCTCAGAATGCTTGGAGTTACCCTCATGCTGTTGTTTGTTGTGTTTATGCAGGCGAATACCATACATGGTTGCTCTGAAACACAAACATGGAGCGTGTGCTTCGTTATTAAATCCTACATCTGCCGAACCTCTTGTTTGGCCATCTCCATTGAAGTTCATTAGTGAGCTTAATCCAGAAGCCAAAGCTTTATTAGAACAGGCCTTGATGGATGCAAACAGAGAAAGGGAGAAAAACATATTGAAAGGGAGTTCTTACTCTGTTTCATCTCCATCACATTCTGATGGTGTAGCTGACAATATGTCTGAGGTAATTTTACACCCTCTTTGCATTTCCATACTCATGTTCAGTTCAAGTGCAAAGCACAAGCAATTACTAAAGTTCAGTAGTTCAATAATAGGAAATTAATAAAGTTGAATAATTTTTAAATACTGCAACATTTCAAGCATCTCAACTTTGAGTTTTTTGTTTTTTTTTTAAAAAAACACACTTTCATCTTTTGATCAATTTTTAAGCTGTCCAATACTGCATTAACCCTTTGATGCTCCATTGCCATTGCCCCCTTTATTTGTTTGACAGTGAATCACTTGGTAATTCTCTTGGGCAGATGAAATTGATCTACCATAACTCATGGACAACCAAACAGTAATAATGAATTTGAACTGTATAATTGAGACATCGGCTGAATTTTATACTTCTAATCAACATTAAGAGAGTGATTATTTGGAAGAATTTAAAATCCTCTCCATTATATTTGTGTGATACATAATTTAAAAAGAATTATATTTATATTCTAATTGTAGAGCCAATAAAAATTATTTATTCAAAGTGTGATCTGATATTTGCAGGTTAGTGAGTCGGAATTATGCTGCATCTGTTTTGAACAAGTATGCACAATTGAAGTTCAAAACTGTGGCCACCAGATGTGTGCACAATGCACACTTGCCCTATGTTGCCACAACAAGCCCAACCCTTCCACTTCCTGTCTTACTCCACCAGTTTGTCCCTTTTGTCGGAGTGCCATAACAAGACTCATGGTTGTGAAGATTGAACGGCACGATGAAACAGATCAGGACAGTGTTGACATGAATTGCTCTAAGCTAAGCAAGTCAAGGAGGTTCAGAAACTTGAATGACAGTGGAAGCAGCAGCTTCAAGGGATTGTCGAGTGTAAATTCATTCAGTAAGTTGGGTGGCCGCAGCTCTGGAAGGATTGCTGCTGAGTGGACTGATAAACAGTGATGGCATTGGCATCTACTTGTGGTAATGAGTGATTATTATTCTATATTGGCAGGATAAGGTAACTAGGTGCTTAACCGGCAAGGCAAAATCAAAGTTAAAAAGTGAAGGAATATAATGTAATTTTGGGAAATAAGCAAAGGGAGTTGAAGTGAAGTTCGCGGTAGGTACCAAGTGTTGTTGGGATAAAGAGAAGGGGATGTCATGTTGTTGTAGTATTATTATTACTTGAGAATGAAGAAGCATCACCTGAGTCGATGATTTTGGGCATCACCAATAATTTTATTTTAATATTCGTAAACCGGTAAAGTGAGAATAATAATCTCTAGAAAGTACAAGTAAATATATATTATGGGAAAATGTATTGCTTATTTGCATTTGGTTTATTTCTTTGTACTCATATGATATGAGCAATAAGATACAAAAGAGAAAGACATGGCCTGCTGTTGCTTGTCATGTGATCGTGTCTCAGTTTGTAGAATAGTTTGTGCACTTATTAGGAGCATCATTTGTTTAATATATAAATAATAACACAATTCGGACATGATCACATGACGAAGTCACATGATCTAACGTAATGCTGACACGAAAAATTTGGGTAGTGATATAATTGATCCAATGACTGAACACTGAATACCCTCTTCAAGTCTTGTGTTGGGTCTAATAATTCTGGATGGCCACCACATACCAACCGGGTTTTGTTGGAGATTTTTGGCACCAAAAACTGAAAACAGGAAAGAGACACATAGCAGAAAAGCGAATAAGAAAGTTATGTCATGCAAGGACTTGGACAGTATAGTTGTCATTTTTCCATACGCTGTGGTACAGATGCGAACGTGTTTGACCTGTTCTTTTGAGAGCTACATTCTAACTCCCAATCATAATATGAGCCAGGAGCCCCACCACAATAAAAAATAATCCACAAACTATTTGACATGAAAATTGTTAGAAATGTCTTATTATCAATTATAGATGAGTTGAAAAGGATAAATTGAAAAATGAATTATTTATTGATAAAATGATTTTTTAAAATTCTTTCTCAAAATATAAATGCATATTCCTCAATATTTTTGTGTAGACTAGCAAGAATTATCTTGTACCAAAACAAGATAAGCATTGATATTTTACAAGATATAGTAACCAAGGTGTCTGCCGACAAGTTGTGGGAAAATATATTGGAGAACGGGTCACACTCAGAATCACATGTGGCCTTTGCTGCATCAAAATGGATATAATTAAGAATCTCGTAACCATCAGATTTGGATCTAATCAAACTATCAAAGTGGTTGCAAATTGCAATCTCACATCAACCCATATTCAGCTTAGAACGTGTCTCTTACGGTACCTTTGGCAAATGCAGTCTGCCCAACATTTATCTACTATTAAAATAATTTTATGAAAATAATTATTATTTTATTTTTCAATATTTTGAAATACAATACATTATTGCAATCAATTTTATTTAATCATTTCTTTCTATAAATGATAAAAAAAATTGTTTACTTTTTTTTTTTACTTACTGTTAATCTTATATAAGATGTATTAATTTTACTTACTATTGTTTCATGAGTAATATATGCATTTATTAAACAAAATTAAGTCTTCTGTACTTGAATGTGTGTCCATAGTAGGCGTATCATTTTGTCTTTATGTAACATTTTTAGACTTTTAATTTTAAAATTAAATGAGTTTTTCATTGTTGGAAGGTTACTGTTATTATTATTACTACACAAAATTGATGTTCTATTAAAAATACAGATAGAATATTAAGAGATAAAAAAGGCCAAGTTAAAGTCACTTCGTTTTATCTTAATTCCAATTTGGAAGAGTTTATTACATTGTTAGTAGAAAGCAAAACAAGTTCTTGAAAATTTCTATTTGAGAAGTTTAATAATAAAAATGTATATATTTTTTATACTGAAAATACTAGTATTAAAAAATCGATCAACTAAAGATATAAATAGAATATTAATTAAGGAAGAAAATTATAAAATGAGAGAAAATATAATTTGTTAGTCTCACCCAAAGGATAAATGAACAATTAGGTGATCTCCATCTTTGTTGGATATATGTTCAGCCACCAAATGATTGAAAAAGAAAAATGCTCAATCCACGGGGACCAAAACGGTGTTCCTAGTAATATATGTTTAAGTTTTTTTTTTTCTTTAAATATTTTAAACGTGTTTCTCAAACACATGAAAATAAAATAAAATAATATTAAATTTACCTTGTTTATTTTTAATTTAATTGAAGGGGAGGTCGCTGACTAAAATAATAAAATTGGCAAAGATATTTTGTACATTAGATTGACGTAAAACAAGTGACATAATGCATTTGATTTTGTTATTTTATAACAAAAACTAGTCTTTTAAGCGATTGAGTCAATTTTGGCATAAGAGTAGCTTAAATGTTAGAACCTATTACTTATCCGGGGGTAATAGATAGAATACACTAATCGAATTTTTATCCCCTCCCCCAAAAATATTGAAATTTGATCATCGAACAATAGGTCAAACATAGATTAAAAAGATACTAGGAAGAAAAAAGACTGTGTTGGAGATGCCAAATCATAATTAAGAATTAGCCAACTGCAGCTTGTCCACACATGCATGAAAACATTTGTGCAAGTGAACCAAACCCTTTGTTTTCGTTCTCCAATTCCATGCTTTCTCTCTCTGTTCCAACGGAGTGAGGGGGAGCAATGGTGCCATTCATAAAAAGTGAATTTTGCTCCGAAATAATGGTTTCAGCCAATGCAAGCTCATCATCGGGGCCGTAAATAAGAGGGTTTTGGTTCCTTCTATTTTCACTAGCAACTCTTCTTTCCACAGCAAGAAATTGACCAAGGGACCGGGGATTATTTTTCTGGTTCTCAGCTTCAGGATTTCTATCCCTTGAACACATACATAATAACAATGAGCTGAAATTGATCTTCTTCTTCTTCTTGAAGACTTCTGTTTTTGTCCCTCTCAGTGATCTTCTGGACAGCTCTACAATGCTAGAGACACCCATGAGGCTCCCAAGTGTGGTACTTTTGTCTGGGAAAAAAGACCCTGTGGACTGAATTAAACAGACCTATTTTTAGCATCCACTAATCCATTCCATTCATATCTATGTTCCATGTAACTCACCCTTGACACAATTGCTAAATTACTATAATATATGAATTTGATGAATCGTTTGAACAGTACCAGGAAACAATAATCTGTATATTAAAAAATAATCTTAAAGGGTCAACACACACTATTAAAATAAAATTTTAATTTTAATTAAAATAATATAATACTATCTATAATATAGTTATGTGTTATAACTCCAACCTCCGAATCTCCGGATCAATTAATGTAGGGAATGAGTACTTGAAAACAATTATGGTAATTGAAAAAACTCATCTAACTGAACTAAATTAATAGAGAGAGTAGGTATTATGATATATAGATAAAATTAAGTAATGTAAGGTGTATATTAAACTATGAAGAAGATTGTCCACCGAATGCAACCTAAAAGTGGATTTCAATTATATTCCAATTTAATAGGAAAACCACCCAACGGGTGTAAGATATATATCACTTTAGCACATCAACTCTCGTAAGATCCTTCATTGTAAAATGCACACACTATTGCACCGATTAACTAAATGAAACAAATGAAATGACATAAGAAACATGCATGTTAGTTGTTCCATTTATTTCCATAAGTTAGACTTCTTTCAACTAAAATGATAAACACATCTTTCAATTTAAAATACTTATATCTGAAAATATTCAAATCTCACCCAAAAGGATAACATGTCTAATAAATGCCACGACTCCAAACTTTAAAACAACAAATCCCCTTAATGAAAATAACAAGTAACATCAACTATTAACATTTTCCACCCATTAACTAAGAGTTTTGTTAATTAGTATCTTGAAAATATTAGTTAAAAATTTAAATAAATAATTAATTTTTTATTACAATTATATTAAAATTACAATTAAAGTATATTTATCATACTTTTAATGAAAATAATTTTCTTATATTTTAGCCAATGCTTAAAAATATTAATCAGCATTTACTTTTAAAAGCTTAGTTCAGGTGATAAGAACGTGTAATCTGAATTTTTAGTAATCAAAAGTGATGCAGATGTATCTTTAAGGGACGTTTAGAAGACAAATATTATTTTAATCTTATAAAAATATCATTACTATGAACTGTATAGGTTAATAAAATTGTAAGTTTAAGTCTCTAAAAATGTAATTGTACTAAAAAAAAAAAACTTAATTGCTCATAATAGTTATATGTAACTTAACCCAAATCAATTAATGTGATATTTAGATATTAATGGTCCTAAATAAGGAAAAAATAAATTTTATTTTTGTAAGATGTTTTTGGAAGTTTTTTATTTATTCAAAAAGAGTGGATGTATTTACCACTGTTTTTAAGTATTTACATTCATTCGTATCCAAGCAATTTTTATTTAAAATATTTTATATAATTATATGAATAATAAAAATAATTTTATAAATTTTTAACAAGAAAATAATAATAAAAAAGAATAATAATATATTGTTTTATTATTTGTTTTTAATAAGCTTTATAATATTGAATTAAATAAATATAAAATATACAGAGAAATAAATTTAATGTCTTAAAAATGAAAGATGGATTTAATTATTTATTCATGAACTTCATAGAAAATGTTGCAAACATCGAAAAATGATAAACTTGAAGGGTGTTGGAACTTCTAACATGAAAGAGCTGAACAATCCGAGACGCATGCAGAAGAAAGACAAAAATGACAGTATACAGTATAGTAGTGAGTCAGCCCACTCACATGACCTTTCTCATTTGCTGTGAATTGTGATGGAGACCCCATTCACTCTTTGGTAAGGGAACAAACAACTTCAAACTATAACAATTCTCCTTTTCTTCTAAAACTCTTCTTTCTTTATATCCCGTTAGAAATAAAAAGACCAATTTTGATCTCCCAAAATGAAAACAATTATTAAAATATATGATAAAATTATTTATAATTATATTTAGATTTTAAATTAATTAATATATTACTGTGAAACAGTCCAAATAACAAGAGATATCTATAAAGCAATTTTGATTAAGTTTATTCCTTATCTTAAATGAAATGGAGCAAGAATCTGTTTATATGTATAGTAGTATCTATTGAGATATGCTCAAATAACCCCTTTACAGATGATCACTGAGAAGCTATATAATCTTATTTTGGTTTAGTCTGATGCGAAATGAACATATAATCATGAAATTGACTCGAACTATTAAATTAAAATTAAAATTGTTCTCGCGGCTCTTCCTCATTTCGGTTGGATAATAAGAGTTAAATTAATAAATAAATTCAAAAGGTTACGTATACTTAGCATTTTAATCACTGAGATGATTGATATTTTGTTATAAATGTATCTATTACTACTCTTAGTTGTTTATTGTTTTTTTATTAAACTATTTTTTTTATCTAAAACATATTTTTATAATCATATTAATAAAAAAATTTACATATTTTTTTAAATAAAAGTAATAATATACACATGAAAAATAGTAACAAACACTGTAGTTTATGATAAAGTAAAACTATCATGCATTATACTGTATTATCAATTTGGAAAAATTAGTTAATTTTTAAATGAAAGAACTAATATGATATGGCATGGAAAGAGTTATTTCTTAATTTCACCTTAAATTATACGTTTCACATAAGTTTAGTTAAGGGAATTTTAGAAAAACAAAGATCAAATAGCTCCAAACGAGTAGCATTATGACAATAAATATACTTAAAAATTAATTTTTGAAAATTATTTAATTGTGCGTAATGATTTTATGAGAATTTTTTTACTTAATCAGGATTAATTTAAATTACTTTACAAATTTTAATAATTTTAGAGAATTGAATTAAATAGGTATCTTTATTTTAAGAAACATTTTTATTTACATTGCTTTTTTTTATATAGTTATAAGAATGCCATTTTATTTTTTAATTTCAAATATTGGTATAAAATCGTGAAAATAAAAAAAATGATATTTTCATTCATTTTCAGCAAATTTTTAATAATAAAAATAAATTGATATTTTATGATTATTTATTAAAAAATTCCAGACTTAGAAAAACCTTAAATTTTGCATCATGGGAATTTTTTTTTTCACTTGATTTATAATTAAATGCAGTCGGCACCAAAACAAAAATAAAATAAAACCATAATTTTGTTAATGTTTCACTGACCTCTGTGTCTAGTTCTGATGAAGAATCTGTAGAAGAAGATGGGGAGCCAGTAAGTAAGGTGTTGAATGATATTGACCCACCATTGTCACTGTTTCTCACCAATTCAATTCTTCCATTCAGTGGCTGTAAACCCAGAGGCCAACCCTCATCCTAACATCAAATCAATTGCAATTTGCAACAGAAGAGGTTCAGATAAAAGCACCAAATGAATACCAAATAACTCGTATATCTGACAACATAATAAGAAACGAATCACAAAGAAACAACCACGTATTGATCAAATGTACGCATGCAGACCCACAACCTCAGAAATTAAATAAAGAAAACACAGACCCACCACTGAAATCCCCGAGGCGAAAACATGAATCCCAAGGAGTGGAAAATTCCAAAAAACGAACATGGTGTAGTTAAAAAGAGTACCTGTTGAGCCATGTTTTGCTCAAAACTCTTACACTGCTGCGAATTAATCGTCCATTCCTTGTTGTTCTGTGCTAAGCATAGAAACTGCGAATTATTGGCAAGAGCTGTGACTATAGTCTATAGAGATGCCACTGATAAAATCCAATTCTAATCAGTGGAAGCGAGGAAGCAAGAGAAAAGGGTCAAAAAGAGTGACATAACGAGTGAGAATGCTTATCATTTTGCAATAGGCGCAATAGCCATTCTCTACTTTTTCTTTAGCTCTGTTGACTATAAAAGAGAATCAGAATTATTATGTCGTTATATTGAATGACTCACATGCCCTCCTTTCAGGAATGCCAATTCAATATTCTTTCCTTCACCTAGCAACTAATCATTGCCTTACATATAGGTATTTTAGGCCCTCTACATTTTTCTACTTTTTTATCCAAGTGTGGTTGGCAATGGTTTTATTTATTCAAATTCACTTCAAAAAGTGTAGTATATTATAGCGGACTTAATGGAAAACAACCCAAAAAACTGAGAATTTTACTTTTTGAATTTTAAAAGTTGAGTTTAAAATTAAAAAAATGAATGTTAATATAGACAGTAAATTTTGAAAGTGTTGTTAGTAATGTATTATGGGCGGTAAAAATGAAGCGTTTTGGAAATCATGAATGATGCAGGGCGAGGCAAGGATCCTATGAAAAGTGTTGAAAGGATACACATCTTTTTGAGTTATGTTAAAAGACAACCACAAGGATCTAAGAAAACGTTTCAGAGTCACTTTCTAAAAAGCCTCGCTGATGCTCAAAGCCCGGCAAGTGTTTCACAAAACAATACACATTGTCTGCATAATTTTGGACTACTAAATGCCTATTCTGAATCACAACCCTTGCAGAGAACACCACTTCTTTAATTAATCAACTGTCTAATCAACTAACGTTACTCATAAATTTACCTTAGCTTCCAGAATCTACTAATTATCATTTAGATGCTCCAACAAGGCGCGTTAGAAACTAACAAAAAGGTGTCTTCGGAGTTTGAAAGTAAATTAATTTGTTATAAGTTAGCTCATTCGCCTACAGACCTAGTGATTTTAACAGACCCTATGATCTCGCTAGTTAAGAAGTAATCTCTCTATTTACTTAATTTAGGTTTAAGCATACTGTCAACCAATTAAAATATATCATAAATATACTTTTTATATTAATTATTGTATAAAGCATTCTCTCACAGTCTTAATAGTTAGAAGCCTTACTAGTTTTTTTTTAATTTGAATTTTATATAAAATATAATTGAATATGTCGAAGTTTAATAGTAAAATATTAATTGTTCTTTAAAATTTATGTTACCAGTCTTTGACTTTTGATATTATAAGTATTTAAAGTTTATAATTAACTTTGATAATTATTAATTACAATTTGATCCTTAACATTTAGAAACTCGATTGATTTAAGTGCATCAAACTTCAATAGCTGAATTGATTAACAGTTATCGAAGATCAAGTTGGTTCATATTTAGTAATAAAGTATCAATTTTGAGGAATCAAATTAATATTATATCTGAAGTTTTATACATTTTTGGGCCCTCCTTTAATTTGTTTTATGAATCTGTTCCTTTATCTGATTTTTCGGGTTTACTACGCGCTATCACTCGCAAACATGTTTACCCATTCTGGCACGGTATCAAATTCGTAAAACAACCTTAATTTGCACTAAAAATCTTTATTGTTTCAAATATTTGTTTATTTTAATTTTGTCTTTACCGTTATTAAAGTATTTCGATGTGATCTTTTCACTTATTATGTTCACTATATTGCAGAAAATGCTGTTATATACAAGTCTAATATGAACCTTATTAAATTGAAAGACAAGTTGGTAATTAATTTTAAAATCAGTGTTTTCGCATTGTTATTTTGCAATATTTTTGTGATTAATTACCATTTCAGAAACTCAGGCTAAAAGTTATGAGATTCCACAAGTAGAGTAAACTTAATATAAACTCAAATCCAAACCATCAGAAAAAAAGTTGTACTAGAAAAAGATAAAGTAGTCACGAAGTTAATAAATGTGTTAGAAAAAAAATTGTAAATATTGGTATTTAGAAAAGGACAATGAAAATTGGTTCAAGGAAAACATTTAATTTTTCTTAACTAAAATGTCGAATTTAAACTTTATATATATAATTCGTTGAGAATTAATCTTGTCATGACATTTTCAGTTTTCAAATAAGATTATATATATATATAAAGAACTATAGTTTAATAAAAAAAAAAGTTGCCAACAAAAAGTATTATTTAATTATGGTTACGTCATAAAATTCTTGGGCTGTGGTTGTTCTTGCTCACGAGCGTTCAAAAAATAAATTAGGGATACCTATTGTAGATAATAATCATTAAACTTTAATAATTAAGACCCTTTTTGTATTCTCAATATTGTGATTCCAAAACGTGATTCACTATAAGCGTCTATTGCTGTATTTAGTAGACATTGTGCTTTATTGGTACACATTAGACATCATGCTTTGATTGAGAAAATGACTTGTAATGTTTTAGCCCTCGCAATTTATTATAATAAAATAAGAAAGAAATATTTATTTTAGTAGACATTGCTAATACAGTGTCTGGTTAAACCCAGCTAAAATCCAATAAGAATAAAGCCCATAAGCTGCCTGGCCCATCCAATTTTGTCTATTATTGAGCCTATGTGACCTATATACTATATCCAGGACACCATCAAAGAGAAGGGAGTTCATAATGGGTTGCTGATTTGGGCCTTCATGTTCATTTGTGTGAAATTGCACTAAAGCATCGATTTTAATGTTCTGTCTATCTCTAGACCATAAAAAATTTGTTTTGTCTGAATTTGACCCCAAAAACAATAATGATTTGTTTGAATGAGAAAAAAAAAATTAGAGAATAATATATATATATATATATAGTGAAAGAAAAAACAAATCGAAAGAGAAGTTTAAAAAGTTAATTTTTAAAATAAAAGTACTTTTAAATACTAAAAGTCAAAGTTTCTATGTGAATAGCATATATAATGATTAAACACTTCTACTGGGATCGATAGAAACTGTTTTGTTTTAAACAATAGTTTCTATGTTTATTTTCTGTTTTTCTTTACTTTTAAAAGTATCAGTATCTTTTTCTCTTTCACTTATTTATGCATAAATATTTGAAAATAAAATAAAATCGCTTATTATTTTAACAACCAAGAACAACAAATTATCATTTTTAGATGTGGAGAACAGGTTTGAATTATTTAATCTTTAAGGGTGCTTACTCACAAGTCATGACTATTTTACATAAATTTAAATTACAAACAGAGATTTGGGGTTTTGCAGTTTTTCTTGAGCCATGTTGCCTTATTAGTTTTTTTCCCTTTTATTTTAGTTAAAAGTTACTCCTTTTATTCCTAAATGGATGTTCGAATTCACTCTTTTTTCACTCTTAACAGTATTTCCTGAAAACCTTAAAAACTATTTAAAAATATGAAAAAAAATAATGTTAATTATGCATAAGGGAAGAATTAACAAGGACCTGTTTGAATTATGTTTATATATTTTAGCGATTAATTTAACATGTCTTTGTATATTATTGGGCTATTAAGATATATTTTAAGAATTATATGTCTAACACTTAATTGTGCCCCATTAAATACTTTATTAGTGTAAATTGATAGACTTTTACGTTAAAAACTATCCAACAATCAATAATTTAAAGAAATATACTATTTTTATAATAATAATAAAAAAAACCGTCGTATGCAAGAATTAGTGTTTGCTTTATTTATATATAAAAAAAAAGACTAAACGATATAAAAATTATTGTTCTTTATTCGATTTTAAAAACAGTCATAGAAGGACGACAGAAAAAAAAAGGGAATTAAAACAAAAACATTGCTGCTCACTAAATTAAGGGACAACTTTTTGTGTGATTCACAAAACTGAGATGCCAATTATTTTTTCATTATTTTAGCTTTCTTTGTCATCAAAATTACAACCTTCATCTTTATTATGGTTAATGTGAGCATTCGCCATTATTATTATTATTAGGCTGCTGCGTTTACCGTCGTATTTCCATTACCACTGCCTATGTTGTTCATTTTTGTTGCTATTAACACAATGCCAGCATAATCGTTAGAAATAAATAGTATCACTTGCATGTGTTACTGTTATGAAATATCACACAGTACATTATACAGTACAAAGCTGTTTGTAATGTACATCGAGTAACAAATAACCCAAAAAAAAGGTTGTATTATTGCCAAGCTAGTTATGCAGTGGTGTTCGACTTGTAATATCCCTCAATATGCATATCAAAGATACCTCAAAACCACATTTTCCTGTAAAGAAACGAGAAATGATGCCAAATTACAAATTTTCTTTTTTGACTTAAAATGTACTGGCCCGCATGGGTTTGCCCACTCAACTGGTAAAAACGAGGCACGCCGTAGCCCAGAGGGAATGTTTTGCTTTTCTTGGGAAAGTCAAATGTATCCCATTCCATTTCCAAATTATTTCTGATCCTAAAACAAAGTCAATGGAATCTGATCCACGAGAAAGAGAATACGAGATTTACACCCAAACAAGACTCACTCCACGTTCTTCCAAATCGATTTTAGCCAGAATCCATTGTCTTTCTCTTTCATACCTAACCATGCCACCCATCCCTTTGTACTTTTTCGTTTTCCCCTTCAAAACTAATGCAAATTCAGATCTACAGGATCTACCCTCATATGACTAAAACATAACCTGGCTAAAAAATTAAGTAAATTAAAATAAAATTAGATTTGACTCTTTTGAATTAAAATATTTTATAAATATAATTGACATTAAGATAAGTTTTTATTTTTCCTATTTTATACATTTATTTTTGTTTTAAAGTGCTAAAACTCAAAAAATGTTAATTCAATGCTGGGTAGAGATTCATAATATGTATTAAATCAATGTACTGTCAGAGAAGACAGAAGTGAATTACAATTATCTGAAGTTAGATGCATCATAGTACTAACACATTAAATTAGCAAGGTAATGAATAGCGATCAAGGCAAATAATTTATAGCTCACCATGCTGCCACGTTTTCGAGTCAGTCCCTAATAAACACTGTTTGACTCTCTTATTCACACTGCCACCGTCAAGATCTACCACACTCGGCGTAGGGAAAAGAGATTCCAGTTCTTTGCACAGATCACGTACAATTCTTCGGTCACATGCTTTTCGTTTGGTGGGTGGCCTTTTCCTGGGTGCACCTGGGCATTCTAGGATCACTGGGATTTTGTGATCCGAAGATGTTGGAGTCTTGAACCCCTCGTTGGAATCATCGTCCTCGGATACCCCGCACGATGGAATCTCTACTTTCAAGGTCAAAGAAGCCAAAGCCAACGGTTTTGAAATATCGTTGCGTTGTTTTTGCTCCTCTTGATGATAATCTTCATCTTCTTGTTGGTCACGTTCTTGCACTACTGGTACTTGTTTCCTTCTATGATCTTTATAGGTTGAAGTTTGGCACTCTTCCTTGTGAATTTCCGAGGTGTGCCTTACCAAGAAACCCAATTCTTGATCCATGTTGGCTTTTGGATCTTTGTCGGAGAGAAAGACTTTGGAATTCGATGACACTCCCATGAAACGAAAGGAACCGGACTCGGAAAACATCAAGAACAAAGAATGTTCAAGATTGAGAGAGACTGAGGAAATTAATTAATCCAAAGGAATAGGTGGATATTGTAAAACTGCATAGGAATAGCTAGAGGCTACAGAGAAGAGAAAAAAGATGCACGATGGATGAAATTCGGTGCACCTTTGAACATAAACTAATGAAACTATTACTTTATTTTAAAGGATTTTGTAAACCTTGTTTGGATTCTAGCAGTGCAGGCGTTCTTCATGTCATGTTTGTGCTTATGACTTATGAGAAGAGAGGATTTGAACCCACTCTAGCGGAGGATCCAATGCAAATAACCAATGTTACACTCAACCATAATTCCCCCTCTCTGATCTCTCTCTCTCTCTCTCTCTCTCTCTCTCTATATATATATATATATATATATATATATATATATAAAAGTTGGATGGGGGAAAGACTTTTACTCTTGGAGTCAGCCATTTAAAACTAACTATGATACCTAGTTGAACAAATCTAAATTTTCTTAGGATAAAAGATTTTTTATAATATTTTTTGTTCTCTTAATTTTTCAATTTTATTAATTAGTGTCTTAAAAAATAATTTAAAATATAGCACTTTTTCAAGGAAAGTATTTATTAAGAAATATAAAATATAATAAATTTTTTTTTATTAAAACGTTATCATTTTTAGATGTTTAAAATTAATTTTAAAAATGAATATCAATATTTTCTTATTTTATTTATTAAATAAAGAAATTATTAACTATTTTCATGTTTTTATAATATTAACGTATCTATTTTATTTAATATTTTTATAAATTATTAAAAACTAATAAGAAAATATTAAAGGAAAACACATTACAAATAATTTCTTTAATATATATAAAAGTATATAATAAAATTAATAAATAATAATTTCTCATTAAAAATCATAATATATTAAATTCTATAATTTCTATTAAAATTTTATCGTACATCTTTAAACATGCATTAAAAAAATAGTTTATAAATCTAACTCGAATCCTTTTTTTTTCTCCTGATTTCCGCAAACTTTAATGCATCTGGGCACGTGGTTCACTACAGGGAAACCATTCCAGGGTTAACGTGGATGCTACTTTGCACTACTTTAATATTCTGGGAACTATTCTGGCGATACATTTGACTTTAGATGTTTAACAAGGATATTAACTTGATTTGTTTGTTTCCCACTTTATTTTATATTCAAGTGTAATCAATATCTTGGGCTCCTCTTATTTAACACCCGCAAGAAAAGGGAAACTTTTTTTAATAACCTTTACACGCTGTTTCCTTTATGAATTGGCGTCGCGTAAATTGGGGTGGGTAGCAGACATTCTGTTTGTTGCTGGATGAAGGGGCAGCAGCAAATGTTCCTTGCCATTAATTGAGTGGTATAGTTTGTGTCATAAGCCTTTGAAAATAATTGCATGTATTCATATAGATTTGATTGTGTTTCGAAACTTAATTTAAACTTAAACAATACCTTTATTCCTCTTTAAACAAATTCACAAACAAACAATCATAGGGTAATAGAGATCAGTATTATGCCTATATTTATTATATTAGAGTAACTCAATTTGTCGTCCGAAGAAGGGCATAATCTTGTCATTAAAAAAAAATAAAATCAGTTCCATTATTTAAATGTTAAAAAGTTGATGGTATACATATATATATGTATATAATTTTACATGTAAATATCTCAAAAATATATTTTAAAATTCAAGAGACGGGTTTTTTTATTGTCTCAATTTGTGTTCACAAAACATATATTAGCCTTAAAAAACTATAACATCTTTATTCCTCTTAATGGTTGGACAAGGTGTAGTGTTCCATAAAATATTACTTCTCATATTGATAAGTGTAAGGTTTATACCTTAACATTTCAAGTAAAATCTGCATGAGTGATGAAAGTCATATATTTCAACTTTTATTGCGATCAATCACGAGTTATGAGTCATATAGGTATTCCTCTTTCGAGTTTTTCAGTTAAGTATTGAACTGTTAAGGATCTAGAACCAAATATGATCAAATTACCCCATTCTTTTATTTTCGAACATAAAAAGAAAATCGAGTTACCTTCCTTTTATTGAATTTGTTGTCATTAAATTTATTAATATATCTTTTTGCCTGTTGTAAAATTCAACTGGATATCCTTAAGATTTTCTTTATGATCATTATAGGATTATTGTTATAAGATTAATTTTGATTAGTATTTTTTTTAAACTTATTTATTAAATTTATTATTAATATATAAGAAAACGATGTACTACAAAAATTTATGAGGCCTTCAAGTAAATCAAGCCTCCGGATCCACTCATTTTCTTTGGAGGAGGTAAGTATATGTAAGTCCCTTCTAAATGTTTTTAAGTTTAAAATTTTTCTCTATCTTAAATTAAAACATAAATATTTCTAATTTTTTCCATAAAAAATTATAAATAATCTCAAACTAATTAACATGTAACTCAGATCAATTAAAGGACAATTTATTTTAGTAAGCGTTTATACTGCACCTTTATTGATTACTACAGCCATATACTCTTATCATCTAGTTAAATAATATCCTAACTAGAGGGTAAACCTTCATGCTGAATCCCAACATTTCAAATCGAAGCTTGTTTTGACTGTATCGTAGTATAGTGGGTGAGTTTCACAAATGGGTCCTACTGCCGGCCATTTCTCACGTTGCTGATAATTGGGCAGTCACGGAAAAAATTAGAGGCATTGGGTTGGACTTAGGATTCCCAAACTTTATTAGTGTGAAGTATGAACCATCCAGGAGAAGTTTGAGATTAGGTAGGTTTCGTTTTTTGGTGGATACCACCTATTAATGACAAAGAGAGGAAGAAGAAGATTAAAGAGTTTCTTCCTACTACTTGCCAAGCTGTTGTTTATATAATTTGTATTTTAGGAAGATGGATCGTCTAATCATCTTTTCGTAGTTAAGTGAAAATGCAAGGACAGTTAGTTGTATACATGAAAGATAAGGATATATAATAGAAAAGTCATGATATTTACCATAACATGTCACCCCATCCAAAAAAAAGTTATTTTCCATCTGGGTAGAAGGAATTGCTGACAAATTGATCATGCAGAAAAGAGGAGGACCCAATTGGATTTGCTTGAATTTCACCACATCTTCGAACATGATAAATGTGACGTATCTTGAGGACCACATGGGCAACTTTCTAAGTTTCTATACCTTATTTTCTTCGCTCCAAAAACTTGCAACGTTTACTCTATATGCAACAACACCGTCTGTTTTCAGTTGTCATCGTGTTTAGCCTCTACTATATTAGGCCAATCTGATGATGTGTTTTTTCCTTCCTCTTCCTTGCTTTGCAACAATTTCCGTTTTTCTTAAGCAATTTCATTGATGCTTCAGATGTTTTGGTGTTTCACAAACCTCCAAATCTGTAGCTGAGAAAATAATAATGAGAGATGAGAGCTAACATGTGATACTGTTCAAAAAGTACAACACGAAGGAATGGATCAATTTAGTTAATTCAAGCAATGTACGATTTTTCGATCTGTCAATTTGGGAAAATGATTGATCAAACCATGGGGCATATTATAGTGTAAGTTTTATTTTATATACGAATATTACTGTGCTAGCTACTAATACCTAAGCATACAAATTAAGAAATAGAAAGGCATAATAACGTGGGGTAGTAGGGGGGGGGGGGGGGCAGAGGGCTGAGTATAAAAGTAAAGGGAACACAACACACACTCTCATGGGACATAATTGCATCCCATGCTCATGCTTAATGATTTTGCTTCCCATCTCAATCATGTCCCCATCTCTAACAATCATGAACCATTGCTCTTTCCAATTTTATTAACAAAACTTTTAATTTTTAGATAAATAACTCAATTGGTGTATCTATTGGTGGCCAATTGGTCCTACTGGGATTCTTTGTTATCTACTTATATAGTTTGGAAATTAATATAATGTAAACAAATTTAGACTCAATATATTTTTAGCTTTAAAAACACTTTTTCAAAAATTTATTTTGGTATCATATTTTCAATAAAAATTAACTACTAAATTCATTTTGTGAATTATTTTAGTCCTTAAAATTAATAAAAAATATATATATTTAAAGTCGGCAGTTATTAATTATTTTTATTGAGATTAAGGTTTATCTATTTAATCTCTAATTTTTATAACTATTAACAACTTTGATATTTATTTTTAGTATGCATAAAGTTTACTCTACAACGTTTAAGGACTAAATTAACTGAAAAATATTAAATTAAAAAATAAAATAAAATTCGCAATGGTTATCAAATTCAGGGTTCAATCGATTGACTTGATAATATTAGTGACTAAATTCCAGGACTGTTTGATAATTTTAAGGTGAATAATGATCTTGCTTTAAACTCTCAAAAAGTATTTTTTTTTACTTGTTAATAATAGTTTTCAAAATAATTAAAAACTAGATAAACGTTAGCCAAAAAATAAAAATTTGAGTTAAATTGAAATTCTTTTCTGAAAAAAGCTAAAGCATATTTAAACTGTACAGATTAGAAAGAAAAAAAAATGATTGAACCTGACTATTAAAATTTGAAAACGAGCTCTGCAGAATAAAAAATCAATGTTCGATTGAAACATATTTTACCTAATGAGGGGCTGCAGCTGCAGTGCATTTCGTTTTGCGCCTCATGATTTATGGACGAATTTCCTTTGTCGGTTAACGGGAACATTATCGTCGTTCCTGTTTTTTCTTTTCAACTGAGCAACACATGTACGAATGAGTTTGTCCATCGTGAGCAACACAATTGGGTAATTCAGTGTTATTTATGCCCACAATCAGTAGAACACTAACGTACAACATTTTCTCTCTTTTATCACTATAAATCAATTGTTGAAAGGAAAAGGAGAAAGAAGATAAAGAGAGAAAAATGACAGAAATGTAAAGTAATTTGACACACAATATATACAATTATGTTCACAGCTAAATCAGAAAAATGATTTTATTAAGTTGTTACATGTGTACTAATTAGACTATACAACTCTAATAGCTATGTTCATACCTGCCTCGTTTCCTCGTATTTTCTTGAATTAATACATTACAGATCATTAATAGCCCTATTCTTGAAAGTTAAAAATTAAAGCACACTGGTTATTTCATTTTCTTTGCTATTTAAATATTAAAGAAATATTTGAAGGGCTTTTATTTATTTACTGGGAAGAGGAAGAGGTACATGTAGAAGATGACACGATCCAGTGGGTCGTAAAGGAAAATTGAAGGCCCAAAATTGAGAAAAAAACAGTGGAAGAGAGAGAAGTAGTGGTAGTGCTAAAAATGGGCCTAGCCAGTTGATAAGATTTGAAGTTTAAGCGTAGGACAGGGGGTAGTTGTGGTGGGGAGCCACACCCACAGATCCAAAGGACACGTGTGAAGAACAACATGAATGTCGTTCATAGAACCGGACACATTGAAATGTCGTGTGCACGTCCACACTTTCATTTAAAAACCCAAACACTTTGGAAATTAAGGTTTGATTTGGGTGTCCCCTCGCGCATCACTTTTTCATTTCAACGCGGAGAATAACTAATCCTCGCGCAGTTTCAGGTTCTTCATCTCGTATTCTCTTTTGTTATCTCATGCATTATGTGTGAATGTGTTTAACTTACACCTATTTCGTTTCTATACATAATTCAAGCTATCGTTATATGTAGTGGCTGTGATATGATCATTTTGTGGTTGGTCGATTAAGGATTCGGAGACTCCAAGCATTGTATGTTATCTTTTGAAAATTAAATTTGTTTCATCTTTAAATTTTATCATTCTGGGTGCAGTTTTTGAAAGACAATGGCAGACACTGAGGATATTCAGCCACTCGTTTGTGATAATGGGACTGGAATGGTTAAGGTAAAAAATAAAAAAAACGAGGATGATGTTTTAATCGATAATATTAAATATTACAATTTTCAATTAAAACTTATTATTTCTAACCTTATAATTTTTTTATGTGAATGTTACCTTTCAATTTATACTAATTTACTGTTGCATGCATTGCAATCTGCAATTTGTAGGCTGGATTTGCAGGAGACGATGCTCCAAGGGCTGTGTTTCCTAGCATTGTGGGTCGTCCACGTCACACTGGAGTGATGGTTGGTATGGGCCAAAAGGATGCATATGTTGGGGATGAGGCTCAGTCCAAGCGTGGTATATTAACTCTGAAATATCCAATTGAGCATGGTATTGTGAATAATTGGGATGACATGGAGAAGATCTGGCATCACACCTTCTACAATGAGCTCCGTGTGGCCCCAGAGGAGCATCCAGTTTTGCTCACTGAAGCACCTCTTAACCCAAAGGCTAATCGTGAGAAAATGACTCAAATTATGTTTGAGACCTTCAACACACCTGCTATGTATGTTGCCATCCAAGCTGTGCTATCACTCTATGCCAGCGGCCGTACAACTGGTTAGTCATTTTGGAAAAAAGGGAATGTGGAAAAAACAAAAACAAAAACAAAAAAAAAGGGTATATTATTAAGTTTAAGACTCAAATATCATACATAAATTTTGGTTTTGTCTATGACAATCTTGTGCTTAAATAAATGATTGAAAAGTATATATAGCTTTTCTAATCTGAATTGAAGCTGTCTAATTCCATTATGCTTGTTATAATAATTTGTGCAGGTATTGTTTTGGACTCTGGAGATGGTGTCAGCCACACTGTGCCCATTTATGAAGGGTATGCTCTCCCTCATGCCATTCTCCGTCTCGACTTAGCAGGGCGTGACCTCACTGATGCCTTAATGAAAATCCTTACTGAGCGTGGTTATTCCTTCACTACCACGGCTGAGCGAGAAATTGTAAGGGATATGAAGGAAAAGCTGGCTTATATTGCCCTTGACTATGAGCAAGAGCTTGAAACTTCAAAAACTAGCTCTGCTGTTGAAAAGAGCTATGAGCTTCCTGATGGACAGGTGATCACCATTGGCGCTGAGCGTTTCCGTTGTCCCGAAGTCCTCTTCCAGCCATCCATGATTGGAATGGAAGCTGTTGGCATTCATGAGACCACATACAATTCAATTATGAAGTGTGATGTTGATATCAGAAAGGACCTGTATGGAAACATAGTCCTCAGTGGTGGTTCTACCATGTTCCCTGGTATTGCTGACAGAATGAGCAAAGAAATCACTGCTTTGGCCCCAAGCAGCATGAAGATCAAGGTGGTTGCTCCACCCGAGAGAAAATACAGTGTCTGGATTGGAGGCTCTATCTTGGCTTCTCTCAGCACTTTCCAACAGGTAAACTCTCTGTGGTCTATTGACTATAGTTAAGTTAATTATGTACTTCAATAAGAACTTATCATATCAGTGCTTGTGTCATATGTAAATTTTACTGAGACTTGTTGAAATAAGTAAGAATGAGTTAAGAGGCATCACTTTCTTATGCTTAAATAAACTGTAGAATTTCTTCCAAATACCTTCATTTTGTGTTGTGAAAATAACCAAAACGGTGATGCCTCTTACGCCTGGTTGCTTGAATTTGGTCTCCTTCTCTCGCAGCGGTTGAGGTTCATAAGCCACTTGGGTATGTGTAACTTATGATGAATAGCCAATGACATCTTCACTTGTGCACACGCCCTACAATGTTGTTTTTATATGGTCAATTTATTAAGGATGTAACAATGATGAGACACTTATTTTTGGAAATGCAGATGTGGATTGCCAAGGCAGAGTACGATGAATCTGGTCCTTCAATTGTACACAGGAAATGCTTTTAAATTCAGCATAATGGCTCGGTGTAGGTACTTTGTCCTCGTTTGGCAATACAGTAGCACCTTGCATTGATTGAAGATTTTTCGTAAAAAATATTTATGTCTTGTTAGAACGCTGAACCGAGTAAGAGTGGAGTTCGATGGCAGAGTTAATTCTTTCATTTATTTTGTTTTAACATTGGCAATTGTTGAACAGTTGATCTCTAAGATAAATCAAAGATATTTCAATTTATTACTTCTCGTGATCAGATTCTTCTAAATAATTTCATACCAAAAGAGAAGAAATAAGCATATATGCTTCCAAGTTAACTGGACCTTGTGTTAGGTTATATGAAATTGAGCCTCTTGCCCAATAGGTTACTTAATTGAGATTTATAAATAAGCAATTGATAATTTTATTTTTGGTTGCTGAGTAGACATTTTCAATATTTAGCATACATGTGCATGTGCTAAATATTCAAAATGTATGTCCATTTTAAATACTAGAGTTGAATGTCTTACACAGCAAAGACCAAATGATTTAACAAGGAATACGGTCTCATAAGACTAACAACTACCCCGGTTCTGGACTGTCTGGACTTTGACCAAACTACTTGTCGCTTTACTTTACCCACTTGTTCACTTACTTTAAAGTTTAGTACAGTTAATTTTAATAAAATTAATTTTAAATATAATTAGCATATATATTTAAATTAATTTCAACTACAATTTTTATATTAAAACGTGTGTTATGATAAAGAAAAATTTACAACTATCTGTCGAACAGACACTTGGTCAATCAAAACGTAGGATCCCTAACTCCATTTTTTTCCAATATGAGTTTGCTTGTTTAGTATCTAAATAGAACCCAAAGAAAAAAAAATTATCTACAAAAGTATAAAAAAAATTAATATGCATATTTTAAAAAAAATAATAATTATATCATAAACAAAAAAATTGCTGATTCCACTTAGAAGCGAAAAGATTGCATTAGTTATATCATTTTCATGGTTTTACGTACTTTGCGTTTAGTCTTCGGGTGACTTTCATATTTGTACGCATCGAATGCCAACCCTGGTTCTGCAGCTTTACTAGAGCAAACAAAAGGGAAATTTCAAATTTGAAAGACTTAAATTTATAAAAATTAATGTTGTTTAAAAGTGTGTTCCAGAAAATAATTTATGTTGAAAATATATGAAAATATTTTTAACGTAATAATTATTGTTTGAATTAGATGTGTAGTTATTAATATAAATATGTGAAACATTGTTGTTAAAGTCATAATATAATTTAAATTATGAAAAATATTTTACCAATTTATATTTAATTCAAAATTTCTTCATCGTAAAGTAGTAAAATGTTACTTTTTTTAATTCAACGACAAACTGTGATTTTAACACAAAATGGATTGCATTCTAAAATTGCCATTTAAATTACATTCCTATTTATATTTTTCATTTAAACCACAAATATATTTTATTAAAGATTAAATAAAAACAATTTCTCATCAATAAATTTACAACAATAACAATTAAAACTTATTCTACTTAGATAACGTCGGCAATTAATCTACAATGTCAATTTAAATTAATTTCAACACACATATCAATTATATTTAATATTCAAAATTAGTTTATTAAAATTATTTTTATTCAACTTTATAATAAACAATTCCATTTATCATCTTAAACGTGTTTTTACATGCCAGGTAGATTTAAACATGTGATTAGTCACATCTGCCACCTAATGAACCGTTAAAGTTGGGATTTTTTCCAAGTTAGGTTAAAAAAGCACATTGATTGTCTCCTTTTGCATTTTTTATTAAAAAATATACTATTTAAAATATTATCGCGTGTCCACCAAATAACATAAAAAAAAAACCTTGACGTGCAGCCAAGATTTCGTTCTATCTATACAAATAAAGAGAAATTTTATAAATATATTTTTATTATTAGTTAAAATTTATTAAAAATTAAAAATATATAAAAATATTAATTTAAACGTGAAAATTATATAATTTTTAATAAATTTTACTTAATATTAGAGAGTATATTAAAGTGTGTATTGTTAATATTATTTATGTTATAAATTTTAAAAAAATATTTATATTTTTATTAAAAAGATTTTTTTTTAATTTTTTACAAATTCAGTACGAAAGCTAAGCGATTTGACAGAAATTAAGTCGTGTGTTATATAACTTTCGTAAAATTATAATTCGTACTACTTAGAATTTGAAAAAAATGCTGGTGTGACAAAACAACATCAGAGGTTAACTCACAAAATGCATTTTGCTCTAAATAATGGTAGTTATATATAAAACACGACAACTATAAGTAAATCCTGTCGTTACATTAACATACACGAAAAATATGTAACAAAATGATTGCTTGTAATCAGAAGGTGGCTTCAAATAAAAAGTAAAAACAGGTTTACGAGGAACAGTAGAATCAGTGTAACTTTTTGAGTTTTCACCTTTCATTGCAAAACGAAGTGATTTCAATTTCCACACGGTATTGGCATGGAGTCAATTTAAAAGTCAAGCTTTCCTCTTTGGAAGGGAAAATCGAAATTCTTTTCCATTTGCATCCCAAATCAATGTAGCGTTTTCCATTTCTAACCAAACTGTTTCTTTCTACACTCTTCCAATAATTGAATTCCCAATTCCCAATGGAGCTTTTGAACCCTTTGCTTCCTCCTCAGCCTCACCATGCACCCATTTTGCACCTTCCCTTTCACGGGGTTCCCTCTTCTTCTCGATCTCAATCTCAGGTTTCCTTTCCTATGGAAGAATCCTCTGGTAAGGTTCATGTAGCTGTTGGGAAATCCATAGAGAAAGCAGCTACCTTGCTTCAATGGGCTTTCACCCATTTTCGGAAAACAGAAATTATCATAATTCATGTTTATCAACCATCTCTCACCATCCCCACTCTATGTAAGCTCAATTCAATTGATTCAATTTTCAATACTTTACCCTTTTAAAGTCTCTGTAATGGTAAATGGTTTTGGTATGTTGAGCAGTGGGGAAATTGCCAGCATCACAGGCTAGTCCTCAAGTGGTGGCTGCCTTTCGAAGAGTGGAAAGAGAACAAACTATGAAGCTTTTGGACAAGTACTTGACAATTTGCCGCGCAGCTAAGGTAACCTTCTTTCTTTTGCATTCATATTTTGGTGGGTCAATTGATCTGATAATGCATTTAGCTAGACCAGACCTTTTAAATCCTGTTGATAATTATCGTTCTGTTTTCATGTTAATAACCGAATTTGTTTATGAAGTTATATGCAACGTTTGGTATTAATTGTGTAATTAATGTACATTTCTTGTCAGGTTCAGGCGAGCGTTATTGTAACTGAAACTGACCAAGTCCAAAAAGGAATTGTTGATTTGGTTATTAGGCATAATATTAAGAAGCTTGTTATTGGAGCTGTACCAGAAAAGTAAGTGCTACATTGATTGTCTGCTTAACCAGTATTCTTCAGAACTGTCTTAGATTATTCTCAGGTGCTTCATATCCCCGTGTCTATCTTTTCTGTAGAGAGTAGAGACTGAAAAAAAACTGGTTTTGTTTTCCTTTGATAACTTGAAGGTGGCAATTTGCTCCGTTAATTTCTGTTTTTGTCCCTTTTCTTACACTGAAGGATTCCTAAATTTTTCAACTTAACAAAATCATAATGGAAAATTTGCAGTTGCATCAAAGTGAAAAGGAATTCTGGTAAAGCAAACTACACTGCCAAAAATGCTCCCTCATTCTGTGAAGTATGGTTTATCTATAAAGGTAAACACATTTGGACAAGAGAGGCTTCTGAAACACCATGTTCCTTGTCTTCTTGTACTCAACATGATATTTCCACCACAGAAAGCTTGAGATGTAGATCTTTTCAATATGGTAACAATGAACTATGCCAATCAGAATATCTTCAACCAAATTCTGCAAGAACTACTACTAGTTCTGGAATTAGAAGTTGTGTTCAGGGGGAAATCATTGAAACTGGAGTCACTTTTTCATCCAAATCATCCAGTTGTAGCAGTCTTTGTTCCCCCCAAAATTTTTCAGGGGTTTATTTAGATACATATTTAGAGGTCATGGAAGAAAGAATTAACAACCAACTTACTGAAACCAAAAGGGAAGCTGAGGCAGCAACAGACGAAGCCTTTGCAGAGTTATTAAAGTGCAAGAGATTGGAAGTTGAAGCCATGGAGGCCATAAGGAAGGTAATCAAACTGTATTGACTGTAATTCATATAGGACTTCTGTAAGTCAAATAAGCTTCTCGCCTTTTCACTTGTTTCTCTTTGTAATCATGACTTGAGGAATTAAGTATGCTTTCTTATGTATTTAAGAAACATTGACCAAGCATTACAAACAGACAGAATCCCTCAGGAAAATACTGGGATTCTGTACACAATTTTCTGAAAGTACACATTTTCAGGTCAGAATTGTAGAAGAAGCAACACTTTGAACTGGTTTACATAAGTTCACTCTAATCTGTTTACTTGTGTTGTTTGGAAATTCTTCTTACGATTTAGCTGTATACATTCTATCCAAATCAGTGACAAATGATGAATATTGAGTCTATATTCTATACTCTATAGTATAGTTGATTTCTGGATTTTGTGACATCTCTCCCAGCAGTAAGTTATATTCTATCTTGCAGGTCAATTTGTTTGAATCAGCCCATGCACATGAAGTAAAGCTCAGAAAAAAGGATGAGGATGCACTAAGAGCTGCAGTACAAGAACAACAGAAGCTCTTGGATGAGAGTGAAGAAATTGCTGGTGAGCTACAAATGACCATGAGAAATATTGCCCTACTAGATAGTCATGCTCAGGAAGCAAACCACCGGCGAGATGAAGCTGCAGATGAGTTATCACTGATTCAAGCATCCATCTCAACCCTATGGCCGGAGTGGCAGCATATCAGGAGGCAGAAAATGGAAGCCCTCCGCTGGCTTGAGCGGTGGAAAAGTCATGGACAAGTTGGAGCAGCTCAATGTGGGGTCATTGGATTTGCTGAAGAATTACCCGAGTTAGCAGAATTTTCATTATCAGATCTTCAAAATGCCACATGTAATTTTTCCAAGAGCTTTAAAATTACACAAGGCGGATACGGTTGTATATATAAGGGGGAAATATTGGGTAGGACTGTTGCTATAAAGAAGTTCCATCAACATAATGTGCAAGGACCAGTGGAGTTTCATCAAGAGGTCAGTTCTGCCATTGAAATTGTCATCTTAAAATATATTGATTGCTTGAGAGGATTGAAGGTGGAAACATGATTGAGGTCGATGGATTTCAATGTATTTTTATTTCTTTCCCCACATTAATAATGGAGGTCTGTTTTGTTACTGTTAATGATAAATTTTCTCACTTGTTTTTCTGTGTTTTTTTAATTCCACTAATGTTGTCCTTTTGTGACCAGGTTCAAGTTCTTGGTAATCTCCAGCATCCTCATTTAATCACTTTGCTTGGTGTTTGTCCTGAAGCTTGGTCAATTGTATATGAGTACCTCCCCAATGGAACTCTTCAAGACTACCTATTCCGGAAAAGCAATAACTTCCCTTTGACATGGAATATCCGAGCACGAATGATTGCTGAAATTGCCAGTGCACTATGCTTCTTACATTCTTCTAAACCTGAAACTATTATTCATGGTGATCTGAAGCCTGAAACTATACTACTTGATTCTTCACTTAGTTGCAAGATATGTGAATTTGGGTTCTGCAGGCTGGTGAATGAGGAGTCTCTCCTTCGTCCTAGTTTCCGTTTGAGCACTGAACCAAAGGGTGCTTTCACGTATACAGATCCTGAGTTTCAGAGAACTGGAATACTAACACCCAAGTCTGACATCTACTCTTTTGGGCTAATCATTTTGCAACTTCTTACTGGTAGGACTACAGTTGGATTAGCAGTTTTAGTACGCAACGCAGTTTCATGTGGAAAATTGTCTTCAATTCTGGATTCTTCAGCTGGAGAATGGCCTTCAGCTGTGGCAACACGATTGGCTGAACTAGGATTGCAATGCTGTCAACAAAGTCGTAGAGACAGACCAGAGTTAACACCTACTTTAGTGAGAGAATTGGAGCAGTTACATGCTTCAGAAGAGCGACCTGTGCCATCTTTTTTCTTATGTCCAATCCTTCAGGTAACTGATTCTTTTTTATTAATAAAAACCATTTACATATGAAGGAAATAATGCTTCATATTTATTTGGGTTCCTTCTTCAGGAAATAATGCATGATCCACAAGTTGCAGCAGATGGATTTACCTATGAAGGAGATGCCATACGTGAATGGTTGGAAAATGGACATGATACTTCTCCCATGACTAATTTAAAATTGAGTCACCTGTTTCTTACTCCAAATCACGCACTTCGACTTTCCATCCAAGACTGGCTTTGCAAATCTTGAATCTTTTATTCATTTAGGCCAAAGTGCTCTTTTTAACCTCATTAGTATGGGGCTAGTTTGTTTTAGTCCCATGATTTCTTTTGTGTGGTTGTAAATCTATTTTGTGTTCCACATACATTGTCAATTTGATTTGATACCAACCCTTTAGTAGGTTAACTGTAGTTGACGAAACTTGCCAACGTTAGGAAAAAACAAAATTGTATTTTGGCCGTCCCACCAAGAGAAAATAAGAAATAAAAGGGAAGGTAAGAGATGGTCATCTTCTGTTGCTCTGTGCATCCGTCATTAACATGACTCAAAATGTTATGGGATTAAACTGACTCTTGTCCTATATTAAGGGGGCAAATGGAACACGTTAGCCCTTTTATTTGTGTACGTTAACAAATATATGTAGGTTATTTTTTACACATCGATTTTCCTTAATACTTTCTAGTTTCAGCAATTGTAAGTGTTTAATGATACGAGTCACTGAAATGTGATCAAATTGACTGCTTGTCCATTCACAATTGTAATACATATTAGAAATGTGGATCTCACCTCCATATTTTAAGTAAATCTTTAGCACATAAGGAATAAGTTGCCATGGTCCAAAAGAGGCAATGGTTAGCTAGGCCAAATAAAACTTGAAGAGATAGCATATCTGTTGTTGGGCGTCTGTGCATGTCCGATGGTCCTTTGATTGGATTGAGCAGACTATATGATCTTTACAACGGTTGAAGAGAGTAGAATATATGTGCTTTATGTATGATACATCATGGATGCATTCTAATATACCTAGTGCTAGTTCCACACATACAAACGGTTTGTCCTTTTCGGGGAAAATTGAAGGAGAAAGTAAAGGTAACCCACATACATAAATACATCTAGTATAAAACCGTCATTGGAACAATTTTCACATAAACTTTTCTTGCCTTCATTTCGATCTTAAACTTATTTCATCTCGAAGAAAGAAGGGAAGAAGTGGGATGCATTTCTGTTGAGTTAAAGGGGTGATCATCTTCTGCCATGAATATCCCAAGTCTAGAATCATCGTCTTGGATACCATCTAAAAGTTGATTGGACTCTCCTTTCATGTTCCATAGATGGAATTCCTCCTTACTTGGTGTCATGTTTTCTTTAGAGCTTGTTTCAGATTTCTGTAGCATTGGATATTTTTCTCGATCATCCAGGTAGCTCTCAGTATCTACACTATCTAGGGACTTGAAAATTCCACCTTGATGGCTAAGACTACGAGATTTAACTGTTGTTGTGTCCAGACAATTGTTTGAGCTAGAGGACAAGTTATCGTGATTTTCACGGCTGTTAAAGTCAGAGTTACATCTCCCAAATGTGGTTGGCAATGATTTTTCCCTCAGAATAATGCCTTGTGTTTGAGTTGATCGTCGGTTGAAACTCCCAAAACCTTGAATTCCTCTGGTCAACATCCGAGAACGGTTTCTTTCTTCCTTAAGAAGTGTTCCTTCTTCCAGCAGATTCAATATCCATTCTGATTTCTTTCTAACAGTCAGACCCCAATTGAACCTGCATCAATATAACAAAAAGGCCTCACTATATAGCACCAAGAAGATAATTTAAAAAAAAAATATTGAGAACATACCCACTGTCATCAATATGCTGGAAGTATTTCATTTGACTAACTACATCTTTGTCACACCGAAATTCCTGTGCAATACTTTCTGGTCCATGAGTCAACAAGTGCTCAAGCACAATTAGAGAATTGTAGGAGGCCCTCCAATTGTTCTTGTCAAATTTAAGCAATCTGTTTTAGAATCATCCCATTCATCTTTGATTAGATTATTAACATTAGGGTGGAAGGCATCAACAACAACAAAAACCTTTTCCTATTGAAGTAGGTGAGCTACAAGGGCAACAAATTATTAAAGAAGAAAAAGGAGCCAGAAACACCTTTTGTGCAAAATCTCTACTATCCTCCAATAATCATCAAGCTCAAAAGCAGCCCTTGAAATTGATTTAAGAGTTGGGGAATCTGGGGCCCATGGATTTCCATTTGTAGCTTCTTCTGTCATCCTGCAAATAGCAAATGCCATCTAAGTGGAGAAATAACTATTATATCACGAATCCTATAGCTGGTTTGGTTATGAAACACATTAAATCATCATCAAAATATCATAATAGTCACAAGCTTACAGTTCTGCTGGAGTAACATCTGTGAGAGCCAATCTAGCAGTTTTAAATTTCTCCTTGAGGAAGAAAGAAGCTTGCTTTTTAAATTCATGGAACAAAGGCGTGCCCATTTTGCTGCTGTTGTTTTTGTTCAAAAAGAGTGACATATCTAAAAAATTTTCAGGGTTGATAATCTAATCTTTCTCCATTTATCAAATAAAGTGGCACCTTTGCAGGGTTGATAGTTTATGTGAGGAGAAGAAAAATTCAACGAACAATACACTGAATTATGAATTCAAGATTTGCGAGTCAAAATTGAGTTTGTTGTAGAGAATTTGTAATTTGCAAGTGATGTTTTGTCAAATAGTCATTTCACTCATTTGTTTATAATATGTTTTTCAGTCCTTGAAATTGTCAACGTGTATAACAAAAGCATGGCTTTGCAAAGTCAACATCTCGGACACTTGGGACAACCTGTGTTGAAGTTTGAATATTGAATTTTGAAATTGTTTATTGATAATTCCAGATCTTTTTCTCCTTCGAGATAAAAACCTTTTGTTATTGTTCATTTGATCACCTTCATCCTGTTTCTTACTTTGTTAATTTGAACTCAAATTCATCATCATCAGAGAATCAAACTTTCCGCCGAACGGCAATTATTTCCAAAAGTCACTGCTCACCCACTGAAAAGTTGCTTACTTTGTTTATTAAATTTTTTATAAGTAGAACCTTTTTTAGTGTTTGTATAGCAATTAGATGAACATTCCCCCCCTTCAAAAAATTTATCTGATAGTTATATTTGTAATAGATATATATTGCTCTAAGAACAAATTTTTTTAAGGGGCTGCTTTATATAATTAGTTGAAACAAATATTAATACATGTGCAAAAAATTAATATAAAATTATTAAAATAAAACTTATAAAAGGAAAAATAATATAACCCTATGCATGTTCAAACCTATGTGAATTCACCTCAAGGGATTTTTTTTTCAGGAATTCACTCCAAATGTTGAACGAGGGAATAAAAAAATGGCCAGGAAAATAATTTTTTTTCCAAGATTTTTGTTTTTGAACAGCAATTCTTTTTCATGTTGGGCGACCCTCTTGTAAGTTCAGGAATTACATAGAAAGACATGACAGGCCCAAGGCCCAAGGCCCATATCAGCTAGGAATTAAAAATTGATTTCAAAGCTGAAAATGGTTGACGAGTTCAATCGATGTCTCGGTCTCCACAGAATAGTCTAGTTTTGAACGTTGATTAGCTCCACTAGGCTTTCGAAAATAAATATAACTTAAAAGAATGCAATTGGCATAAGATGAATATTTTTTGTATGATTAAGTTATATAAATTTTTTACATTCACATGAGCGATAAAAGTAAATGAGAGAGAGTTTTAAAATAAGATAATATGATAAAAACAGGTAGAAAGAATAAGAAAAATAATTACTTGACTTTTTTATTATTTAATTTAAATTGTGTTTTTTTAGCTTGTTAAAAAGATAACACAAATTAATAATTATAATTAAATATTTATGTTTGTATTAATTTTTTAAAATTTTTAATATGACCTTTATTATCATTTCTCTCTTCTTTATAATATTTATGAGTAAAAAATTGAAGAATTAAGTAAAGATAAACTATAATTAAGAAATAAAAAGTATATTTTTAAAATAGACAAAAAAAATATAAAAATACTAGAACTCTCTATATAATTTCAACGGGCACAAGTCATTATCATGGGTCAATTGGTTGCGATTTAGGAGCACATTAGCTTCATCTGTGGGTTCAGACAAAAACACTTGAATACTCATTGAAGAATTCTTTATGAACCAATTCCAAATTATAAAGCTCTGTTTGGTCCAGTGATTATATTAATTTGGAAACCTTGCTTGCTCACTGATGTCCCCATCGTTTTTTCATTCTTTTATACAACAAATGTGTATTCTTATGATCACCATTTTCCCAGTACCGATTGAAGAGAGAATTGTGACTTGATGAATTCATCACTATATTTTGGGGTCAATTTTATGCACCGTTGAACAAGTCACAAACAAATCACTGTTTGATTATTAATTTCCCTAATGGATTTGTTTACAATATTTTGGGGTGACATCATGCAATGCTCATCAGATATTCATTCTTCCAATCCATTTTCAAATGTCTATTCTCTAATACTAACTTGATGAACTTGTTCACGGTGCTTAAGTTTCTAATGGCTCCTACGTTAATTCAAATCTTCCCCTTCGTTTCTCTTTCCATCTTCTTTCTTGTAGAAATCTAAATTATATACTAAATTTAACAGAACACAGCAATGGACCAATTATTTAATGATCGATCGATTGACTCGAAGAGTGATCAGTATTAATAAACATCGGTTAATGTTTCAAGAAATTCCAATGTTTTGATATTAATTAATTGACATCAAGATTGATTAATGTTATTATAATTGATCAATTGACCAATCTCTACAAGCGTTGACCAATTTTCATTAATATTACCAATTTTACGATTAATTGATCGATCATCAATAAATTAATCACCTTTTGTGAACTGTTAAATACCATTTACGACTGAAACATTTGCTAAAAAACGGAGTGAGAGCTCATAGAGCTAATAAAAACTCTTTTGGTAATGTCAATCATGCCAATATAATTAATCGTATTTGATAAAATGCAGGCAATGTTATAATTATTTTGAGATTTTATATTATTTTACTTATCCTTTTGTTATTTAAATATTATATTTATTGATCTTATCAACGAAGTAATCTTGAAGGAAGTGTGCATTAAGTTTTTTTTTTTTCATTTTTATCTCATGTTTATTACTAAAATTTTGAACATGCATTATAAATATTATTTTTTTTGGAACAAATCACCCATCTATTTAAGTATAAGAAGCTCAAATATTAGAGTAACTCATAATAATGTGTTTGAAATAATAATAAAAAATTTAAAATAGTGCATATAAGTTTTTATTTGAATTTTATTATTTTTAAAATGTGTTTATAAACTTACTTTACTCTAAATAACAATGAAAAATATACTCTTGGTATATTAAATTTATAATAACTACTTATTTATTTACCAATAATTTGAAATAAACGCTAATAATATAAGAAGAAAATACTTAATAAAAATTTTTAATTTAATAATGTAACAATTTAACAATATTATTCAAATTAACCATGCATTACATACAATAAGTATAGTCTTTAAAACCAAATTGCAGTCATTTTTATTTTACAAATACAGAGTAGCAGACCCTGGTGTTGGGTCTGTACGTGAAAAAGACTTCGATGTTGTTTTGTTATGGTCAGAGGAAGAGAGAAGACCAACTTTGCGCGGGTTTGGCTTTGTCATGAGCTTAGTCTCCTTTCCTTATATCTGCAAATCAGAGAGAGAGAGAGAGAGAGAGTTCCATAACCATAACAACCTTTTTCTCTCTGCTTTTCCACTTCGTATTGTCGCCGCCACAACAATAAATATTATTCATAGGTTGACTTCTACTAAGTTGTCGCAAAGGTTGTTCAGTTTATATCCTAATCAACTCTTTCACAGCTTCCGCCGCCGTTACTCTCATCCTTTAGAGGTTAGAATTCCGTTAATTATTTTCTTCTTCCGTATCACTTCCATAGCCAACGTTCAAGAATAACAATAACGTTCCTCTGTATATTGATCAGATGCATGTTTCTTTAAATATTTCAATTATTATGACAAAATAAAAACATATGGATACTACCGGTTTCTGTTTTATAATTATTTGATGGAGTTTCAAGAAACTGCAGGTTGCGGCATGTGTAAATTGTTCAAGAAACTGCAGGTTGCGGCATGTGTAAATTGTAGTAATAGACAGCGTTTGTTCATAATTCTATGTTTACTCCTTTGTTTGGTACAAAAGTTATGTGACTCTGTATAAACGATATTCGTTATCAGTATGTGCTAATGGCTACAAAAGTATGCGTAATATGAATATTGATGGTGAAACAAAGTCAAAAGTTCATTTAGGTTGTCACAAGGTTAGAGTCTTAGAGAGCCTCTTCTGAGATTCGTGTTCAATGATGTTCTCTTTTCTAAAATATAAACTTTTTTTTTCTTGTTTATATTTTTAATGAAGGTTCCACAGGACAAGGCCTAGTGGTAGAGATTGATTATCACTTGAGTGGATTCAAAAGCTACAGAACAAGATTACCCGTATTAGTGATGGGAAAGCACATGATTTCTTCGGAGAATTCCACTGTTCAAATTCAGGACAATAATCCAGGATGCATGTGGGGCATGCTTCAAATTCTTGATTACCATCGTTGGTGCGTCAAAAAGGTGTTTCCTCACAAAAAGAGAAGACATGCCAGATGTAAGCAATTTCACGCCAAATCCTGTTTCTTTTTTTCATTATTGCTTTAATTTTGGTTATTTTCCATTTATATTTGAACCATTGCAATTGGCTTTATAATATTGAATGGAATCATGATTTATCAAACGGTGTACATAAAATAACAGAAGGGTAAATAATAGTTTACCCTTGTAATTTTACACTTTTTCATTTTACTCCCCTAAATAAAAATATAAGGAGACTATTTAGTCCTCATTACCAGAAGAGAATTAATCAGAGTTGACCCATATAGTCATACGGAAACCAGATCAAATATTGGGACACAAGCAACCTTTTGCGTACATATGCTACTGCATTAAAAGCTTTTACTAATACTTTAAAAGCTTGTGATTCTACTTATGCTACTGCATTAAAAATGATTCTATTAATACTTTAGAAGCTTTTAAACTATGTCATTGTAGATATATATCGTTCACCTCGTGTTATTGATAGTGCTGATTAAATAAAGGAAATGGCTGAAAATGAAAAAGACAGATTGTGATTTTGTTCTAGAAAACACGAAATCCTGGCTTCGCAGATCACTTGACAATATCATTTTCCTTTCTTGAATCATCATGACCACATTTTACTTGTGTTAAACACTTCACATGCTTATCAAGCTCTTTAACCTTCCTGCAGATAAGAGAAAAACCATTTTGGATAACCAAAATGAAGACCAACAATATGGAGTTACAGAAGCAGAACCCCTCCTTGTAAGTTTAAAACATCATGCTCATATTTTGAGGTCGTTGTCGCAAACAATTATTTATTGATCTCCTATTTAACAGTTATATATATGTATGTGTGTGTAAGTATAATGTTGTAATTATATCTATTATAAATATCAGGCCAGGCAGCACAGCGAAAAAATTAGTGCCGCAGGCAAAAATTCCCCCAAAAATCGCAAAAAGGACCCACGCACTGACAAAAGGTTTAATGAAGAAAACTCTGAAGGCTGTAGTGAGTATGCACTTCAACTGGAGAAAGATGGCAAGACGACAGAAGCTGCCCTTAATCTTAAGCATATGGAAACAGACAAGCTTGACAGAGGCACGTCCAATAAATTTAAAAAGCATAGTGATGATGTTTCTGAGGTATTTAGAGTGGAGAAGGATTTATTAATCAAATTTCTACGAGATTTAGAAGTTGGTGGGAAAAAATTCCATCAAGCATCCCACAACAAAGCAAGATTGACAAAATCAGGGTCATTTCCTTTGACCTCAACTTCACAGATGAGAAACATTAGCTCTAGGTCCTTAAAACACAAGCAAAACGAAATTTGGGCATTTCCCAAGAGAGGAAAGTTTCTTGCAGGTACACAGGACAGTTTTGTGAAAGATATTTCTAATGAAAAGTCAATGCCTTTAGTGAATGATCTTGGTGTTGATAGTACCATGGAAGAAAAACCAAGCATTGATTTAAGGTCTTCTCAAGGATCAAATCACAAAGGGTGGAATCAACTGGTTCTTCATCAATTCAAAGTTATAAAACAGAAGATAAAACATGCCCTCGTGGAATTCAGAAAAAGTGGTTACCAAACTTCTGCCGTAGCAATCCACCACAGAGCTTCACCTGAACATAGCATCATCAATAATGAGGAAGAGATCTCACCATGCTTAGATGATGGCATGATTCAAGAACACAATCGGAACAAAAGCTCAAATGAAACTAAAGCTTCTGATTATGATTCCAACAAGCATGATGCTTGCCTCATGCGAAGAACATCCTCCTTAAATGAATCGTTGGATAGATATACTGAGCTGTTTGAGAAAATCAGCAAAGATGTTAAGTGGCAAAATTCAAAGTCTAAAAGCTTGAAATTGACAAACGAGGATAAAATCCACAAGAGTGGGCGTGCTCCTAGGTTTTCCAGAAGCAATTTGTCTCTGCCGAGTCTCGAGACTTTAGGCTTCATTCTACATGAGGCACTTTTTGATACAAATGATGTAGAAAACACAGTGGAAGCTGATAATCATGTTCAAAGAAAATCAGTGAGCTTTCCTTTAAGGATAGACAAATCACATGATCATTTTAAAGGGGCTGAAATTGTGGAAACAGTAGAAGGGAGTGACAGAGATGCAAATCCCAATCTTTCATCTGATAAGTTTATGGAAACAATTGATGAAGGAGTTACCTGTGACCAAGAGGAGGACATACATGAGCCAGCAGTGGGAGATGGAAGTTTACCCCACAAAAAGGAAGAAATATGTGTGATTACCAATCTTAACAAGGAGGTAATGGTCTCTCTTGAAACTAGCTATGAAGATAATACAACCAGACATTCAAAAGGTAAGAAATTTATGTTAATGTACATGAGAATTTTTTTTCAATTCAAAGTGAAAAACTGCTACAGGATGAAATATTGCTGTCAAATTTTCACCTCTTAATATTTGTGCTATGAACTATAACAGAATTAATGATGCTTGTTTTGGCCATTATATCAGGTACAAGATTGAATACCCCAGGCTCTACATTGGAAGAATTGGAGAGTGATTTATCATATAAAGGAAGTGTATATCATTCTTTGCCAGACTCTTTATCCAACAGAAATGCTAGTGTAACAGCTGAAGACACAGACAAGAGTTCTGACAATCATTTCCTGCTCTTCAAATCAGATGAAGACAACGATTCCAATTTCAATTATGTGAAAAATGTTCTTGAATTTTCAGGTTTCTTGGGAATTGACCACATTCAGATGCGATACACAGTAGACCAGCCACTAAAGCCTTCCTTATTCAAAGCTTTGGATGTGACTTTGCGCCATGAAATTGAATCCTCCAGAGAAGAGACAATCAACCCCTATGATCACCAGCTTATTTTCAACTTAGTTAATGAGGTGCTTACTGAAATATATGAGAAGTCACCAACTTACTTCCCAAGGCCCTTCTCCTTCAACCGCCGCCTCCATCCAATTGCCAAAGGGGACTATCTTCTCAATGATGTATGGAGTGGTGTTAAGTCATACCTGAGCTTGAGACCAGAACTGGATCAGACACTAGATGATGTTGTGGGTCGTGATTTGGAAAAAAGAAGTGGCTGGATGATCCTTCAACAGGAAGAGGAGTGTGTAGCACTACAACTAGAGGAGATGATCATGGAAGATTTATTAGATGATATCTTCTCATGAAGTTTGCTTGGACTGTAACATGGTTATGTGTGTCATGTTTTGGAAGTTCTACTATTTTGATCCAGGATTTTCACTAGAGCAGAAAGCAAGTTTGGCTTCTAATTTCTACAGGAGCAAGAACTAGAAGCACACATGCACTAGTTTTATCACATGCATTTTTAAGTTCCTGGATTATATTGATAGTAGGAGAAGATGAAGCTGTCACTTTAAACATAATCCTCAACCGCTGTCAAAAGGGACCGCAAGCCTTTCACTGTAACAGCAAGTTAGCAATACTATGTTGTACAATATTGATTCGTGATTCGTGTGTTTCAGTTCCATGTCGATTTTTCATGCAGAATAGGATCCATATTTATAACTTATTTTGTAAATAGGAATGTCTGGTATGCCGTGTAAAGTTGGTCATGGGGTTTTGGTGCGTGGCGTGGCGTGGCTGATTTTCATGTAAATAACATTTATGAGTGAACGTATTCTTGCTTATGCCTTTGAGATTTTTTTCCCCCTTTACTGGACGAATAATAATTGATGACAAATTAATTTCTACAGACTGATATCATGTTTCTTCTGCATTTAAAATTTTGTACTTAATCTATTCTTTGTCTCCAGTATTGCTTACTAATGCATTATCCATGAACCTTATATTTAAACCCAAATTATAATAATATCATGACTCAGTGTACGGATATTTTATTTTATGAATATAAATTTTATAAAAATAGTCTTTTAAGTACCAATGAATCAACACAATATTTGTTTAAAAAAGAACCCATAAATTTTGTTCATATTTTTAGTTTTAAATTTATACTTAATCTATAAGTACGGTATGACTTTTTTAAGAAAGTATTTTAAAATTAAATGAATTTATAATAATAAAACATCTTTATTTTTTTAATTTACGATATATATATTTTACGAGAGATAATTTTCTTAAATTTTAAAATACTTACCATATGATAAAACTAATTCTCTTCACAATTTTTCTTTTCATATTTAAAATTCAAACACTTGAAAGAAATTAGACTTGTAGCATGGATAATATAATTGAAGTTTGAAGTTTGAGCTATGTGGGATTTGGGGTTGCGAGAGAAGGGGAAAGACAAGCACAAGCATGAGAAGGGTGACAGGCATTCTCGTACGACAGAGGTTCGTTCAGGCAATGCGTCGAACACCTTGTGTCTTCGAAACCCATCTTAGTTTGAAACAGTTGAGCACCCAATCAACACAAAACCAAGATTCCCTGTCTCGGAGAATCGAGCGTCTCCCCAAAGGAGAATCGGTCGGGTCTGCTTTCCGCAGTTGGATGAGAGATGGCTTCCCCGTTCACGGTGGTGACATCTTTCACGCCATTAACCGTCTGAGAAAGCTCAACATGAACAAGCGCGCCCTTGAGGTCAGTTATATATATATATTTATCTGTTTCTGTTTGTTATCCCTGAATTTGAATATTTACTACAAAGACATTCATTTTTTAAGTTAAAGGCAACTTAGATTTATTGAACATGGTGAAGAATGAAAAGTGTATTGATTGATAGGTGATGGAATGGGTGATTAGGGAGAAACCCTATAGACCTAGGGAACTGGATTACTCTTATCTTGTGGAATTCACAACTAAGCTTCATGGGATTTCACATGGCGAGAAGCTCTTTTCTCACATTCCTTGTGAGTTTCAGAATGAGTTGCTTTACAACAATCTAGTGATTGCATGCTTGGATAAAGGTGTTATAAGGCTTTCACTTGAGTACATGAAAAAAATGAGGGAATTGGGTTTGCCCATTTCCCACTTGGTTTTCAACCGCCTCATAATTCTGCATTCTGCGCCGAGTTGCAAGAAGATGATACCCAAGTTGCTCACCCAAATGAAGGCTGATAAAGTCACCCCACATGTGTCCACCTACAATATTTTGATGAAAATAGAGGCCAATGAACATAATCTTGAGAATTTGGTGAAGGTATTCAGTCGTATGAAGGATGCTCAGGTTGAACCAAACGAAATATCTTACTGCATTTTAGCTATTGCTCATGCAGTGGCCAGATTATATGCTGCAACTGAATCATATGTCGAATCTGTGGAGAAGTCTATTACAGGGAATAATTGGTCAACATTGGATGTTCTGCTTATGTTGTATGGATATCTGGGGAACCAAAAGGAGCTCGAAAGAGTTTGGACCATGATTCGAGAACTTCCCTTTGTTAGATCTAAAAGTTACTTGTTAGCCATTGAAGCATTTGGTAGAATCGGACAGCTAAATCGAGCTGAAGAACTTTGGTTAGAAATGAAATCAACAAAAGGATTGAAATCTGTAAAGCAATTCAATTCAATGATGTCTGTATATTGCAAACATGGATTTGTTGACAAAGCAGCTAGACTGTACAAAAATATGAAGACAAATGGGTGCAAACCAAATGCCATAACTTATCGTCAGCTTGCTCTGGGCTGCTTTAAATCTGGTATGGCAGAGAAAGCTTTGAAGACATTAGACTTGGGCTTGCGTTTGAAAATTAGCAAGAGGGTTAGGAATTCAACTCCATGGTTGGAGACCACTCTTTCAATTGTTGAGATTTTAGCTGAAAAAGGCGATGTAGGAAATGTTGAGAGATTATTTGAAGAATTTCATAAAGCTAAGTATTGTAGGTATACCTTTGTATATAACACCTTAATTAAGGCTTATGTAAAAGCTAAGATTTATGATCCAAATCTTTTGAAAAGGATGATTCTTGGGGGAGCTAGACCAGATGCTGAAACTTACAGTCTCTTGAAAATTGATGAACAGTTTCGAACCTGATTTTGATTGATCATTTTTCACTAGTTATATGTATCTTGTTGTCTTCCCATTTACTAAATATGTATCGATTGCGGAACAAGAGCCAATAAGATGGAAGAAATATTAAAATAACATCTACCATTGTTCGTGAAAGCTCCTTGTGTTTTCGTTTTACAACTGACTTTAAAGACGATTAGAGAATAATGTTACCGAGCCATTGTTTTATTATTGTTCATCTATGTTCCATCGTTTCACACCATTCATTTGTTTGATAATGGAACCGCTTTGGATGTTGTTAACAACCCAAGAGTAGATGTGAGTGATTGATGAGGATTTTGTTTAACATTCCAATCATATCAAGAAAAAAAAAAAAATCTCCAAGATGATGATTGAACGAGCTTTTCAGGATATAAACACATTTGGTTAAAAACAGCCTAACTTGATTTTGTTTAAAAGTAAAATCATGTTTGACTCGATTGAACATGCATTTGACGTCTTCAAATGCCGTTTCAAACACTTCATAGAGGGACAGTCCTGTGAAAGGTAATTTTTGCCGTGTTAGTATTGGAACAGCATCCACAATTGAAAGACACTCCACTCGTAGAGGGACAGCTATCAGATAATGTGATTTAATGTGTGCGCGCGTGCATTCATTAATTAACTCCAAAACGAGTGGCCCTCAAAGAATAGGTCCGGGTTCTATAAAGAGGCAAGTCTAATGTATAAGTTCTCTGTGTTTTATGTTTTAATACATGTTACTCCCTCCTTTTTTCTTTCTATAAGTTTAAAGTTTTATATAAAAATTAAGAAAATGATTAACATTCTAAATTTCATTAAAAAATGATTACTTAACTTTCTATTATACCGTTCATTTATATTAATGAACATCGCATTATACCAAAACTCCAAGACTAGATTGAAATGAACATGTTATTGACAAAATTGCAACAGAGCTACTATAATGCAGACAACCGATGACCAAAGAATTGATCTAATAATAGATTAAACATAAAGCTAAATAAAAAGCATATTTTAGAAGTAAATGCATCAATATCTATATCGAACAAGTAGAGATGATTAAAATAGAGACCGAGTGTGCAATCCCCTTTCAAAACACGCAAGAAAACCAGTAAGGCATTCATTTTCATTGTTCAGGTAAGGTAATTTATGAATTCTGCAGCAGTAGCAATTGCTGCCCCTGTAATGGCATCTATTGCAATCTTGTCCTTCTTGTTGTTGCCGGCCGCAGATACCAGAGCCCCAGTTACTGCACCCCCAATCATGGCATTCTTCTGCAATACATCCAAATCCGAGGAAGAAAAAAGGACTTAGCTAAGAATTCAAGAGGAAAACTAAATTACATTTAACAATACAAAGCACGGTGTGCCATAAAAATCAAAGTTAATATAAGTTTGGCTACCAATTTTCACAAATTCATTTTTGTCTTAATGATTACATCAAGTTCTAGATACGACAACTCGAGTGTACAATTTAAATTTCCAGCCACTCAAGCTACTATTAGACTCATTTAGAGCCAAACACGATGCTTGTCAACAACAGCTTGAAATTTGTTATCAGATGCATGCCATAATATTGAAGACAAGTCCAGAAACAAGTGTAATCTCTAGCATGAGATATAAAATCTTAGCAATTCTATTTAAATAGTGAAATTAGACGTTGTAGGAAATTCTGGTGGTTGGACAAATGGTAAGTCCAACTACCCTGTGGAGAGAATTACCCAATCCCTGGTGCCACGGATCCTCTCTACTCCATATTCCATTCCAACGTACACGCCAGCTATAGTTCCTATAAGCATAAAAAAAAGGTACGTGAAATGGAGCTGCTGCATTTAATACATATATGTGTGTATGTGTGCGCGCGCGACATTACATCATCCAACAAAAGCCTTACCCCAGTATGCACCTTCTTTACACATCTTCTTCAACTGCAACAAGACGATATCTCATGAGAAAGGAATCAAGAACAGCATACTCAACCCAATGTCAATTGAATAATAGGATTCTCGCATGCCCTTTTGGGAGCCACCCTAGTTATCATTTTTCAAAAGGACGGAGCCTCTCAGGAAAAGAAGCATTATATTGAAAGCAAGATTGCAAGGTTAAGGAGAAGATAAACTAATTGTTAGTTGAGTTAAAAAGGTAAGCACTAAGCATCATGGATAGTTAAAAATTGGCAACAAACAGTGAAATTGGACTAGAGAAAACTACAATTGAGAACGTAAATTGCGAACTTACCGTTTTCTCAAAATCATGACTTGAAATGTTTCCTGGAAGAGACATGTTGAGTTAGTCAATGGATGAAAATAATAATGCAAAAGAAAACAAGGGGGAACATTGAACCAATAACACACAAGCAAGGCAAAACACGATATTGCAATAGCACCTAACGATAGGAATTAAAATTGAAAACAAGGAAAAAAATAAAATATAATAAAGTGAAAAAAATTTACTAATAATCAAAGCTTACATCTTTAGCCTCCGTAAGAAAAGGGAAATATTAAATACATAATGGGGGGGGGGGGGGTGAAATTGTGAGAAAATACCCTTTTGGAGAATATGATATGTATCTTCAGCAGCAGCGCGCGTGGCAGCGACCTGGAAATGGAAAATAACGAAGAATGATTGAATGGGATGGTATAAGAAAATATAAAAGAGAGAGAGAGAGAGAAAGGAATGGGGAAATTACGGTTCCGATCTTCAAGAAACCATCGACGGTGAGGTTGAGAAATGGATTTCCCATGTCAATGGCTACATCCACTTTGGGAGAAGATAGCGATCCTGAGAGTCTGCTCCAAGGCATCTTCTTTCTGCTTAGTGCTTAGATTGGATTATGAGTTCGTTTTATTTGTTAGTTTGCATTGGGAAAGCCACAGATAGAAACTGAGTGTGGATCGTCCAACTGTCACTTTATTGGCTCATTCTGAGATAGCTTCCATCTCCTGTCATTCTAACTCCATCGTTCATTTTCTGCCTTTTTATTTTTAGACACAATAATTATTCTTTTTTACTGTAAGCTATGTGACTTTGCACAAAAAATTAAAAAGATACGTGACTTTAATTTAAGTTTTTTTTAAATACTATTGTTCAAATTTCACTAGTTTTAATTTTATTTTAAAAAATACAACTTTCTGACATGTTATATCAAATTGAACATATTTTTTACATAGACTAAGATTTAAGATGATCAATCTTTGTTTCATTTGTTATTATTAAATTTTAAGATATCACATCAGTAAAACAATATATCTTCGTTTAAATAATTTATTTGCATGGCTTTTGTTAAAATTTTAAAGTGTTTTGAACTTACTTTTACTTAATAAAATGATATATTTCTAATAATAATAAATATTTTATTTTTAAAAAAATCTATAAATTTACTTAAATTAATGGGAAAATGGTAATTGATTTGTTAAATTTACTGGTTACTTGCAAAATATTAAATATACTTTATAAAATAGTTTTTTTTAACGTCTCTTTATTTAAAAAATTAAATCTAATAATGAAACACGCCCATTATGATTTGAGATACTGCAATTCCTTCCTCTTGGACAAACGTCACCTTCTTAGACACTTGCCCAAAATAAAAACATCGTTGTATCTGAATTTGGGTGAGCAACATAATTTACTGTCACTGTTTCTTAAGTCAAAGATTGAAATTTACAAGAGCCACATAAAAAAAAGGTACAATGTTATTGTATGTGCATCTCAACTGTGGATTGTGGATAGTAGGGACCCGGCAATCATCGATTATAGCCATGTCTTAAATTCTTATCTCTTACATCTAAAATCCCCCAACTCCACCACACCAGAGATGCGTCACCACATTAATATAATTTCTCTTTTTTATTTTAATTAGATTATTTATGGAATCAGTCAACGTGCGTAAAATTATTCGGAAGGTACATGACCATCATTTTAAAAAAACGAAAGTGTTTCAATTTAATTTTTTGGGCGTATTTGATCATGCATTTTCCATATGCATTGGCATAAGCTTAATCCCCAAAATTGAAATTAATTTATGATGGGTGATTGGTTTATACTAGAGTAAATCAAGACTATTTTTTCACTTATTAATAATTTTATTTTATAAATCTTATTATACGATTGAAAAAGTATCATTTAATTTAATTATATTGTATATTATTATTTAATTTTTACAAGAGAAATAATTAAAGTAATTGACAATGATAGTTTAAATTTATCTAAGTATTAAACTAACCTTTAAAACCATTTTATTTTTGAGAAAAATAAAGAAAGAAAAAGAAAAAGCCCTAAAGCATATTCCGCCTATCCGCACTATAAAGGGCAATGGGGCTGTGTCGAAGGTTACTCGCAGTTGTATTGTGGAACAAGGGTTTGTTTCCTTTCAGTTTCTCGTTCGAATCGAAAGCAAAACAAAAACATGGGCAGAAAATTCTTCGTCGGTGGCAACTGGAAATGCGTATGTTTCAATCGCCTTTTCACTGTCTTCTCCATTTATCTTTTTTGTCTCTGAGTGAAGTTGTTTGAATCTCGATGAATGAAATCTATACAATTATTCGTTGTCAACGTCGATCACGATTTTAAATTATAAGGCTGAGCTCTGTAACCATCTTGAGAATTTAGAACCTTCTTAACGTTCAGATCGGATCGGTTAATTTGTGTTTGTGAATCACTTAATGCATGCTACCCTATTTTCCGATCTAAGAACTAAGTAGCTGTAGTGAATGATCTTGAAATTCTTTGTGCTGATGATGTCATTTCTCGTTACCTGATTTTACTTTTCTCATTTTTATTTCATGGATCTGTTCTTATTACTCCTGTTATAGAAGCAATTAAATCAGATCAACTCGTGTTCTTATGCTTCAAATTGACTTTGTTGCAGAATGGAACCACTGAGGAGGTGAAAAAGATTGTTACTACTTTGAATGAAGCTAAAGTCCCTGGAGAAGATGTTGTGGGTGAGTCTTAGTGAGCTTCTGATGAGTTTTTCTCTTTTTGGGCAAAACGCCTCATTCTTACCATATCCGTGGCTATGGTTTATCTGGCTAAGCAAATTTCATTGTTAATATGGGCCATTCCTTTCGGGTTGAGAATTCAAAGTACGAAACTACAATTACTAAAAGGTTCTAATTCTGTTTGTTTTAATTGAGAACCACTTACTTATGTGGCAACAAATCCCTTTTTAGTTGTTAAGGAGGCAAATTCTTTTGCAATATATATTTTGCATGTGGACGTTAAAAAAACTCTATTTGGGCCATAATTTTTTAACAAAATATTTGTTTTTTAAATCTTTTGGGCCATAACTTTTTATCCATTTTTTTTCAATATGTTTTTGGGCCATAATTTTAAACCAAATATTGAGTTGCTGGCAAACTCTATTCGTATAATCCATTGCTAGTATCTTTCTTCAATTATCAAATAAGTTCATCCGATTTTTATTGTTATTCATAATGATGTTTCCGATGTTGACATATGCTGATGAACTTGTTTTTCGTTTTTCAGAAGTTGTTGTGAGCCCTCCCTTTGTGTTCCTTCCCTTTGTAAAAGGTTTGCTGCGTCCTGACTTCCATGTGTCAGCCCAAAACTGTTGGGTTCGCAAAGGTGGTGCTTATACCGGAGAGGTTAGGTATGTTGTCTGTTTTATCTTCGATTTATTTCACTTCGGTTCTTTGCATTTTGTTTTTATTGCCAAATGCATATGGGTTTTGACCTTCCCATGTTCAGTTGAACAATTTAACAAACGGTCTAGTTCTCTCTTGAGCCTATTTTTGTATCAGTGGTTTATTAGTTGTGAGGCACATATTGTCACAGCCACATAATAACCGTGTGTTATCTCTTTTATATTAACAGTGCTGAAATGCTTGTAAATTTGGGAATTCCTTGGGTTATTATTGGTCACTCTGAGCGAAGGCAGCTTTTAAAGGAATCAAATGAGGTACAAAGTGCTCACTTGTCTCTAGTTTATGATTTTAAACTTTTCCTCTACGGTGGTTTATTATAATTTCTACTTTTGTGAAGTTGCTTGTAATAACAAAAGTTTAACATTTACTAACTGCCCACTGTCTATCAGTTTGTTGGAGATAAAGTTGCATATGCACTTTCACAAGGTCTGAAAGTTATTGCATGCATTGGGGAGACTCTTGAACAGCGTGAAGCTGGTACAACAATGACTGTTGTTGCTGAACAAACAAAAGCAATTGCAGGTACTTTTGTTTTCTACATTTATACAGGTTTTAATGTTCTGCATTTTCATTAACTCCTATTTTTATTTTTCTGTAAGATGTTTTCACAAATATTGTATGGAAAATCTTTGCAGTTCGGGTTAAAAAATTGTTGACTATTCCAATTGCATTAACAGCTACTCTTTATTTTATAACTTGTTATTTTGTTTTTAACCTATTCACTGACCTTTATTCTATCTGCAGATAAAATATCAAATTGGGATAATGTTGTTTTGGCCTATGAACCAGTTTGGGCCATTGGAACAGGAAAGGTTGCAACTCCTGCCCAGGCTCAAGAGGTAGGCTTGCCTATATTTGGCTGATAATGTTTTTGTTTTAGTGAAAATTTAATTGCCTCCATACCTTTTTTAATTTTTTAAAATTTCATTTTTCACATATTGTCTAGATTTGTGTAGCTTTATGTGACACTTTTTTGTTCTTTGCTCTGTTGCCCAATTAGATTTTTGACATGTTATTTTTTCCATCTGAGTGCCCTAATCTTGGCAATATTTGTTTGGTATATTGGCCTAGGTCCATGCTGATCTGAGGAAATGGATTCATGGCAATGTGAGTGCTGGAGTTGCCTCATCTGTAAGAATTATCTATGGAGGTAATCACTAATACACTTTACCCTGTATCATTTGTCTATCATATGAAGTTACTTATAAGTCAAAGAATAAACATGGTGTCACCGGTGTGAGTGTAATGACACTAGAGAAAGGTAAGGTGAACCCAAGCACAAACACTTTTTTTATTTACTTGAGTTTGGTCCATAATAGATTGTTCTAATATTCTATTGGTAATTTTGTATTACTATTACAATATTCAAGGTGAATTGTGTAAAATTGTCTGTTAAACTTGTCCTTGGAAAAGGGTTTCCAATTGGTGTATCAAAATTGTTTGTTATTACATTTTAGTAATTTCTCAACTAACGAACATATATTAACTATAGGTTCTGTAAATGGAGGAAACTGCAAAGAATTGGCAGCACAGCCCGATGTTGATGGGTTTTTGGTCGGTGGTGCTTCCTTGAAGGTGAATTTTCTCTCCATTATTTTGTTTGTGTTGGTTTCTTACTTTGCACTTGCGCAACTGACTCTTTATACTTATCTTTAATTAGCCGGAATTCATCGACATCATAAATTCAGCCACTGTGAAGAAGAATTGAAACTCGGGAGTTAGGAACTGATATGCTGCCTTTCAAGCTGCTTCGGAAATTGCTGTGTTCGGGTTTTGGTTCTGTGCTTTGTGGCCAATGTTTGGAACTTGTGTTACTGTTTAGTACTCTGAATAAAAATGACTTCCTTTTGTCTCATCCGTAGGCGATCAAGTGGATTTTGGTTAAATTTCTAAATGAAAAAGTAGTGTAACTACCGTAACATTTGGTGGGTAAATAACGTTGAACGCCTGATTGACTGTACTTTTGTTGTCAATTTCCTTACTTGCTGTAGTTGAAGCACGCGTCTCAGAGACCGTGTGTAGCTTCTGTGAATTTGGATCTCCTAAAGGGATATATGCTAATATTCTCAACTGAACTTTGATATCAGCCAGTTTAATAAATATTTGTATTTCAGCGGGTGGCTAATTTGGGCAGAGCCTAAAATGTACTGTGGTTACTGTGCTGTAGGCAATGCTTGAATATTTAATTAGAAGAAAAATTGGATGGAATTAGAATT